GAGGTCTCAAGCACAAATGCGACGTACAAGAACAATGCGTCCACAGATTATCCCACATACGACCATTTCATCTATTATCATGATGTGTTGCAGATTCGTGGATTTTAATGTTTTTGTTGCAGTTAGCTGATTTCAAGTTTCCTTGAAAAGCCTAGATACTCAACCAATTTGGTTTAAATACAATACTAGTTGACGTCAATTCATAATTCCGAAGGCCAATATGAATTATGAGACCGACTTACAACTGGAGTTCTCGATCGGTAGATGTTTTACTATATGAAACTAATGATAATGTCTTCCTGCTTTCGTTGGGATAAAATGATATTAATTAAATAATTGTTTTGGGTCTGAAGTGATATTTCTCAGTTGGGACATGTAATGTTATCTCATATTCCCAAAAAGATATTCATGCATTAGTATTTTTCGAACCTGGTAAAAAATACGAGAATTGGTTGAGAAATGATGGAGATTTAGACTATATGATTTGATAAAACTATATATTCATGTGAAAAGAGTCATGCGTTGTTAATTTGCATGTGAGAAAAGATCCATATATCACTGTTATTCTCGTTGTGCTTGCCACGGCGCTTTCCTTTCCATCATGGTACACATATAATAATGATTTGTCATCATGCCCGGTATATCATTTACACTTTATGATAATATCACACAAGCGGTGAATAGGATGGCATGGATATATCAAGTTTCATCATTTTGAGTATCACACATGCTTCATCAATAGACTAAATGGTTGTTGCCATATCGAGAGAGTGGCTAGCATCTTAATCAAGTATAGATTATTTCTTAGTCTGTAATTGCATGTTTGTGCTTCATGTTTTGCATTTGTCTATGTTTTTACAAATGCTAAAATAATATCTACAATGTACTACGGAGCATTCTAGACATGAAATTTTCAAATCTTAAGACAACAAAACTGATAAATTGTTTGTTAGTTTGAATACGTTGCAGAATTTACGACTAAAGCTCAATCATTTGATTCTGATTTATCACAACGATGTAGGATCTTCGAACCATACTAGAGAAAAATACAGCCTCATAAATCACAAATCATTACATTTTATTTAAAGTCTTATTGAGGTAAAAACCCATCTTCAAAGTAGTAGCTAGAGAAGCTATCATGATATAAAGATCATCTCGGTACTTATTTTCTATGCAGAATATGATACAAACATATTTTGTAAAAGTTTACTTGTAGAAAATCCTCTACGATATATGATATATGAGTGAAATGGAGATAATTTTGAGTCAAATCATGTCTTCAGTATTTTTACATGGATTTTCTGATATTCTATAGCAGATTTGAAATTCATATATTCACTGGTTTTGGAAAAAAATAATTTGTATTAAAGCTTGATGCTACTCAACGATTACTGTTTTTTTTACTATATTTTATTTAGGCACATATGTACATTCAAAAGCATAACATTATTGATATCAAAATGATAATATACAATCTTGTCAATGTAATTAGTTTAAATCAAATGTTTGATATAATCATCACATCTGAATATCAGAGTACTACATCATTCCCATTGAAGTAAATTTGTTTTGCAAGTGAGCTTTGAACATAATTTTGATTGATTGATAATTTTTCACCTGCGTTATTTATTTAAGAGTCAGGTCGACTACAGATATTAGAAAATTTTCTTTTTTATGAACAAATCATATAATTCCTTTACCATTTTGATTATTAAAATTGTATATTTTTCCGAATTTTACTTTCTATTTTTAATTGCAAATACGGTTATATTTCAAACATATGAAGAAATGTGAAATATATTCAATTTTCCCATATGTTTACTTACAATAGACAAACAATGCTCTGTCAATTGTCTTTATGATATAATTTTCGATTTTATATTTCTGCTCGTTAATGAAATGAAAGTCTGCATGATTAATGTTAAGAAGAATGAGTTAATTTTGTTGTTAAGTTTAAATGGCAATCTTACATGGGGAAAACCCCTGTATATGGCTTGTAATCCATTATATTCATAAGAATGATTGTCATGTATCACGAAACTACACATGATATAGTTTTGAAGTCAATTACATCTCAGAAAATTAAACTCTGGACAGATTGAATGTTTTTTTAATTAATTCTCAACATTTGAAACATTCGGAGGAAGAGAAGAGCATGATCTTATAACCTTATGACATCATAAATTTATAAACGTACATCGTAATTTATAAAATAATATAAATAATAAAATATGTAGATTATGATTTAAAATCGAATGAATAGTGATGAGCATTGACATTACTTTTTGATTAAATTTTGTAACTTGTTCAATTTATTCTACATAGAGCATTTATGGTTCCACTTCAAAGGGAGTAATTTGGTAGATGAAGATAAATATTTGATCTACGAATATTCAAATATGCATGTCGCACCTCTAAGTATTTAGCAGAGAATAAATATACAATATGGGGTTGAGAAGGAACCTCGTAGGTATGGTGACTAACGAGGAGTATCACATATGTTGACAGGACTATACTGTAAACCTTTAAAGGTGACATATACGTGACGGATGTAGGAGATAAAATCGCACGATGAAGTATTGTATGAGTATTGACAGTATAAAGACAATTAGGGTGGAAGATAGAAAGCGCTCCTGCAGTAGCAAACCTCGTGGGTGTCCGTCCAGTAGTACATGTACTTTTTGCGTATACAAAGCTATGTTTCATTACTTATTTCCAACCTTAGGTAAGAAAGAAGTAGTGGACGATGAATGTAATGTGCATCCATGACACTTAGAATCACCTCACGTTAGCCGTATTGAAGAGCAACCGCTGGAGGCCAATCATACTCCTGACTTATCTGCGTACCGGTATTTTCGGTTGAGTTTCTACCCATGTGGTTCTTGTAGTATGGGTGTATATTATAACAACAGGTTGTCACACTTGCAGGGGGGCGAAAGATCACGCTTCTACTGTATTATTTATAATCATGCAATACGTACACTGAATGCTGACCTGTAGTATACATCAAGTGTGACATACAATAAAGGTCATCAATGGTGTATTGATTTGACAAAGATATGATACCTGTAAACGACTTTTCAAGTTGAAAGATTTTCATGGTCAAAAGTGGCTGGAATGGTCAAATAGGTAGTCGGGGAGAAGAGAATAATAAAGCCCTAAGAACTGATCTGTAGCATCGTGACCCATTTGAGATATAATGATGGCAAACACAACATACCTAGTATTTGCCACCACAATTTCATTGTGAATATTTCGTTCCAATCAACAGTAATGAGTTTATTGGTAAGACATTTTGAACCTTTCAATTTACAATATAATAATAATTATTTAAGATTATACTTAGACGTTGTATGAGCAGTAATAGCGTTTCATCTTCTATGTACTGATACGATTACATTTTAAATGTATTTGACTCAGGGTACCCGGTTATATATCAATGGTATTGGTTATAGATTTTGTACGTGATAATATTCTGTAAAAGTGTTGTTTGTATATGTTTTAATTGGAGGAGAGTGCAGTGACAACAACAATGTACGAGCTTCTAAAAATCTGGGTATTAAATTCAACTGAGTGAGATGTTTTCTCTCTAGAATGGATATAATAGTCTCTCGCCAAAATTACCTTAATAATTTAGTATCCTGAAAAACTTACTTTAGTCTATTCAAAAACATAAATTTAGGCGAATTTAGTCTCCTTACAAAGTTCATTTAAGCTAATTTAGTAAACTAAAAAGATAATTTAGATCAATTTAATTTCTAAAAATTTAATTTAGGCTAATTTAGTTTACTAAGCTTTTTTTTCAGAATAAAAATTTGAAATTTTTTTCTCCTACAAAAATTACATTAATGTATAAATTTTTCCAAAAAAATCCATCAAATCTACATACACTCTCCATTGCTTATAATATGTACATGCCAAATCGTAACTCCCTTAATTTAGTCGCCTAATCACCATCAAGTTTAGGTAATTTAGGTGACCATATATACGGTCGCCTAATACAACCATGACTAATCATATTGCATAACATGGCTCTTAATTTGTTTCTCCCTGTTTTGTAATCTATCAATGTGCAGAAAGCTATATGGTTTTCTGATTATTCTGCGCAGTTATGGTATTATGTAGTATATGTAATACTAAATATTTCTTAGTAAGTATATAGAAGTCAACTACCTTTGGGTTTCATCTATCACATATTATGGCATCACGCAATACTCTTGTTATTGCCATTGTTATTATTATTCAATTGTTTTTGTAGGCAATGACGAATCACACTATGTTGGAATTGTAAGACTTCAGGAAAATGCAATCTTTGAATGTTGAACCCTACATGAAACCACAATGATTTGTAAATATCTGGCAGTCAAAATAGGACAACATAGAATGTAGAAATATAATATATATATACACACTGCAATCAGATTAGCGCTTGATAACAAATAACTCGCTTTTCCATTTCCAGATTATATCAGTGGTATTAGAAAAGGACAATATTCCTATTGTTATAGAGAATACGGATTGTTACGGGAAAGGGTACACAATACAGTTTTCTTGTTTTATATGAAACTTGGTGAGTACGAACTCCTTTCGTAATTATCAATTTTGAGGTCTGTCGTAGGTCCTGAGTCCCATGCTCACATTCAGATGCAGGCTTTGATTCCTATTTCATCTTCGTAATAATTTTGAGAAATTCACATTCATGGCATATTTTTCTCAATATAATACTATGTAATAAATTGCATGTACTTTCAATATTTCTTTAGTTCCATCGCACTTGCATTGGCAGAGAGATATGTGTTTCCAGGCACTCATGTGCTATTTCAATAGGTATATTTCGAAAAAGATAAATTCCAAAGCAGCAGTTGATTGAAAGCGAGTTAAATTGTTTTTCGAAATCATTGTTGCTCATATCAATACCCACAGGACTCGCTTGTCCACAGTCAATGCGCAGGCTGGTATGATGGTCGGTTCCACCCAGGTCTGCTGCAGTCTTATGATCTGGACCTCAGAAGCCTCAAATATTCATTTCTTATCCAAACGCAGATTCACAAATTCAACCACAATGATACCACATGTAAACAGGTTCACTCAATGGAAGGGTGGGAGTCAGATCCCTTCGTTCGTTGAACTCCTACAGGGAAGCCTGGTCATGTACTGTACCAGAAACATTCTAGTCAAACCAGGAATTTAAAGGACATGACTCAGGTATGCGAGTTTGGACCAGAACCTTCATTACCGTCTAGTTAGTGAGCTATAAACTAATTGCAGCTAGCTGACCATGATCTTCAGCTGACCTTACAGTTCCTCGAAGTATACAATATCCTCGGCCCCCATATTCATGACATGAGCGGTCGGATTCACCAAGCAAGCGTCTGAGATCTACGCAGTCAACCTCAGTAATGGCTGGAGAATATACAGTTCACGGACCTCTTTATGCTGGAATTAAGGCATCGTTCTTCCATGCAAGTTCGGAAAAGAAACGATGTCCCCACGGCCCGCTTCCTCGCATGCGGCATCCCGGGGGTCTGCTGCCCTCGCTCGGGCCCTCGACGGAATGATTGTGTGTATATGGTGAACGATTCCACTGAAACTCGACCTTTCCGGCCGAACACATTCTCCGAACATTCTCTCGTACCGCTCTCCCGCGAGACGAAATGACATAAATGCATATGATCACATTTCCTCACTCACTCCGCCGACGGATGGCTCGGGCTCGAGCCGGCATCCTCCTCGGGCCACACGTGTCCCGGATCGGTTGCAAATTCCGTGGCGAAGGTGGAGGAGCAAGACCCGTCGTGAAAAGTCGCGAAAATGATTCGCTCCGAAGTGAAACAAAGTGGAGTGGAGGGCACCGTTGAGGGACGACGGGCACGGCGTGGAGGGCCCGACTCCCTACATCGGCGACGCTACTGGATCTTCCACTCTCTCGCCCGACGAGGACCAGGGGTGGGAGGGAGCGAGGGAGGGAGGGCGTGAGAGTTTCCCACCCTCTGACGACGTCGACGAGAAAGCTCGAAGCGTTTCCTGATACCTGCGGCAGCTTTCGACAGCATGTTTGAAAGTCCCTTTCCGTGCGCGCAGGACTGCGGTTCAAAAGTTCACCAGGGTAGCCTTGCTTTTGGCGCAGACGTGGGTCAAACTAGGGTTGGTGGAGTGTTCCCCTGCAGCTAAACGTCGGACTCTGTTGCTCACATCACGCTTCGACTTGCAAGTACCCCTACTACCGGCTCGTAGCCGAAGTAGGCGTTTTCAAATCCGCCAACATACTGCTAGTGCCAATTTTGATCCGCATGCCAAAATACCGCGAAAGACTAAATCTCTTTAACCTGACCTCCTGAGCATCTGCAATTTGCGTTCTCGTGTACGTAGGTCCATACAAAGTGATTTGCCTTTCACCTTCTTACGTGTAAATCATTGACGGGGTTGCCGTAAACCCACAGGTGACTTTGTATGGCAGTCTTCTGGGAACGTATGGGAAATATATTATTAAAGGTAGCTCGTATTTTTTCCCTCGAGCTACTCTAACTATAAGCAAATATATACTTCATATCTACTTGGCTCACTCTTCAGCACGGATTTTTTTTTATCTACGTTTTGGAATTTCATCAAGAGAAAAGGTTTCATTTGATTTATTTATCCGGAAAATAACCTCTGGCCTGGGCCCTAGAGTATGGGACTATCTTTCAGCGCTATTTTTAATAACCTAAGATCCATTGTATGGGTCGCTTTTGAAAACCCTAACAATATTTTTCACTAGAATTCTCTAAGAGTCTGCACTTGGGAAGGCGAGTAGAATCTAGCGTGAGTGTTACGATCCAGGTAAACTAAAAAGAATCCCGTGAAATACTTTTACGTTTCTTCCACAATCTTTACAAGACTGCAACAAAGAGTTCTGGGCAATTTTTGAAACGCCCTTTTCTAGTTAGTATTATCTGCATAAATATTAGGGGAAATTTTTAATCAGTAATCGCTAGATATAGAAAGGAACTATAAACTTTGTAACGGAAAGTGAGGAGGCACGTGTGGGATTAGATCTAACTGCAGACAACCAGTTGTAGTGATAATTGTTTATAAAGATAATTTCGATTACTATTATCATTTGTTTCTGAAAAGGGTTCGAATGGTCGAGGGAACATATCAAACATGGAATGTAGTCACAACGAAGTCAAACTTGGGGCCGAAATGATTAATTTCAAGACTGTGAGTGCATGGCATGAACTATGCCAACGATGGCACGGGTCCATAAGAAACAACTACTGCGGATCCGATGTCAGGATTGTCTTCCCATCCGGTTCTGTTATCTACTTGGCCCGCGCGTACGTCCCGTATCAGAACGTACGAAGCCAAGGTAGGCCCTTCGACGACTGTAGAGCGAGGGGAAATCCACTTGTTGGCTCTCTTTGGGCGGACGGAGCACGACGTCGTCGACGACAGAGCGCCTCCAGAAAGACAACTGCTCCTCACCGGGAGCGGCTCTCCCGGCCAACGAGTACCGGACTGAGTACCGGACTGAGCGAGCGTCTAAGGGCACAGGCCGCGGCTCCGAGCAGCGAGCGCTGGTACGCGGGCGGGCAGGCGCGGGGGCGGAGCGGGCCTTTCTTGAACCTGGAAGCTGGAAGCTGGAAGCTGGCAGAGACTCTCTCGAGCGATCGAGAGAAGCAGAGAGCGCAGGCGGCGTCGAGCCTTCTTCTCCCGAGGGAGATCGACGACGAGCTGCTCGCGCGGCCGCTTCGAGAGACCGAGAGCGGGGCTCGCAGTCGCAATTCTGCGCCAATTTGGTGTTTGATCGAGCGAGCAATTTTGAGCTCGTTCGGAGGAGAGGAGGGAATCGCGGGCCGAGATGGATGGGGTGCTCATGACGCTGATTGGAGCTGGTTGAGTGGGCTGGCGGGCGGGCGCTCCGGTCGTGGTCTCGACTTGACTTGACTTGTCTTGTCTTGTCTTGTCTTAAGTTGAATTGGCTCGAAGTTGTTGAGACGTGGATCTCGGTGGGTGGAATCTGTTACCGGTTTCCAGATGGTTGAGATGCGAGCGGAGGTGATTCCACGGAATGCCTGTGGCTCGAGTTTGGTTGGAGTGCTGCGAATTCTTTGAGATTGATGAATCTGAAGTCGAGCTCTGGGAGTGATTCCGCCTGCTGCTTTTCAGCCTTGGGTTGTACTGCTTGCTCTCAGGATGCCGAGCTTGTTATGCCGATCCTGTTGTAAAGGCGGGTTGAAAATTCCGCGACGGCAACTTCCAGGATTTTCCGATGAAGATCAGCATTTGCAGCAGTTGCAGCAGCCCGAGCCGGGTGTCGGCGGAGCTCCCGCATAAGAAGCGGGGAATGTGAAAGTGCTTAAATGACATGGGTGGAGATTGAGGATTTATCTGAGAAGCAGAGCAAGGTCGTGGTGGGAACAGGCGTCGAATGTTCGTGCTATTGTGGAAGTGAACCGAGATTCTAGACTGGCGAAATGGTTCGTGCCTGCGAATGGCGGGAAGGAGGGGCATTCTCATGAATGAATTCCGACTAATGCTTCACGTCGTTTGGAATTCATCACGTGATTCTGCGTCGCGACCTGGACCCTCGTTTTACCCACGTTCACGCTGTGCGTCATGAAGGGGAAAGAGCCAATTTAGATATGATTGGCGGCTCACAGGATTCGACGCGATTGGCGTCGTTTGAATACTCGTTCAAGGAACCTTTGATGAAAAGCCATGAGATCCCTCAGTAGCGCATTGAAAAGTGTAGGAGGCTAGGCGGTCGGAACAGGACTGGAAAGGGCATTGTTTGTAGGATTGCGAGAAATTTGCTTCCGTACGCTTGAGCGCATTTCTTGTAGGCACAGTTGAGGCGTCACTAGAGGGAAAAGCCTTCGGGAAAAGGAATAATAGTGTCTGCTTCGGAAAATTGTCAGTCCTCTTCTTGCGTCAATTGCTGAATCAGAAACGAGGCCTGCCTTGTAGCTGATTTCGCTTGCTCCAAATGACGACTCCCAAAGCTAAGCTCTATCAGATCTTTCAATTCGGGGAAGGACTGAAATTCCAAACTGAACCTGTCTTGAATACATCCAAAGTCGAAGCAGATGTTCTACCTGGCAGCACTGCATTCTTCAAACCGAACCACGCGGTTCAATTTCGCTGCACATTGAGTCTTCCAGGTGGTTTGACAGTGGTGTCCGACCTTTTCCCGCGGAAGAAGGATGCTGAGCAGCATGCCTCCAAACAAGCTCTGGAGCAGGTAGATTTTCTTTGGATGTGCGCATGGCACAAAAGTGATTGGGCTTTTGTGTGCTCCTCTTTAGTGATGACGTCGCAATCGCTTGGAATTAGGATCGGAACTTTTACTTGCATACTGTCTTCTTATCACAACAGATGATCTTCAGCATTTAGAACGTGCCCACAAGATTGTATGTTAATTGAAGTAGATATTGTTGTAAACTCTTTGTTCATCATGCACCTGCAAACATCATTTCTTTATGGTCGAAAAGTTCAAAAGATTCTTGTCACCTGGGCCGCATGCGTAACGTTTCTTTGATTCCTTTTGCTCTATTTCTCCGCATCAAGGTCTTCATAGTAGAGGGCCTTAATTCTGGCCTCTGTTAAAACCTCAAATTGCCTATTTACGCACGATGGTGGGTCACCTTTCTTCGATTCGTATGACTTGGAAAGAAGGTGGGCCAAGTGTTATGTCTCATGGCGGTACGGAACGGAATGCTCTTCAAAGTTACTCTGCGCCGCGATTTTCTAGGTTATGTTCTAGCTGTGGACTGTATGCTCGTGACACTTTTCTCTTCAACCTGTGACGCTATGAATGCGAAGGAAGCTTCAAATTTAGTGCAGGTGTCGGGTATGTACCGTGGGCCAATGACTTGTTGATTATGGAAGGGCGGGGTCTTGCAGTTTCAGTTCTGAACTGTTGTTGTGGTGTGGAGCAGATGAGTGTGCAACTTGCCAAGTCACCAGATGTCCTCACGACGGACGAAAAATGGGAGAATTTGCGAGCCAGGATCATTGCTACCTTTACCGATAAGGTTATACCCTCAAGCTCGGCGCACCATGGAGACAGTTGTGCTTGGTTCAGTTTTCAATATTTGCTCTCCACTATCACTTGCTAGCCTTACATTTACAACATCTTGGGGGAAAGAAAATCTTTGTCAGATTTTGAACCTCTTGTTTTGTCTCATGTGAAGCAGAATGTACAGAATTACAATCCCCTTCGCCAACATTTTAAGGCAGCCGTGAAGCGCGAGGGAAGCCGATATGGGCAGGTACCACTATCTGCTATCGTGACGCTGGATACCAAGATCCACAGTCTCTGTAAACTCATCGATCGTAAAGCTGAAACCAACCCCGCCCACGCTATGGCTTTGCTATGCAAGGCGGCAAGGAATTGCCCGTCCGTGAAGATCGACACCGATACACTTTGTCTAAGTCGTGAAGAGCCATATTCACCCGAACTTGTACAAGAGCTTGTCAAGACAAGACGATATAACGAGGAAATAGAGGCTGCAGAATCAGAGAAACCAGAAACTAATCTCCAATTTGTAGCTGTTCACATACCCTGTTCCACCGATACGCCTGGATTCGCTGTAAATCTGGTCGTGAAGCCGGAAGAGTATTATCTGGACGTGATAGCCCGAGAGCTGGGCGTGAAAGATGGTGGAAGGGTTGTTTTTTCAAGGTACGTGCTTGCTTGTCGTAGAGTGCCATTGTAAACCATTTTCATCTGATAACTCTGCTTGCGAATAAACATGCGAACACGTAATTATCTGTTGGAACTTTGCAGACCAGTGGGGAAGACTCATCCATCAATGCGCATGTACTGGTGTGCACCGAAAGAACTGCCTCAAGTGCAGGGTGGCGATTCAGACTTTGTCAACTTGACGGGTGGAGATGTAGACGGTAGTGTAGTCGCTGATGAGGATCTTCTGAGGTACTCACTGAAGCAGCAAGAGGAAGAATCAAACGGCCTCCAGTACCCCAAGAATGTAAGGGCCAGTCTTCTGATGGGCTATGCAGTGCACGGGGAAGTAATTTTGGCTGCCGTGGGCGGGGACTGGACGAGTCACGGGAAACTGTACGCTTTGGATATCACACCGTCTACCTTCTACAGGTACATTATCGTTGTTCAAAGGCTGTTCTGTTTGTATGTCGCCTTTTCGCCAGTTTTCAGTTCCTCACCTTCGTTTTCATTGGATGTGCTGTGCGTGTTGATGTTAATTTTGGTGCCTTTAATAGAACACAGAGGTCGATCTAATCCAGTTTTGATGATGTACCAGAATGCTGCTCCAAAGGTTTCCTCAAGGAAGCTACAAGGTTAGTCGTGGAGCAATTTTGGCAACAAAGCTTCCGAATGTATTTTCCAGTAGGGCTCAGTGGAAGGGGATGTCTCCTCGAGCTCTCTTAATCGAGTTTTGTCAGTATCACCGGCTCCCTGAACCTGTCTTCGCTCTAACAGCGATCGGAACTTCATCTACTGAGCCTCCTGGAACGCCACCCTCTGAATCATCAGATGTTCGAACAGATGTAGGTGAAGTCGATGAACCCAAGGATACGAAGTCCTCTGAGTCGGACGATCGCCCGTGCGAGGGTAGTGATACGAGGAACGATGAGGAAAGCAACGCCGCAGGCATGCAGGGCGGTCCATTTACCTGTAAGGTTAGGGTTGAGTGGCAGAAAGGGTCTCCTGTCGAATTCGAATCAGACGGTCCTTACAGGAATCGTCATGATGCTCAACAAAGTGCCTCTTTGAAAGCTTTACATCAGTTCGATTCTTGGTTCGAGAGCTGTATGAACGGCGCCTACGAACCAGTACTTGCCGATAAAACTAACGGGGACGTGGACAAAGACCCCTTGATAACGGATGCTGACGATTTTGCCGGTATAGATATAAGGGACTGCTGGGATCCAGCTGACGAGGGATTCTTTGAGGCTGAAGAAGTGGAGGATATTTCCCAGACCGACAAGACACCTCCCGCTGGGTCGATGGTTACAGTACGGTACACTGTGAGGTGGTATAATGATGCAGATTGTCCAGAAGAGTCGGTGAGCAACTTGTTGGAGAAGCATGAAAAGTTTGAGTTCGAGCTTGGTGGTGGAGCAGTTATTGGGGCTTTGGATTCCCTTGTTTCGAAGATGTCCGTGGGGGAGACGGCGTGCGTGACCACATCTTCACCCGCGATCGGCCTGCTCAGTGCTTTAGCCTATGATATTGGTGATAAGAGGGTTTTAATGGAGTCTGGTAATCATTCTTCCACGAATTTTTTGAAGTTGCTTCCAGATCTTAGGCCTAAAACCCTAGAACTTGGGTAGAACATTCTGGGCGAATGAGAACCAAGCCGTTGGAACAGATAACAACTGACTTCGTTCTTTGTTGTTGTGGGAGTAGGGAGTGTCATGTACACTGTGCGTCTCATGAAGTATGTCGAAGCACCAGAGGAGCGAATGGAAGCAGCACATTTTAAGCCATCTCTGTCCAAACAAAGGGTTGAATATGCTCTTCAAGTTATCAAGGATCAGCGGGCTAAGTCTTTGGTGAGTCGTTTGTCTTCTTAACTATGTGCACAGAATCTTATCTTTGGATTTCCCACACAGGTTATTCGTGATTTGAACTCTGCACCCTAATAGCGTTTTGCTTCTCGCTTTGCTTTTTTACCAGCTCATATTGACTTGGAAACTCTGTCCTTCTACAGATAGACTTAGGCTGTGGATCAGGAAGTTTGCTGGAGTCGTTACTGGAACAACCCACCGATCTTCGAGAATTGGTCGGTGTGGACGTTTCTCACAAAAGTCTCATTCGAGCTGCTAAGGTGGGACTCCCGTTCTATTACATTGTCATGTACAATAAGAGCACTTAGCTGCTCAAGGTTTCAGAGAATTTGAAAATCAGTACCTTCATCTTCCAGGCCTTTTGTATCCATTGTGTTAGAACACGATTCAACTGTATGTCCTTTTAATTGCTTGAAGACAGGAAGATCCAAGCCCTGGCTGGGCGCTGTGGTTTAAAAACTTAATCCTAATGAATGGGCTGCGTTGTGTTGTTCTTGCAGTTATTGACTCTAAAGCTGAAAAATGAGAAGATGGCGGGCAAGGAGTCCCTTGAAAAGATTGACTTGTATGAAGGATCAATTGCAGACTATGATCCTCGATTGGGAGGCGCAGATGTCGCAGTTTGCATTGAGGTGAGAATTTCTTCAATTAATACTGGAGCTTCAGTATCTAACCATCTATTATGAAGTCAACGACGACTGTTGATTTTGTGGCTTGAGTTACATTTTGCTCTCCAGCTCCTTGGGCGGGTCCGTCTCCTCTAGTGTCTATGACTTTTTTTCTTCTTTTATTTGCTCTTTTATCTTGCTCTTTTACTTTCTTTTATTTTTTATTGGTGTTTTCAACTGTACAGACGGTCCCTCATTGGCTTGTTAGTCTGCAACGTCGTCTTACTTTAAATGACTTGTTTTATGAGAGCACCGCCTTCACAGCTTGTCATGCACATATGCTTCTATTCCATCTACAATTAAATGATTGGGAAAATCTTGAAATTCGTCTAGGGATAGTAAGAGATTCACTTGTTTCACAAAGTACGAAGAAATAAAGAAGTTCACTTTCGTGTGTTTACTGTACATCTTCTTGGATTCTGCTACCGTCTATGCGGACGCTTATTTTCAGTGATCTCTCAATTTTGCTGAAACTCTTGTTCATGGACATTGTCCCTGCAGGTGGTGGAGCACATGGATCCGGAACCTCTTGAGAAGTTTGGCAGTACAGTTCTCGGTATGCTTCGACCACAAGTTTTGATTGTGTCCACACCCAATTTTGAATATAATCCTATCTTGCAAGGCCTCCCTTGGGATCCTTCTACAAACTCTTTGAAAAGCCAAGTAGAAGTTATCGATGGACTAGAGTCCGATGTTAAGCAGATCAGACTGTCCGATCATGAATTGAATGGATGCAACAGCGATATATCTTCCCTTCGCTCAGTTAAGTTCAGAAATGAGGATCATCGGTTTGAGTGGACAAGGTCTGAATTTCGAGTTTGGGCTTCAAATATGGCTGTTGACCATAGTTATGATGTAAAGTTTTCTGGAGTTGGTGGGTCGGGGGAGGATGAAGGGCCAGGCTACGCGTCACAGATTGCGCTTTTCACTAGGAGAAAGCAGCAGCCTTCGCTTGCAAATGGCTGCCCGCAGTCCAAGGGTATAGCTGCAGATGAAGTTCATTTAAAGCTGTGGCATTGGGCTTCTGGCCCGTAATAAGATGCAGTCCAATGTGTATTCGCCTGCAACGTTTTTGATGCTTTTAGGAAGAGAATATCGAGCGATCGCCGCTCAGCAAGAGGCAGTTCAATTCAAGTAGTTAGGAGAAAAGGTGGAGCTTCCATAGCTTCCATAGAGTTTGTACAAAATTTTGAGTTGTGACAGTAATGACATGGCGGGGTTTTGCTGGAAATAAGAGTGTGGTCAACACCGAGAGATGTATATCTTCACGATTACAAGGCTTTTTCTCCAGGCAATAAAGATCTGTAGACGATTGTTGTAGAATCAAACAATCACGCTGCTCTGTTGGGAATGTAAGAAGGTAAACGCTGTTCATGCCTTGTTCTGTTCTTCTGCAGAGACTAACCTGGTAGTATGAACATACGAGCGTGTGTGAACTGGAACTGCGATTCCTTGAAAGCGCTCCTGTCAAATCTCCTCCGATCTCTGACCCTGATTTAACAGTTGCGCGATATTTCGTCTTTTTCTTGCTGACATGAGGTCAGAGCACTTAAACCCGAAAGAAATAAACACGGGATGACAAAGGATATGATACTGCGGAGATGACAAATATACCTTAGCAAGGAGAAAAATGTTGCCAGAACTCTTGTTCCTCTCTAACCGTGAAGGAAGGGTTTTAAGTCAATTAATAACCTGTTTAAATACTGGACAGCATGAAATTACTACAGACTGAGTAGAAAATTGTAACCCTCCTAACTTTGTGCCTTAACGTCTTGCACGGTCAGTTTGTAGTGAGATAGTTTTCTCTTATGCATACAAAGACCACTACGTACGCAGGGTGTACGACCTTAGGCAGATTTGACTGGACCAGAATGCAACTGTCACGTATTCAAACACGTGTCGACGGAGCGAACTTTACTTTCGGTCACATTCATAGGAATATAAGATGTGTATCGACGTCGTTACGAATCCCAAATCTCGACTAACGAGAACTTTGTAAACAAATAATATAAAGACAGTGCATTAAGATCTCTCCGAGGGATTTAATTCCGTTGACTTGTACATCTGTGTTAGGGGCTGTCCACATTGTACAAACTACTACCTATATACGCTGTATATACATGCTATATGCTACACATTTAGAACTTGCATAAACTCTTGTAGCATGAACCTTTTTCGATATCAAACCCAGATATCGGACGTGCAGTCACCTCCGGGGTACCTCATTTCGTGTGCCAAAGCTGGTCCGTCTGGCTCGTCTCCAAAGTCTACAAAAAAATCTTTATTTATTGACAGTCCACCGTTTCTATTATCCACGTCGATGAGAAGGATATGAGAGCCTTCTTTCGCCATATTGGGGTAGAATTGATTATCCCAGGCGCTAAACAAAGAATTGCTTGCATACAGTCTTGTTCCATCCAAGCTCAGCTGAATCATTTGCGGACCTCCTCTTAATTTCTTTCCCTGTCATTTCCACTTCAAACTGTAAGTATGGGATACAGGAGATCAGTGCAGAAACTCAGAGCTGAAGCGTCAACAAGAATATCACATTGTGTCACCTACTTGAACTTTTGGAATGTCAGACTGCCGAAGGCCTCCATCCTCTTCCACCACATACACATCGCTGCCTTCACCGAAAAGACCACCGACCCAGACTTGGCCTGTGAGGACAGGCTTACTGGGATCTTCGATGTTATATTGTCTGATGTCCCCATGAAGCCAGTTCGAGAAATACAGAAATCGATCGTCCAAGGAAATCAAAAAATCCGTAATAAGTCCAGGCATTTCCGGCAAGATCCAATTCTTTACTTTCAGATTCGGTACAGAAATCACAACCTGCAGCATGGCGATTGATCACATTCGTTTGATCAGAATCAAAGTCTATGGTCATCGCAGTTCTCAGAAACAATTGAATTCCAGATACACCGCACCTTCTGAAGATAGCATGAAGCTAGAACGGTGCCCAACGAGCTCTTCTGAACCCCATTTAAGGTCTACAAAAGTGACGACAGGAAATTCTGGAACAATGCCAGCACTGTTTGAAGATTCTACTTCTGATGAACAAAATGTGAAGCACACTTGGAGGTGTTTTGAGATGTTAAAGATATGATTAATCGACGCAACGTTAACGAGTGATCCACAAGAGTCAATTTCGTAGTTTATTACCTCATGGTCCCAGGAGTCGTCATCCTTCTTGAAGAATCGCACCATAGTGCTACTCAAAGCGCATCCGACGAACCCAATGGCCTGGCTAGGATCGTGCAGGAATCGAATCTGTTCCGACACCAGCCACGTTCGATCAAAAAGTGAATCAATGGAGAATGAGAACTACAGACGTACACAAGCTTGAGCTCGACCAGAACTAACAACTACGTCAACACACCTCCAGAGGGATGAGCCCGGTGTTTCCCAGATCCATAGTCTGCTTCAGCTTGCCTCCCGGCCAGTCGTACACAAACAACTGCTTGCCGTAAAGACCTTCGGCCACGTGAGCTGGATTGAATCCCTTCGTGAAGGCACTGGGTGCTCCCCATGATGAACTGATCATAGTCTTATGCCGAGGCTGATACCAGAAATCATATCCGAACGGCGGGCTATGTCCTTCCTGCTCCCATCTGCGAGCATTTTTCAGTTTTCAGTAATAATATGAAACAGAGATTGATTACCAATTCCAGCTTCCGTCATCTCTATCCTTTATCTTCGCAGTTCTGAGTCCATAATGTTTAATCCCCAGCTATTCCGCTACTTGCCAAGACTAATAGACAATTCAATTAGAGACCTGCGTAGACGTCAGCAGCTGATTCCGAGGTTTGTGAGTAGATAGAGCGAACCTTCCTTTGACCTTGAAATCCGAGTCCAGCAGAAGGAAGCCTGACCCTTCAGCACGGCCCTCCTTGTCGCCCATGCACGACACCATGATGTCACCATTGGCCAAGCAGTGGGCAGTGTGGGGAAACGCTAGCCCGGTCTTCTCGAGAATCTCTTCCGGCTCAACCACCTTGTGCAGAGACGGTTTCAAAGGATCCGTGATCGTGTCGATAATGTAGATTCGGCTCGAACTGCGACACAACAACAAGCTCACGCCATCACCATAGAGCCACTGCACTTGGAACCCTCTCTCCGAACAGAAACGATTCTCTTCACAGCTCGACTCAATTTTCTCAAGCGTTGATGGGAGCTAGAAATGCGAGTTGTGAAGGATCGAGTCCTGGAGAGTAGACGGGAGAGCAAAGGATCATGGACAAACAGGTTCTGCCAGCTTACACGAGCGAAGGGAGGACGAGGAAGCGGCGCTGGACCGAAGAGTCGGAATGACAGGAGCTGCAGGCATTCCAACCGCTGTGGTGCAACTCATCGCTCAAGTGGTTCACTGGCAGCCGGTGGATCACTCGGCTGAAGGTGGCGGAGTCTGGATCCACGTCCACTGTGGCCAGATAGTCGGGCTTCTCAATTCCCGTCCCTGCACATATCCATCCACCACTCCGAGTCAAAGAAGCAGCTGAGGAATCTGATCTCCTTCGGTCGGTACCCACTGAAGAGGCTTCAGCTCTTATGCGGGAGGTCGACGAAGAATGTTGCACTGACAGACGAGTGCGAAATTCAAAGCTGCTCTACTTCTCATCCAGATCTGCACATGGAGTGCAGCTTGAGCCCGTGCGTGCTCACCGGTGTAGATTCCGGTAATGTAGACGATTTTCTCACGAGGTCCATGCTGCGCTTCTTTAGGGCTCGAGAAGCCGGGCCCTTTCACTCCTCCACAGCAAGACGCTGCCTTTGCCTCTGCCTCGACCTCGGCATCGGCCTCCTTCGAGTCCACCATTACTGCACCGCCTCTTCCCTCACCCTCCTCCTCTTCGACTCGTCCAAATCACAACTCTGCACTCTGCACCAATTGCACGAAAATCCTCAGCATCATACAACCCACACTCCACTCCATATCCATCCAACCGAAGCACACATTCAAGCTCTCGTCGAACAGCGAATCGGCCCTGGACGCCAGCGCTGCTTCTGACACGCAGGTCCAGCTCGATATATAGAAAAGTAAAGTACCTCTTGCTCTTTCTCCCTCTCTCACTCTCTCCCTTTTCGCGCATGGTCAGAGAGCGGCGCTGTATCATGAGAAATTTCTAGTCAAAGCAGCGACGACGAATTGCACTCGACGTACGTGAAAGAAATCCTGGACTGACATGCTGATGTAGAGGAGAACTCACCGGGGTGACAGTGCCGATCGCTCCGACCGTGCTAATCTCGGCCTCTCTCGACGGCTCTCGCGCAAATCGAAGGCGAATCTGCAAGCATCCTTTCGGTGTCAGACACTCGGTCCGTCAAATGGGGAACAGGATAAGAGTCAGAGAGCGACCACGGGCTCGCGAACTGATCCTCGGGCGCAGGTTATAAATAAGGGCCCGCGAGCAAGCAAGCGAGAGCTCGATCGCAATCTCGCCCAGCGGCCGCAATCGAGCCTCTGCTCGTGTACGTGTGGACTCGAGCGACGCTGGTACAGTCCTGTACTGTACCTAGTCCCCCCCGGGCAGATTCCAGTCCAGCGGACGTCCAAGGCGGCCATTATGGCGCACGGCTCGGCTCTGCCCGGTGAACACAGCCTGTCCGACCACCGGACCGCCGGCCGCTGCTCGGCCCTCCCGTCGGTATGACGACGACGACGACGTTGTTGTTGTTGGGGACGGTCGGCGGCTGCCGGTTGCCCACTTCTCCACGGCCTCTTCTTCAGCCATGCATGCAGAGTGCATGAGGATCATACGTACTGGCCCCGATTGAATTCCGGTTGCGGCTTCTGAGCATCGTTCTCCCTTTCTTCCCTTTCTTTGGGCCGAAAAATCGCCGAATGTTTTATAATTCCGCGCTTTGCGAGAGAGAGTGAACGGGGGCCAAGTGGATAGCAATTTGATACGAGGGTGGGCCATACCAGGTCTTTGGTTCATAGTACTTGGCCTCTGTGTACACTGCATGTAGACATCTCATTCTCCATGCAGGTACGTTGTATCTGTCATTTATGATTTCACTTGTATTTGTATACTCTACGATACTTTTGAGATATAAATATGTATCTTAAAATGTTTATTAAAATTTTGTTGTTTTAGAAAAATTTATAAAATTATTATTCACAAAAAATCGACACAATTGAATGTGAATGGTCCACAATTCTTACAACTTCGAGTCCATCAACATGTGTGAGTTGAAAGGTTACGATTCAGATAGCAAGTTTTCCTATGAATAATATAAAAAAAAAAACCAAGAAGATATATCTTTGTGCATTCATACAAGATGCCAATTTAAATTAAAATCTGTATAATGAAATTTTTATCCAAACAAATAATCCCATTGCTATTTGACATGAGAAAATTTTTCAAGTTACATTTCCATAATTTTCCAACAATGAAGTGTACATACTCTAAGAAACTCACACATCATACCTTAAAAGTTTTTAAAATAATTTGCTACTATTGTGTCATATATTGTTTATATTATTTGTACAATTCAATGTGCTCATAATTTTGTAATGCTAATTTAGAGGCAACTACACATGAGATTAAATAATTTATTGAAATCAAGAAGAAGAAAATATTTGACTATTAATCATCCCTTAACCTGTATTGCGTATCAGATTTAACCTGATTTACCTTAATGAATAACTATAGTTATAGTTGAGCACAATTTTTCATTTAATTTTTATTTCAAAGGATTCTTCTTATCTTGATACTTTGCAGTTGTAATTTTGGAAATTTTGGAAATTAATTTTCAAATTTTTAGTATCAAATATTTTTAGTATTCTAAATATCTAAAATCAAAATATTTTAACGTATAAAGCGTAATATCTTAGATGGATCTTAAAAAAATAAATACACAACACAGGTATAAGAATAAAATATAAATTATTTCACAAAGTTGAATTTGATTGAGAACTTTAATCAAATTTTCTCTTCACTCTTTCAAAATTTACAAGTAAAATAAATTTAAAATTGAAAAATTGAAAATTGCAAAATCAACTAAAAATTATTATTAAAAAGTAAAAATATATTACAAAATTCTTTTGTAAAATTTTCATACTAAAAAATAATTTCTTATATAAAAAATAATATCTTTTTATAAGAAAAATTCATATTAATAGAACATATCAGTACTCAATGATCTTTCTTGTTTTGTCATTATTTTGTCACATTCAAAAACTAAACACTTCATTATTATTATTAAATTTCTACACTTCTGCAAATTTGTTACACTGAATTCATATGATTGAGGTTTTTTCTGAACACAGAAATGGAAAGATAATATCAAATAAAAACTAAAAATTTTCATGATAAGAAAAAAATAAAGTTTTATTCAAAAAATTAATTTCGATGTGAAAATTTTAAATTGATAATTCTTATTCGAAAAAAATTTGTTCAGAAAATTCAGATTCTTTTGTAATTTTTCTTAAATTATTTTCAATGATAAAAAACAAATCATTTTTTAGGGCTTTAAATTCTAAAAGAAAATTTTTAAAAATAATTATACATTATATCATGTATCATTTTCTCCTCATTACTTCTCGTATGCCCTACCATAACATTTATAGAAAATTCAATCAGTTTGAAAATGATAACATTCCAGTTATGTTACACATATTTCTATCATTCTTATTAAATTTCAATTATATTGAAATCTCATATAAATACTTATTTTCATCCTCATCTGTAATTTGTTTCTTATAAACTCCTGATATCAAGTCTGTAGCCATAAGTCATAAACAGTACTAAGTTGTTATATCATATTTGAGATGTTGATGCAAAATATTTACAACAGATCAATTTGTTTTTGTCTTGCAACCCAAAGAATTTTTTCATGCAGGTAGAATATCTTAATTATATTTTCGATAAAAAAAGAATCATAATTATATTATGTCAGAAATTATTTGTGATGATATAAGTTAAAATTATGGATAAACTAATGTTTATTCTTTAATATAATTTATACATAATTAAATTAGAAATATTTTGGAAGTTTATGTGACTTGTGATCCATTTAACAACACAGTTTTTGTTCTCAAAAAATAAGAACTGATTCAGTCAAGAAACTTAATCTTAGATTTGAAAAGCTTAGACCAACTATAAATCATATCTTAGTTTAATTTTGACTGTTCATGATTCGTAATTTCAAAGTGATCATTTCATTTGAAATTTGTATTTGATTTTTATTATGAGCTATAAACAAGTGCCAAATAACATACCTTGAATATGTGACAATCTAAACTCAATATTTTTTTTTAATTTCATGTATTATTCATTTAAGACGTTAAGTCACATGCAAGATAATTCTGTTCAGGAAAGATTTTTTTTGGAAAATGAAATTGATCTGAGAGTGTAATTTTACTGTTATTATTTGTGTTATGAAATGTATCACTTAAATATACATGAACTGTTTTCTTGTTAGTTTACATTCAAATTTCTGAGAGAACAATCATCTTCTTACAAATTCGAAACATCTATTGTATAATAATGTGTAAGTGGATGTAAATTTATTCTACATGAAAAACTCAAAATAATAAATCTGATTGTTTACAAACAAAAAATTCAACTGAAAATGATGATCACTTGTCCTGCATTCATTATATAACCGACGTCAGTTCTTGCGGTGGCCATGACAGACGCATAAATCTACGGTTGTGTTTCCACTCTACGATCCGGCCCACCTTGGTCTTCTTTTCATTAAATACTTTCCTTCCGGCATCTGAATTGTCAAGAGAACTGCTTAAGATGAAATTTCAAGCGAATATCGATTCCATGCAGAAGAACGGTAACCGGAAATGGCTTGAACATTTCCACGCAAGAGCACTATAGGTACGAGGATGTTCCAATGGTATGATAAAATAATTAAATTATAAGTCATTATGAATTTAAGAATATACAATCTGAAAAATTAAACTTTAAGCAATATCAATCGTGTTGTACATGCTCTGAAAGTTCACTTCAACTGATATATTACTTCTTAAAATTTATGAAACAAACCATCGAACCGAGTTAATAGATGTTTTTGAAGTGCTATTTGATTCGTTCCATGATCATTGGTAGGCAAGCACGTGACTTCATCTTTGTTTTTCACAAATGATACATGTGCATTATGCAATATCAAATATACTATTGTATCAACATTTTTTTCTCAAAAGTGAAAAACCAGTCATCGAAGGCAATGGAAGAATTATTTAAAAATTACTTGTCGTATGTGAATATATATAAGGTTATATGTGGTTGAAGTTGGATTAGATGTACTCCACAATCAACTACTAGCAACTCGCTATATTGTTGGACTTGTTCAATTATGTTCTAGCAGTCATGCATAGCCTTGTGGTTCGAGAAGAGCAACCCAAAGTCTTAATCTTTTGTTTGCATTCATCAATTTGCCATATTATCGGTGTTGATTGGCTTGAGCTTGACAAAACTGTAGCTAGACTGTGTATGATGGTTGAGATTGAATGCGCCAAATAGGTGATAATAGTAGTGCAAATTGAAAGAATGCGGAGTCTCTTGTATGCAAGTGTTAGAGTTATGGACATTGAGACTTTGGTATCTCTGTTTTTACTAGGAGTTTACTATGTATGATGGTTGAGATTGAATGGGCCAAATAGGTGATTATAGTAGTGCAAATTGAAAGAATGCGGAGTCTCTTGTATGCTAGCGTTAGAGTTATGGACATTGAGACTTTGGTATCTCTATATTTACTATGAGTTTATTCTTTAATATAGAGCTGCTAGTTATACTTCAGTTTAGGCTAATCATCACTCACTTTCATGATTAGTGGGGTATTACGTAGTCCAACTGAGTCTAACCGTCCCCCAAAATCTCGAGTTTAAGGAGCGAGGGCCGGGGTGAGTGATAATTAACATAAACTAAGTAATAACTAAAAACTAACTTTAACATTTACATGATTATCTTATACAACTTTTTACTACCCTACATTTTAAGAAATTCATACGGTTTTGACTGAATCCTAATGAACTGTGAAATCTCTAGTTGCTGGCTTACTTTTGTTTACTAAGTAACTAGCTCTTTTGTAGGAAGGGCTTTTATCCAGCCAAAACCACATGTCACTCAGAGAGCGTCCTTTGTGTTCCACTCCATGATAAGCACAGTGGTATGTCTTCCAACTCAACGACGCAGACTCTTACAGGTCGTGTGCATATCTACGTGGACAAGATCTACGCCCTGCATCCCGCTGTCGGGCTACGAATATTTCGGTGCTTTGCACTTTTTAGACCCAACTCTGAACACGTGTGGTTACTTCACGAAGCCAGTTGTCTTCATCTGCCTCTTACGTGGATGATGTACATGTCTAGTAATGTTCGACTCCTCCCGATGGTTCCAGTCCAAGTGACATAAACAGACCGCTGGGTTTAGGTCCTTGAGCACGAGGAGCGCTACCGCGCTCTCGAGTGATCAAGGGAACTCTTCAACTCCCGAGACTTTGATTGGTGGCAGAATCTGTTCGTCACTATACAATTCGAGCTCCTTAGCTCTTCGATTAGACGTGAGGTGACGATCTCGCCGGTCGAGAGTCGAGAGCCTCTGGTGATTTTGCTTCAAGGAAGGAGCAATTTGTTAGAGCGACAGGGACATTAGGTTTTGGGAATGAATTTTTGGGATACATAATTGAGTTCTTTTGTCGACTTTTTTATGATTATGTGTGTAGACTTGGGAGCTTATCGTGGTTAGAGTCGGAGACATTAGTCGTTGGTTGGTGAGGTACCGAGTGAGTTTGACAGACTGCGTTAGGATGGGAGGAAGAGCACGGGTGCTTAGATAGGAGACGCAGAACACGATTACTGGACCGAGGAAGTCTCCAATAACTTGAAATTTTGAAGGATTCTGTGTTTGGAGGCATCAGGACTGAAGGCAAGTGCTGTGAGGAAAGCAGGTGTAGATTATATTATTTTAGTACGCGCAAGTGCATGGAGTTGGCGGTTTGTGGCAGAAGATGTGGGGGCACTGAAATTTTACAGGGTGCGGGGGCTAGAGTAAGAAATGTAGTGAAAGGTGAACCTGCAGTTTTTTGGGGTGGTTCTCACGAACAATCATCTCCGAAATTTATGCTGCGTTTACAATTCTCGGGACTACGTGCTGAAAGATTTCCTGTTTACTCCCGCAATCCTCAGATTCGGGGCGTCAAATGTAATCAACACTCTGGTTCGTTACTCTCCCCTTCCTGCGCTACTTAGTATATATCTATCGTTGTCCCTGCAGTGGATCATACACCTGTTGGCTTGCACTGTTTGCTATCACCCCTCATGCGTTGAAGCAGTACCTTGTAGTCTTTGTCTACAACTGGTCCAATTTTTGAAATTTCGTCTTACAGGGTTTCAAGTGAAGAGATGGAGAGCACAACTGGGCGAGCAGAACAAAGGAGCAGAACAAGCGCATTTTACAAGTGTACTTTGGGAGAAAGTGAAGAATCCCCTTTTCCAAAATATTCAATATATTCAAGAGAGAACGATTTTCAAGACGAAGACAGTGGAGGTTGACAATGATGTTGAAAATTCTATAGCAGAAACAAAGCTCTACTTTCCGCATGACCACAGTTTCAGTGTGGAAACGTCCAATGGAGCACTTTCTCCTGCAGCAATAGACTGCATCGAGCAGTTCAGCCGGTGAGTAATATGTTCATGAATCAGCACTACAAATTAATTTTATGACTTTGATTTATGCTTAAACTCGGATCATATCTTCCAAAGTCACACCTGGCCAGTATCTTCTACATCGAATGGACAGTGACATATCATTCGGATACATGATATGATAGATAATATGTTCTAAGCTTAGACTGAACGAGATATTTCGGTTTTGTCGTTGGTATCAAGTAGTTCATGCCTAATGTCTAAGTGTTGAGATTGAGAGTGAGAACTACATCGGGGAAGATAAACTGCACCAACTAGATTGTCCCCAGTATATTTTGGTAACCACGTGAACATTCAAACATGGAACCTCAAACTATTCAGATTGGTAGTTTATATTCATTTAAACAATCTACTTCTTGTGAAGGATTTATGTGGAGACAAATGACACTAATCTTTATTTCCTCCAATTTTATCCAGGTTAAATGGACTGACAGGCAGACAGATGAAAGCCAACTTTGAATCCACAGCACCACCTTTTGTCCGAAGTGATGAAGCCAGAAATCTTGTCGAGTTTACATGTTTTCGATTTCTGTCGAGATGTAACGCGGATTTTCATCCATCTTTGAAGGTTTGTGTTTCCTTCTCACGAGTCAAGCTAGATAATACATTCATTCCATTTTTCTTACCTTTAATTGATTATACAATGACACTGTTTCCCGATTTTGTGTGAATTTGAGAAGTGCCATGGTCGAATTTTATCTTTACCCCTTTGAGTGAATTTATTTATTTGGTATGAGTTTCTCTTCGTTTGTTTCACTTTGTAGCACCTCTCAAAGCGACACTTAAAAGAAAGCACGTATGTTTGCAGGACACAGCTTTTCGACGTCTTACTTTTAGTGCCATGTTAGCATGGCAGCGGCCTTACAAAGAGGACATTCCAGAAACTGGCACAGTACACAATGGCCTACCTGTGAGTGTGGAATTTGATCTTTTTCGGCTGCATTTGCAAGTTTTTTTATTTGAATTGACTTGTGATTTGTAGAATGCCTCGAGTATAGGTGAGATTAAGGTGATGGAATGGATGAAACCAACTTACTCCTCTGCTATGGACTCGTTTTCTCATACAACCGACAGAGAGTTGGCCTGGTGGGCGAGAAAGCGTTCTCCCGTATCGCTCCTGCCATAGCTGGAGCGGCAGACCGAGCAACCGCTCATTTCCTTTACAATGCTTTGAAGGGAGGAAAAGAAGGGTTGTCTTTTGACATTTGGAATCGCTACTGCGCAGAGCTCTGCAAGTAAGTTCGAAGCTGTTTTCAGTATTTGCTGTTATTGCTGGAAAAGAATAGGACCGTATTATAAAATGAAAAAAATGTTTTAAGAAACAAATCGTTCTTTGATGGTTTATCTTTGATTTGAGCTGATGCCCTTCTCGCTGCCAAATTGCCAAATCGCTAGAGGTGAACATTACCGTCAAACTGATCAAACACAGCTGTCTTTGATCTCCGCAGAGTACATAAAGGGCGTGAGCTACAACAAGAGCAGGAAGGAGCAAGGTTGGACCTGGGACAAGGAGAGCGCATCATCTGTGTGGGAGCTGATTCAAGACAACCTGTGCAAAAGTGGAGCAAGGGTACAGCTTGGCCTGGAAGGTTAACACTTACAGATCGTGCTCTATACTTCGAGGTACTTGTTCGCCTATTATTTCTAAGTTGGATTTGGTTGTTCGTGGGTTTGTGTTTTGAGAAACACGGAAACTAGGAAATGAGATTTACGTATTTCTATTCATTGTTACGAAAAAAATGTTCTTGGTTTAGTTGCAGTTTGTTGCAGTGACCTAGTGACTGGGACACATGCGATTATGCTTACAATGATGTGTTTTCTGTCTTGCTGCAGGCGAACGGTCTAACTCATCACCAAAAGGCTACGAGGATAGACCTTACGGGCCCTGAAGTCCATGTTGATTTGAAGAAGGTTGGACCTTTTGGTGTGGAAGTTTTTGACTCTGCCATCTCTGTTGCTTCGAGCCCTGAGTACGTATCTTATGCTTCCCAGTGTATCTTCCACTGTTTCATGAGAAAGTCTGTAACTTGCACAGAGCACAAGGGCCACGCGTCACATGCTACATGGTTTTCGTTCTCTTGGTTGACAAACCAGAGATTCGGCGACTTAAGGATGGACCTAATATCAAAGAAATTGCTCATTAAGACTGATGGCATATATCTTATTCTCATAGCAGTCGAGTGGTAACATGCCCTAAACTTGTCCAGATACGTTGGTTGAGTCTCGTTTCAAGCATTTGCTGACAAGGAAAAGGAAGCTGTTTCAAGGGTGGTACATGTGATGATTACCACCTCCGTCCAGACGATGTTGCGAATGTATACTATTGAAACTTATCGTAAGTATGGTCTGTAGTAATGTGAGTTGTTAAAGTTGACCAATGATATGGGTTTAACATGTGGTACCTTTTTCTGCAGATCTGAACCTTGGACTTTAGAGTTCATCGACTTTAGTGGCGTAAGTAGGCGGGATATCTGGTTTACTATTTTGAAAGAGATAATTGCAGTATACGCATTCATTGCTGAATATGGTGTAAAGAAGGAGGATCCCCTGGTGAAATACTTTTATGGAGCGAAGAACGGCCGGATGAAAGCTATCAGCAGCGCGATAGCAGGGATCTCTCGGCTACAAGCGCTTCAAAATGTGTTCGGGAGATTACCATCTAAGCCCGAAAATCTACTCCAATTCTCTTATCTTCGGAAGGCTCCAAGTGGGGATCTTGTGCTCCAAGCTCTAGCAGTTTCATTTTGGGGTGGACGAATGGAGGGCAAGTCAAGGGATTTAGACTACCTGGCTCTGGGCGGAGGGGAAGCTGGAGATGAAACTCTGGGGTCGGGTCCAAATTTGATTGGCACAGACGGAACTGTCTACCATCGTAATTGGGCAGTGTCACCTTCTTGGAGTACAGGAAAATCTAGCGCTTTTTGGCGAGCAAGGTCTGGGTATAAAGGCCTTGTTCTTGGGAAAAATCACGTCGTTGGAGGGATGACACAGATAGAAAGGGCAGTCAGAGCTTGCCGGGAGCAAGCTCAATTAGCTGAGAAGACCCAAGCCACCATTGATGGAGCTCTTCTAAAAGGCGTCCCTAACAACGTTGATCTTCTCAAGGTGATCATATGTATATGAAGTGAATTTTTGAACAGATGCAACTGATGTGCATGATGGAACTATAGTGCAGATGTCAGTTCAACCACGGCTAAATTGTTTAAAATCCTCACTGGATTTCAGCTTTTACGAGAATTCTTGTGATCAAGTGCGTGCTCAGTTTTGCTCATTACATTTGACTGAGACCAGCAACGCTGTCTTTTTAGGCTCACCCTAGTCTGCATCCTCTATCTCTATGTCGTAAGCTGCCTTCAAGCGTCTAACGGACTCTGCTTTGTGCTTCAGGAGCTGCTTCTGCCGTTTTCTGTACTCGCAGTGAACTTGAAGAAATTACGACGTTGGGAGAATCCCGGTGCAACATTGTCATTTCTCTTTGTGGCTTACGGGATCATCTACATGTAAGATTTAATTGCCGAATATTTTGTTGAGTACTACAGCCTAATGATATTACTCTTAACATTGCAATTGAGTTGACATTGTTTCCCAGTGCCACACCCATCGCGTTGATGTGAAGAGTACCGCATTTTCAATGTGTTTAAGGGCTTGGTGCCACTAATTTCTTTTTTTTTTTGAACGTACCAAGGTTATGACTCAAGTGCGAAGTACTATCAAGAGCACGAATTTGTAGGAAATTTAGTAACTGGTATACGTTCATGTGTTTCAGGAATTGGCTCCGTTTTGTCTTACCAACAATTCTACTGTCTGCTGCTTTGGGAGTTTACGCCTTGCGAACCTTGAAAACTCAAGGTCGGTTGAGGGATGACTTTGGGAAAGTAACTATCAGGGAACAGCCACCGACGAACACAATTCAAAAGATTTTGGCACTGAAGGAGGCTCTGAGTTCTCTGGAAGATTTTCTGCAGAACAGTAATATTATTCTGTTGAAACTCAGGACAGTTGTACTGTCGAGAGAACCCCGAGTAAGTTACACTTTCTACCTCCCTCGTTTTCAGAATTCTGCGGAATATGAAGTGTAAAAATCCAAAGGAAAACGGCATCATTCTTAAATACGAGAGAATTTTATTATGAATAATCTTAATACTTTACGGGCGAATCTCTCAAGATACTGTGCTTGTGTGCATGAATGTACTCTTTGTCGACAGACTTCATTTTGATGGCAGTTAAATACTGTACGCCTGGTTTCATCTAATTGTACTATTGTGGTCATGTGGATAGATCATATTTGACTGATTCAAGTGTCGAATGCATTCGCTTTGATCGACCTCTAGTAAATCTTGCACACTATCAAACTCAACTATAGGATACTACCAGCTGACTAGTCATGGTTCAGAATTTAAAAGGTTGTTTTGTTTTAGTTTCTCTGTATATTGATCAAGGCCTTTGTCTGTACAGGTAACGAACGAGGTTCTGATGGTGTTGGTAGGGATGGGAGTATCGATGCTGGTTGTACCTTTTCGATACCTATTGGGAATGTTCATATTGGACCAGTTCACATGTGAACTGAAGTTCAGAGAGAATTCCGTGAGACAATTCTTCACCTATCTACGGGACTGGTGGAACACCATTCCAGCTGCACCTGTGGAGCTCCTCCCTCCTGAAAGTAGTGATACCGGCGATTCCAAATCGGAGCAGCAGAACTCACCAACTCGAGCTGAAGCCGTGATGCAGGCTATGTCCGAGTGGCTCGGTGAAGACAGCCAACTGAGCCAACTGACTGGTGGATCGTCATGATGTTTGTATCTGTTTCCCGATCATGATCGGAAATGGAGATGTAAAATTGTAATTAGTTTTCGGGTTGAGATGATGGCATTCCCAGCACGGCAGGAAATCGTCAATCGAGCAGGGGCTGAATTGTTTCGCGCATTCTAGCCTGTAAATTATTTTTGCCCCCTTTTTATTTTCTCCTTTACTCGGGGGTTGCATCGAAAGTTCAAGTCATTAATGGAGTCTCATTGTTAATTCCACGATTTATTTGTAAAGAAGGATTTGATCAGCTGTGAAGCACCCTTCAATGTTTACAGCTTTGCATGTTCTCCGTCTTTGGTGGTTTCGGTTGTGACGTCAACCATGCAGCAGTGTCAAATGTGGTGGTATGTATATTATGGAAAGTTTAAGTCGTTGCAATCCTGAAACTGATTTTACCCAAAGTGAAAAACATTAAAGCCCGCGTCATCATCATAATTCTGATTTTTTAATAATGTGGAAGAGAGTTAAATGTTCCTGTATTGTAAGCAACAAAGGATCAGTCACTTTATATATACCAGTTGTAGAAGATTCGAATATCTCCCTTTCTTCAATTATGCACTTGGACCTTGAAATTCGTATATTTAACTAGTAAACCTTCGTTTACTAGTTAAATATTTATCTAATAGTAATCAATTAAAGCTTTCAATGTAGATCTAAAAGCGTATAGGAATAGGTGCAAAGATATAGCACGAAGTTCCAACAGTGCACTTTTGTAAGAAAGATGGGGAACACCCTCGGAGAAGATACTTTACCAAAAAATATTCAGCCTTGTATCAATAAATGTAGAACTTCTATATTGAATGGTCATAACGTCTCTTACAACACATCAACTAAGTTTATTGCTCTTCATTTGTGACCAAAAGCTGAATATCCATTTCTAATAAACCGATCATTGCCATCTAATTACAAGTGCGCTGCTTGATGTGTATCTCATCCATTAAACGACTTCGAGGCAAAATTTAATATTGTAAACTACATCAAAAATCTAAATTGCGAATATCCAAGTACTCTTCTCCTTGCCTTCCATCCTCTTCTATTCGTAAAACAATCTTTTATAAAATCAATGCAAGAATTTAATTTCAAGTAAGCAGATATAAAAGAACAATGGGGAAAAAATAAATATGTAACTTACGTAACCACCGTGGAATTATGTAAGTTAAAAAGAATCTCATATTTTAGAAGTATCTATCATTCCAGATAATAGATAAACGTACACACAGCACAATTGACGTGCATATGGGAAGTTTAATCACGTACAGCATTTACTGTTATAATTTATTTTAGATAAATCTGTTAAAAAGAAAATACATCTGAGAATATAAGCGCTTTCATTTTCGAATAGAGTAAGTTAAAAGGCTTCCAGGTATCAAAGTAATACATAGCATTACTAAACCTTACAAACTTTTATGCACAAAATTCTTCTTCAGGTGCTTACGTGACCACTACAGTACACCTGCCTGATTAGACGACACCAAATTACCCTTCGTTTCAGATGATAATGTGACTTTCGATAAGTAACACTTATGACTCAGTGTAGAGTCAAAAAAATTCAGATCTAAGGTTCTCGCTCTCATACGTTGTTAAGTACTCCATACCAACAAACCTAGTTCTCATCTGACCGTTGTTTCAAACGTCCGGTACCTTTAACTTGTCCGTCTGCGCTACCACCTTGTAACCTCTCTAACACAATGTGACAGCGTAGATTCATGATTAGCAATCCGGTAGAGTTGACCATTTTCGTGATCGTTTTATGATCCAGCATGGCTTGCAAGGCACAGTTCATGGCATCGAGACTGTTCATTCCGAAAAATTGCTTTGACGTTTCATTTCATTACAAGACAACGACCTTTGAATGGGTATAAAATTCAAACTCAGTCGTACTCTGCGAAATTATGTCATCTGAGAGGATCTGGATCATGTTCCACAGTGAGAGCCTGTGGCCGCACGTGATTTATTCGACTCTGTAATCGTTTACATGGGCATCGCCGCCTCAGAGTAGCCAAATATCTACTTCAATTATTTCCGAAATCAGAGTGACCTATTCGTGGAACACATCTCTGTTTGCTCCACGTCAGTTTGCTACTTAACCCGACTTCCTCCGTACATAGCGGTCCGTATACGACTTCAGCACAGTGGGTTCACCAGTCCCTCGACCTCTGACTAATTTTAAGTCCATCAGGCACTACGGTCGAGATAGTACACATAACAGAACGCTAAATCGAGCACAAACGATAAGAAAAGTCATGAGCGTCCCCTACGAACTTGTCTGTGAAACTCCTTGTACCTTCACCAGGATAATCAATGTGATAGACAAATAGGCAGCTAGGGTAAAACGGATTGGATGCCAATCAATATGGATCTGTGATTGAAGCAATAGAACAAGTAAGAGCCCTATAACGAACAAAATTGTCGGACTGTACACTTCGAGCCTCTATAGGGATCTCAAAAACACTACTGATTTCCTGACGCTGCTCCTGCTCGCAGTAACGGTTCTAAAGTGTATATAAGGCTGCACTCGTACTAACTTCCAGTCCGTCTCCACCACAAACAAATCAGCACTTCAAGTACTTTCAATAAATGACTTCCGCATCTGTTCTCTTGTGGCGTGTATTTGGACGTACGCCTATCGAAGCTCCCACCTGAGCGCTTGACTTATAACAATTCGTGAATATGTCTATCGTTCTACTTTGATTCCGAGCCCCGGGATTTCACGAAATATGGTTCCCGTAGCCCTGATTTGACCGGGGCACAACCATGTACTTTTACCTCCCGAATCAAGAGCCATTTGAAAGGACAGTAGCAAAGTCAAGTTCAGGGACTCGCACGGACTCTCAGATTTTTCTAATGGTTTAAAAGTCTTAGGAAGACTGAGGCAGCGGTTATTTGGACCCGAAGATCTGCGATGTCAATGTCGTGACCTCCTTCTACGTGACCCCAGTCTTCGATCTGAAAATTTCAACAATCAGCGGGTCACTAGATCTGATAGAAATATTGGTCATCCACTGCGTTCTTTGGTTCTACTCGCTTTCTCTAGTCAGAAAAGACGGGGTCGACTAACGAAGTGATTGGCGCTTGAAGATGCAAGAGAGCTAAGCAAACTCACACAGAACAAAACACCAAATTTTCGGTCTCATCATAATTTTCAAACCCAATCGTCTATACAAGCATCGATAAGGAACCCCGACATAAAAGGACATGGGCACTCGGTTATAACCTGATGTTCCTCCTCAACCCGAATAATATCGATAGCCCGCTCAATGCTCAGTTCGTTGCGGGCTATGGCTAGGGCGACAACTAGAGATTTCGCAGCACCAGCCAGTGAATCCACAGCAGCAAGTTCCCAATCGCTCATGCTCCTCAGTGTCTTATCCAGGGCGAAGATCACGGGATAGGGCTGAATAGTACCAAATATACTCGAGGAGACAACCGGTCGGGCACCTACCTCCTTTTCTGCCCAGTCTAGCAAAGGATCCCAGAGCTTGACCTGTTTGTCTGGACTCCAATACACGCAATACGAGAAGTCAATTCCTTCCTTGGGCAGAACACGTGACGAAAAAAAAACAATAAGATTGACAGACTCGACCCCAAACGGCTCAGAAAACCTTTTTCGACGGTTTACAACACTGTGCTACCTTCTGACGGCATATACACGAATGTAAGCCCGGGCAACAGTTAGACCGGCCTTTTCTTCCTCATAGCCAGAACCGCTTTTCCAAATCTAAAACGCTAGACCACATGTATAATTGAAACAGAAAATCATCTTCGGAGGATCACTAAGGCACTGTGGGACCTCCTGGGAGGAGCAAGACCTTATGCTAACGTGAAACCTTATGTGAAATTTATGCTGACGTCTAAGATGAAATTACTTCACACGCAGATGAAAAATTATGCAATTCTCCGCGCAAACACTGCTTTTTGAGGTTGGGCCCTTGGCAACTGAGAGGATTCCAGATCGTCCACTGACAAATATGAGTAAACCTCTCGTAAGAAGCATCAATATAATCAAAATCACCCAGCTCTCCCGCTTCACTAATTAAAACTGGAGTATAGAATTGACTTCGAATACAGGATAGCCAAAGCTAGTCAGCAAACCAACGATAGTCACTCACCAGCTAATTTGCTTCCCTCGTCAGCTCTGCAGCACAGAGTGTCAGTGTGACAGTACTTCAACAATGTGGCAATGATTTTCTCCCTGTCGGTTGGAACTTGATCAAGAGTGATCGACGTAAGTCTAACGAGGGGCATTGTGAATGCGCGAATTCCACTGCTGTCCTGACACACAGTCCAATATTCAGTAACCCTAACTGCCAGTGGTCTCCACGTGCACTGCAATTGAGGCATCCTGGAGCTCACTGTGCCAATTCGAACAACAATGCCAGCCTCGGATGAGGCCAAAATCAATCCACAGATAAGGAGTCACCTGCCACTCCCACTCGGCAGCCACTGCAAGGGCCAGAGCTGGGTTGGGCAGCTTCAGCGGCTTCTTTGCTGGAGTCCTCAAAACACGATGATCCAGTAGCACCTCGTAGCCATCCTTCTCGGAAGGCCTCGCATGCGCCTTCTCATAGAATCGTTTGCCCTCTTTCTTCGACTTCCTGCCAGCTATCTGCTCAGAAGACGCTGCAGCTGCAGTCTCTGTACCCATACTCCTCAACAACAGCTGCCACGACGATGCCTGCACAGCACGGTGCAAGGACCGTCTTCCGAAAATCCCCGTCGCCATCGCCATTCCTCCACTAGCCACAATCAGAATTCAACACCAGATCGATCGATCGGTCGAGCAAACGCAGAAAAATTACGCCGTCCTCCTCTGCTTCCTTTCCACACCACCACAACCTCCGACCTAAAGTGCAGCAAACCTACATCACTCCCTTAGGGTTGACGATCGCCCACACGAGCATCCGCTAAAATTCCTCCGAGAAACAACGATCGCGCTCTCTCGCGCACAACATAAAATCGCAGCACTCTGCCACATTGAGGCCAATGGGGTTTTAGGGTTGGAGAAAGGAGGGGAGGGAAGGGCAGGACAAGCGGGGTTTACCTGCTCTGCGCTCATGGGACGACGGGACGGGAGGGGAGGGGAGGGAAGGGGAGCGGAGCGCACTCGAGGAATCTCCGCGGCCTCCTTCGACAGCCGGCAACGCACGCGCGCTGCAAGAAACGTTCGCGAGCGCGGGGGAGCATGGCCGCGGACGCTGCCACGAACGAAGCGCGGGCCGGTGTCCAGCGTGGCACAGCCACGAGGGCCAAGTTCGACAACTTGCCGTGGCGATCATCGTACGGTGCGAGTGGAATTTCCGTGTTGGATAGTACGATCGTGCGGCTGGGGGCTCGAGAAGGGAGTGTCACGGGCGAGCGGGTAACGGGCAGCGGGCAGCGGGAGGAAGAAGACTGGCCGGCTCCCTCTCTCCCTCATTCCCAGGTGCTGCCGCTGCTGCTTCTGCTGGCCGGTACGACAAAGAGGAGCGAGGAGCGTCGTGGGGAAGGGTCCCGTGACTGCGACAGCATGTCCTCCTCCTCCTCCTCCGGTCGCCGGTCGTCGCATGGGCGTCGCGGAATTTTTCCGCGACTCCTCGTGGGGCCCGCGTGATCGACAGCACTTTTGTCTCTTTCGGCCGCACGACGCCAAAAATCTCCTGACGGAGTATGGCTCGCTGACGCTCATTGGCTGGCCGGCGACGGAGACCGTCACTGTCGCAGGTCGTGTGCACGCGACCTTGCTTACTCCTCTCCCCTTCCCATTCCTTTTCTTTCCATTCGTTCCAATGTCTGTCCTCATTTCCTCCCTTTCCCCTTCAGAATCCTTTTCAGAATCCCCGAGTGAGGAACGCGATCGAGCGCCTGCGATCGATTCTCTTTACGGAAATGGGTTTTCGTGCACGGAATCCTCAGCGGGAAAGCGGGCCGCGAGATGTGTGAGCTTGGAGGCTTGCCTACGCGATACATTTGGTCAGTTTCCATGCAGGTCTTCTTATTCTTCCTTATTCTTCTTCTTCTGCTGGGAAAGGAAGTGCATGAAAGTTGTACGTAGGCATGAACTTTGTTCGCGAAAGCTTTGGAGAAAGGCGAGATGATCAGATTCCACACTCCCCACCTGGACGAGGTAGTAGCGTGCGCGGAGGGGTGGTCGTCACCGCGCCGGTGGCCGTGGAGATGCTATTCTCTTCCTCGCTATTATGACCGCAATGCGCGATGCAGCAGCATCGAATCGAAATCAAGACCATCGTCCTGTCTCCAGTGGCGTCGACTGAAATGAACCCATTACGTCTCGATCATGATGGCCCATATGTGTTCTTAAAGACGATTGCGATCCCATAACCATGATGAGGTCACACCAACATCGAGCTCTACAGCGCAGAATTTGAAGAACTCTCCTCGCACCTCCACATGCAGCATCAGCGCCATCTCTCTCTCTCTGCCCCGGGATTCTGAGTCTCCGATTACGAGATTGGCAGCGAGGAGCATATTCTCATGCGCCAACGAACTCTTCTACGCTGCCATAGAAAATGATAGAGACTTAATATTTGCTCACTGTGGCCTCGAGGAATTAGTATTTATTTCATCGAAAGCTGGACCGAAGCCCGGTGCCAACTAGGGACCGCTGGCTGTTCCGGGGGCGTTGCTTGTCGGCGTCAAATACCCAGCTTTCAAGATGGAGATCTCCCGAGACGGGCTATTGCCCCGAGGGTTATGGGGGGCCACGGCGGATACTTCGCTCGACCGGCGGATGTTACGGACGAAGATAGATTTTCGAGGTGGATGAACGATCAGAATAAGAGTAAAGATAAAGAGAAAGGAGATGACCTCGTCGGAGGACGGGCACGTACCCATCGCCGACGAGGCACGGTCAGCTCAGCAACCATGACAAGTTGGCAAGAACGTAGATTTGTTCGTCCCCTCGTGCACCACCAGCTGACCACGTACAGAAGTGTACTCGTGGAAAATGACCGCTGGTGCATCATCCAACTACCAACTACATCCATCGAGGTGGATAAAGTTGTTGGGGCCTGAGCACATCAGGATCGTCACCCAGCGGGCGAAGCACCGATGAGTACTTGTCAACTTCGTCAGTCTCACGGACTGCGTCATAGATTATACGTACAGCAAATTTCGTGCACACAGCTACTACGTACGCCCAGTACTGCACTGCAGTCTGTCAGTCAGCCAGTCAACTAGTCGGTCAGCCAGCCGAGGCCTCGCAGAATCTTGTCCCTCATTAGAAGCATCGTCCCTCCATTGACGAAGAACATCGATCAAACCAAAACGGGGAATAAAGACCGCGTCGTCCATCTGGTAGAAGTCGACGGACCCAGGTCGAACCTCGGTTCGCGTTCGCCATGATCGGGGCCGGTACCGTAAAGTACCTGTTCCGGTGATGAATGGAGAGATAAACCAGGTAAGCCGAACCCGGGTACTCTAAAGCTACTCTAATGGCCTACGCTGTGGGGAATAAGACCCAACCACGTAGGGGAGGACCGTGAGAAGACAAGACCTTTCCGACGACCCCAGTCTCCCGAGGCGAAGGCGGCCCCGGGGCCGGGTGGGCGTCGCGTCGCCTGGCCTGGCGACACCTCAGCAGGAGGCCGGGGATGGGCGAGACCGAAGGCGAGCGACATGGGGAGGAAGCCAGTTTTGGACCAAGCGGACGCCGACACGCGTCCAAAGGAGTTGCGCGGAGCAACGAAGTAATTGATAAGGGTCGGGGGCGGAGCAGTAACGGTCTATTTGCCGGTCACGCCAAGGCCGCGGCAGCAGGCCGGCGACGGGCGTTACCGGCGCTCCGACGTTTTGTCTTCACCCGCAAAATCGCATCCCCTCGTCAACCCCCAACCCGGCTGCCGATCCCGACCGTCGCACGGCGGCAATCGCACGGCGGGACGGAAGATTCGAACCCGCACTGGCAACTGGCGGTCCGTCCGGCGGACGATTAGCTTTGAGCCCGGGAGTCCAGGCAGGCAACCTCGTGCAGGCGGGAGACGGTCAGCGGCAGGCGGAGTGACGATCCGAAAGCGAGAGGCATGAAGGACGAGCCCGAGCCCGAGGCCGCGGAAGCCGAAGGAGGAGGAGAAGAAGCAAGCGCAAGGCGAAAGGCGGAAAGCGAAGCGCAGCAGGAGGAGGGGGACATGGAGATGTTTGCAGCCACTGTGCGCGCGTGTGTCAGGGTCAGCTGCTGAGCAGCAGGGGGAGGAATGAGCGTTGCGCAGGCCGAGATCGGAGTCGATACGGCAGCTCGATAGCCAGAGGCAGAGGGATAGCGAGAGAGTGAGGAAATTCGAGCGCTCAGGGTCGGGACTAGATTAGGAGGAGGAGGATTAATTTGCGGGTGTAAAAAATCGCAGATTTTGCGTGGGCGAAGAAAGTAGAGGAGTAGGAAGGGGAGTAGGAAGAGGAGGAAGGGGAGGAGGAGGAGGAGGAGGAGGAGTGGTAGGAGAAGGAGAGCGCTGCTTGCTCGGCTGCCTTGCTGCGTGCCTGCTGGCCTGCTCTGGTGCCTGCTTCGCTCGCGGCTACAGGGTTCCGTGGCTTATGCCGCGAGTGGTGAATGAATGAAGAAGAAGGCGCAGGGAGCGAGCGAAGAAGGTCGAGCGCAGAAGTAGGACCGGAGGGAGGGAGGGCCAGGGAGGCGAGAGAGAGAGAGAGAGAGGGGAGAAAGAGAAAGCGAGCCGGGTCGTCGAAATCGTGGAGAATAATGCCGGCCTCAGTGCCATCTGTCGGTGGGCGCTGAGGAACTGACGAATGCGTGCGAGTTGTCGTCGAGCGCTTCGGTGCGGGGAAGGTCCGGGAGTTTGTTGGGGAGGTGTGGCGTGCACTGCGGAGTGAGTGAGTGAGCGTGTCTGCACGCTGTGCTCTTTTCCGCGTAGCGAGCGAGCGAGCGAGAGAGCCAGAGCCTGAGACGAAGGGAAGACGGGAGTGTTTCGGAGGCAGCAGGCAGACAAACGGACCGGGCTGGGCTTTGTGTCTGTCAAAAGCGCTTGCCTGCTTGTTTCCGCATGACGATCTGGACGGCGGTCGAGTTCAGGCATTGGCGGTGCTGTGCTCTGCTGCTTACGAGAACGAGCTGCTGCTGCTACTGCAAATGTTGACGATGATCTGTATATTGTTGTGATAGAGTGCTGACGAACCCTCGAGGGGCTTCTTCTCGCTTCGATTTCTCCGATTTTTTTTATTATATATTTTCCATTACCCTCTCGGGACGACCTTGCGGTGCCTGTCTGCGACTGTCCGCTGGCCCGAGCGAGTCTCTTAGGTCTGACAGACATTATAATAAAAAAAATCGATGGTTATTAGAAACGGCCGTTTTTCGGAGGTGATGGTCGTCGAGGAGACGGAGATCTTCTCGATTTGTTGCACCATTTCTGCGATAGTGCGAAGCTAGATTGGCTCATGAATCGCGAATTCGACCAATTGGTTGACGCACGTTGATGGACGCTTAGATGGATGAGGGAGGAGGTTTGCGGAGCTTCTGCTGATGCAGAACGGCAAGGAGTCTATGCATGTGTACGCCCGGCCGCCAGCTGGTCGTGCCCGCTCGCCTCCCCTTTCTCCCATCCATTCGCCCCGCCATCGATTGGGAAGAACGAGAAGTGGCCGCCAAGCGGGCGGTGGTGGACCGACGAGACCTTATGTGATACGCCTCATATTTCTGCTGTTCTCCTTCTTATTGAGGAGGCATGCAGTCCTTTTACTTGCCCCAGTTATTTACATATCCGGGATGCTCTTGTACATGGGAACTTTATCCCTCGATTTGCCGTCTTCGGCAGGAGTGGCTCGCGGATCCGTGTACAGAAGTCCGGAAGTTTTCGAGCACCTGTGGCCTGCAATGGAGGCCGATAACGACTCGTCGTTTGGGGTGAGTGCTTTCGATTGCTTTGTACTTCAGATGTGCAGTGTAAAAGTGTGCGAGATTTGGCGGTACATGAGATGCAACCGTTCCCACTATGCCATGAAAATAGCATTTAGTTTTGTTTGCCACAAGTGTGGAGGCATGCCACAATTCGGCACGAGCACTGGTGGATCGCGGTCATCAGCTGCTGGAAATGCGAAGTTCAAGTGGATTACGATGTGACAGAATTCGAATTTGTCGTCTAGTTTGTGCGTGTTCTGATTAGTTTGGAAAAGCCGATCAGAGCCTGAGGACGTCAACCTCAGCACAAGGACAGCTGTCTCCGGTGTAACTACATGGTGCTGGAACACGTGGCAATGTGCCGGGAGCGGGAATAGCGTTTGAATCGCTACCTGGCACTCTTGGCGCACATTTCGATCTGTTTTGTTCCAATTATTGCCCCGGATGTGAACCAGGGTTTAGCCAGGCCTTATCGGTTTGACCCGGCGTAAGCTCCTCTCAGATTTCGGACCGTGAAGGACCCACGCGTCTGTCAGCTTTAAATTTAAAACGTTGGAGATCAGATCGAGAGTCAGACCAGTATTTTTAGAATCCTTCTATCCTTTTCATTTCTAGTAGTGATTTTCGCGATCACAAAGGCAGTTGCCAAAATCTAGCGGCTACTGTAAGTCGTGTTAATGACAGCGATACTTTCTCGTGAGTACTCATCAAAGTGCTGCTCATATTTACAAGGTTTCGTCGCCATCGATGAACCCCAGATTGCTGTGTCCTGAAATCATATCATCTCCTTTCGACGTCCAGCGGAGTTTGTCTTGAAAATTTCTCGTGGACTGTGAGGTTGTTCTCTTATGGTTCACGGTTGAACATAACGCAGGTCGAGAAAGCTTGGGAGTATGCTGCCACAGCAGGGTGGCGCCCTTGCCTAGCACGCGAATCCGAGGCTGACGGTACACATTTTGTTTATTTTTGTTCTTGTACATGTTTCCATAGCTTTAAGCTGGGGCACTAACAGCCAACGATCTAAAAAGAATTTTTCGAGGCTAGAGGACAGGACAGGCCGTGCACATTTTTGTTCGTGCGTAGAACATATTTCTAGACCTTTGATTAAGCTATTGTGGATTGTGACGGCTCATCTCACCTTCTCCATCTTCGCCACAGAATGTCGAAAGTTTAAGAAGAGACGGAAGTCCTTTACCTGTCAGCAGATCACGCAATGACCATTTGAAATGTGGTTTGTGGAGTAGGATTGCCAGAATCAAATGGATACATCTTAATTGAGGCAAACGGTGGACTTAATCAGCAGCGATCATCTGTATGTCCTCTTCACATCATACCGTCCTTGCAGTTGTGACTTCAGTTTGTTCATCGTTGTTATTCTTTGTGGCTTTCGTCTGTTTGGAAAAACTTTCGTGTGATGGTACTTTTCAAGGTTCACGTAAAGAGCCCCATTTGAAGTCGTCTGATCTGGTCGAAAGAGTTTTATTGATGGTTTTTTTTTCATTTTCTCGTTTTGAGAACGGAAAGTAAAATTTGTTTTCTGGTTATTTAATTTTCTCCACCCTTCTCGATCGACGATACTTGGAACTTGTAGCGGGGAGGAAAGGGAGAGCTCTCACATTCCGCATATATTGTAACCCGATGCCTAACTGTTTAGTTGCAGATTGAATCTAACTTTTTCTTTCCTCTTTGTGTTGCCCCTCCGGGTGGTGGGTCGCCTGAGTAGATCTGCAATGCCGTAGCAGTGGCACACCTGTTGAATGCCACTCTCGTCATTCCACATTTCCATCTCAACAGTGTCTGGCAAGACAATAGGTGAGGGAGAAACTGTCACGTTTCTACATCCCACTCTGGAAGGCTGTACTGAGTGACGGTTTTTTCAAGCTAGACATAGTGAAGCAAATATAACCAGGCCTTTTTTTTGTGATTCTCGAAAGTAATTTCCTGGAATATAGTTTGAAAAAATATAAGCGGTCCTTTTGCCACCCAAAACATTTCTCGTTTTACGTAGCAGCAATGTGGAGGAGCCAGAGCATGGCAGAGGTAAGCAAGAACGTCGAGTTTTGAACGCAGGTAAAGTGGATGGGCTGTGTCCAATGTTGGGGCCTAGATAAGTGCAGGGTCTTATCTTAGAAAGGTTGCTTGCTTTGTGTTTAACTAACGGTGTTTGTTTGAATCTTTGGTTGCAGCAAGTTTGGAGATATTTATGATGAAAAATTTTTCATAGAGAGCCTCGCGGAGGACGTTAGGGTGGTGAAGAAGTTACCGGATGAAGTTCTTGAGCAGTTCGGGAACATGAGCAATATCTACAACTTCAAAGTGAAAGCGTGGACACCGGCTGACTATTACCTGGAAAAGGTCAAACCGAAGTTACTGGAAGCTGGGTATGCACTCTCGTTTGGAATCTCGGAGAGCAAGGTGTTGCTTGATTGCTGCATTAACAGGTCGTTGAGTATTTTCTGGTCCTGAGCGAGACTATCTCGATCTTATATGTTTGAGTTGTTGGTCGGTTGATGCAGAGTGGTCAGATTTTCTCCCTTTGCCAATCGTCTGGCTTACGATAAGATACCTCCTAAAGTCCAACAGATACGATGTAAGACGAACTTTGAAGCGCTTAGGTTTGCGAAACCTATAGCATCACTGGCAGATGTTTTGGTGAAGCGAATGGTAGAAAAGAGTTCCAACACTGGTGGGAAGTACATTGCTATACATTTGAGATTTGAAGAGGTACAGAAGAGACGTGCAACCTTGGTGATTCTTATTTCGAACTTTTTTTTGTTATAATTGCCACCATTGAACGTGTGAGCTCGCGAAATTGGTCCTTTTTGTTATCCTTTTTGCGAAAGGGTTTTCCGTAAGGAACCCTAGTGTTCTGAGTGGCTTGAGGCAAAGTTTATGACCATAAGAGCATGGGCCGACTTGCTGAGTCGAGTCTGTAAGTGCAACTTTAGGAGTGCTCTCAACAGTTAGTCTAGTGATTCGATGTGATACTTTGCCTACAACGTGCCATCTGGGGAGCTTGTGAGATTGGCCATTTCTAAGTGTGAACACATGTGATAGCTGCTTGAAATGACAGTTAATGGTCCGTGTCTGCAGGATATGGTAGCGTTTTCGTGTTGTATTTATGATGGAGGTGAGCAAGAAAAGATTGAGATGGATGCCGCCCGTGAAAGAGGATGGAGGGGAAAGTTCACTAGGAATGGGCGAATAGTTGATCCTGCGGCTAACAGGGTGGATGGCCAATGTCCCTTGACACCTTTGGAGGTCAGAATTTCCCTACATTTGTTTGGTTTTTATCCAACAGACAGCTCATTTTTGCTCATCAGTTCTTTTGAAGAAGCTTGATTGTACACAATTTGTACCGGGGACTCGAAGTCTGCTGGAAAGTTGTATGTAAAGGCTCCGGGCTGGCTCAGTGTCCTGAGCAACTGTGCTTTCTAGTCAGTGCTTATTTTGATGGTTTTGATGTGTTCACAGGTGGGTATGATTTTGCGTGGAATGGGCTTTCGAAATACAACTCCTATTTACATAGCAGCAGGAAAAATCTACAAAGCAGAGAAGACAATGCTCCCTTTGCGGCAAATGTTCCCTTATCTTCAAACCAAAGAAACTCTTCTTTCTGCTGAAGAGCTTGCACCTTATAAGGTGAGAAGTTGATCATTTTATTATTATGTGCACCGTCACACAGTTTCGTTCAACCTTTTTTATGTGGACCGTCATCACCGCACATTATATTCTAGTCCGTTGGTGTTTGTGACTATCTAATGTATGCTGAGAATTGAGTGGTGTTTTTCTTTGCAGAAACATTCGTCACGAATGGCTGCTCTTGATTACACAGTTTGCCTGCAGAGCGAGGTTTTTGTGAGCACTAAAGGAGGGAACTTTCCACAAATTTTGGTCGGCCACCGGCGTTATTTAAACAATGGTCATTCGAAGACTATCCGTCCTGACACCCGCAAATTGGCTGTATTACTCGACGACCCCAATATCAGGTGAGTTTTAATGTCATCGAGATCCAGCGTCACATCTTGAATTTTTTTGTTCAATCTATATGCTTAAAGACGGGTTTGGTGCTGTCGCAACAACTCTTGCTATGCCTATCAAGTTGGAACAGCCTATATCTTCGTTTCGAGCGCTGATGAAGCGCTTTGCACGGAGCTCGTAATTTTGCAGTACATCGAGGAATCATAATATTTCTTGGAGTCATGTTTTAGAAGCTAGTGGAAAAATGGTTTTATGTTCATGCTGTGGGGCACTCTTTCTTCTGATTAAAATCAGTTATTCACTATGTTTCAATGCAGTTGGGCTGCCTTCTCGGAGCAACTCCGCGCCATGCGATTACACGGAGATATGAAAGGGCATGAGCTGCGCAAGTCAAACGCCTCTATATATAAATTTCCTGCCCCCGATTGCATGTGCGAAGATCCTGTTCTTGATACGTCACGGGAAACGAACATGAGGAGAGTTAGGTTACATCTTTGAATTAGTAATAGAAGGAAATGAATTCTGTTCAGGTGCTAGTTTCCTGTTTTTAGACATCTTAGAGCAATAGTGATTTATTCTTTATCCGATCCATGTAATTTATAATTTATTTGTAGGCAACTAACTTAAGTAGGGGTTCTGTACACAACCATTTCATTCGGAGTTGATGTCAACTCTGCTGTATGTCTACAAGGAAATTGAACTGAAAGCTGTAACGATCAGTGGTGGAATAAACAGCATAGCCAACTGCACTTGGTGAGCATGAGAACAAATCTAGAGTTCCATGCCAACGCCAGTTATTTACTCCTCCGCAATGGCTTTTTGGCTTGTACATCGGATCAAATTGACTTTTATAGAGAGGTGCATGTCGGAATGTCACCGACTGTCCTGTCTTTTCAGTGCCGCGCAGTGTTAAGCTTCTTACTTCTTTTACCGGATCCTATGTCAACTTTTCCTTCGACAACCATGCAAGTGTTGATGGTGCAAATGATCCTGGGTCGATGGACTGAGATACCACTGGTATGAACGAACCTAAGGCATTGGTAGTCGGTTGTCGGAGCCTGTTTGAGCATAAAGCCGCCGAGAATGATGGAACAAACTGTAATGAGCACTAGTGTGAAATCACTGGAAAGTACAGCAATGAGAGCAATTACAGTTGCAGCCTGAGAAGGCTTTGGTGGTCCCAATGGTTCTCTTGCTTCCGGACGTGCACGACTTGGAATGTCAGAGCTTTTACCAGCAACTGAGACCCCGCACGTACTCGGAAACAGTGATCACACCGGTTCACCCGTGATGCACTGTGCGCGCATGTGCGAGCCTCCTCCTCTAACTGCGATGGCTGCTGAGCTGACTCATGGACTCGTCCACTGCCTGAGTCAAGCCGAAGCTCGTACGTGTCCAGCAAGGGGGAATGGATGGTCCGCACACCTGTGAAGCCCTGTGCTTCGCGAGTGTTGCTGCCTAGGAATGCGCTGGTGGGACTGACTGACTCCTTTCTCGCTTCGGCAATCCACTCTGGCTGGAATCTGCTGCATGTGCCGCTGGCTGAGCTCGATGTGTGCCTACAGATCCATCTATACGGACATTTCGAGATTGCTGGGGGATGATGCACGGCCCTAGAGCCTTTGGGGGAGGACCTGGAGCAGTAGTAGGCCTCCGGGGGCCGGTGGATTTTGAATCTGTGAATCTGAATATAAATTAAAAGGCTCGAGGTCGCCCGCTCGTCAGTGATCATGAATGCCCTGGCCTCTCACCGGTCGAAGCAAACAGCAGATACTCCAGCGTCGTGCACTTTTCAGCTCCCTTCCTTTGTATGGCTTCCAAAAGGCTTATCGCTAGCATATGATTGCCACCTCGCTCCTGGTCAGGACCGAAGTCCTCCTGCCGAGGATCGTAAGACTAATCCTACATTCTTGCTATGACTCCAGAAAGTAAAGATGATGATGCAGCCGGGCACCCACCTCCACCATCCCATTCCCCTCCCTCCCTCCACTTTGCGTGTTCCACTTCCATACCCCTTGACCTACGTGCACAAGACGATGCTACCTGCTCAGATCCTATTCGAGTCGTAGCACGCTAGATCTGCTTCTATGGCTGCCAATCTAGGCAACCTTGTCTGCTAGCTAGTACACTTCAGCGACCGCATCCATGTAAAGAAGGACTGATCGCAGAGTATCGAAATTCGGGCTGTTTTGGAAGGAGTGAAATGACAACCGGTTAGCACAGCTTCGGAAATCTCCCGTTAGTGTGTATGCATCGACGGCGACGGTGAACACATTTGCCCCCGGATTCCACGATCTAGTTAAGGATGTCGTGGTCCTTTTCAGCTGTAAATCATCCTCCTTTGGTTTCTTATCATCTGCACTTCCACACTCTTGAGCTCACATCTACGTCCATCAGCTTCATTCGATTCGGATCTTTTCGTGTTATGAATATTGACAGATGTCCTGTCTGTCTTGAAACACACAAAGTAGGACGTTACTCCTCCCTTCATGAGCCGTGAAGAGCTTAGGAGAATGAAGAGCAATTTGCAAACGCTAATTTGTTTTCCTTGGCAGTCAGGAGTGAGCCATAACAGAGGGTTTTCTTGATATTGTCTGTTGACCTCACTAACGACGAACGAAAACAGCCTGGATCAAACGTTTCATGTTTAGCAATAATGAATATCTGTTCGAATTAGTAATAAAGGACCACGAAGGAACTCCATGGTCTGGATGTGCATTACGACATGATCGAAGGAGTTTACTGAAGTGATTTGCTAGTCACTGATATTATAGAATCCATGATAATCTGGTCAGATCATTAATAATTTGATAATGTGCTAGCTGCAATCCCCAAGTTCAGAAGATGTGGCATTCCTTTGCAGGAAGGAACTATATGATGTCCGAGTGATGGTTAGAATTTATCATGAGGATATGCAGAGATGGTGCAGTGAATGCAGCTCTACGTGAGGACCCAAATGAAGTTTGGATTATGGAATTAATTACTGCAACTTTTTATAAATCGATGCATAATATGGTTCAGATATTTATCATTTACAGCTGCGACGTCAAAACTCCATTTGTTAAGTCTTCTGGAACGAACGGGATCCTCACTTTGGGGCACAGGTGCACTTGAGCAGTTACGTGCTATGACTTCGAATGTGGGTATGGCAAGGAGGCAGATCATTCCTGTATGATCGTAGAAGTTGACTCGCAAAGTCCAATCACTCGATGAATCAACCAATCAAACATATTCGTCGGTGAAAATTCAACCAAGTCCATGGATAGAAAAATAGGATGTTTCTACTGCTTGATGTTCGTGCGTGCGTACTCGTTCGGGTCTCACGATGAACCATAATCCGGCGAAAGTCAAGCCCGATGATAAATGAATACAGAGAGAGGACTATAGAACTGTGCTGCACGAGCATCTGAATCCGGACTTCGACCACATCATGATCACAAGGTGATATTCCTCTCATGATGAGGATGATAATGATTTCAGTCTGAAGTAGAGGTCTTCTTGGCATTGCATTGCGTTGCGTGTGTTTGTTTGTGTGTGTGTGTGTGTGTGTGGGGTTGTGGTAGGGGAGAATGTATAACGCCCCGCCCAGTCAACGATGATATTCTCTTCTCTGCGTGCTCATCGTGATCTAACGTGCTGGATTGGAGGCACATGAACATGCCGAAAGTTGAAGTTGGTAGATGGGTTTCCCGAATCCATAATGCCTTCCCTCCCTTCGTGCGCAGCCAGAATGTCTCCCTTCCGTCCCCTCTTCCTTGCCCTCCACGCTGGGAGGCATACTCTGCGAGGATGTGTTTGAACACAATCACTCCCTCACTCGAAAGGAGACGAGCGAAGCTGGAACCGGCAAACTGATGCGATCGATCGATGCACCATCCGTCCGGTGGGCCAGGCTCAGATTGAACTCAGCTCGAGAGCAGCCGCAGCTGTGCATCGGATTTGCCATCTGCAGGGAACATAAGGAAACTCAGACCCGCCCGGGCTTCACAGTCACACGTTCCCTTGCAACCTGCTCCAGGGATCAACTGCCTGTCTCCGTTGTTGGGCTCGCTGGCCAGACTTGTACCACTGGCACAGAAATCCGAATCCTTAATCGGAGGGGAGTGCATGCTGCAAGTGTATCTCGGTCCCAAGTGTATGCATGGAAACCCATTTGTAAGGAATCACAAGCGGCAAGCCCGACGCTCTTTGAGAAAGTGCAGCGGTGCACCGCATCGTTGTACAGACAGCAAGCAGTTCCTTCCGAGTTGAGAACTTGCGCAGGCCAGTGTGTGACGACTGATCCATCCAGTGAGTGAGAACCAGCCATGAAGCTACGGTGCCCAAGTCCTACTTCAAATCCATCTGATCGATTTTACATTTTCAAACCCGTTGCTTCTGATCTGATCTGATCTGATCTCACCTTTAGACATGCTTGACTTTGAGCAAGACGATCAAGGACACTGAGAACTCAAGGGCTGCCAGACAGCCAGGTAGCCTGACCATGCAAATGTGTCAGCCGTGTCATCCAAGTTTCCTGTGCCAGGTCTGTGCAGCTGAAAAGGTTATTCGGACGAAGCGGTGTCGCGGAATGGTGACCTCGGATCGTCCAGTTTCAGCGCAAGGGGAATGTGCACGGAGCCAGGTGCATCACTGTGCACGAGAATCCGCATCCATTTCATTGTCGACTGGAGACTCGACGCACGAGACAACAATTGGGTGACGTCCATGGCATACAGACGAATCTACTCGTGAAGAAAGCGGCCTATTCGAGTCCATTAGGAGCTGGACCCGGACAGAAGACGATCATCCGTCGGCTAGTGCAGCTCGAGACTTGCGTAGCAAAGCTGAAGGATAAAAAGTGAAGTTAACCGCTTGCATGCCTAGATGCCCACCTCCCTTTTTGGGTCCAGTGAAGAACAGCATGGTCATGGTGTTGCACGCAACGAGATCTATCTAAGTTTGGTGATCACATGGGCTAGGCTCCCGGGAATTCCATGAAGATTATACTGAATTGAATGCCTTGTCTGGCATGGGTATCCATCGCCATGCTCTTCATCCAGGGAGGGGTGCAAGGCTGCATCTTCGCAAATGCTGTGAATAAACCTCTCGCTTCGGATGCTCCACATGCATGTCTTCCCTCCAGATGCAGCATCTGCACATTATCGCCAAGTGGGCAGATCGTCTCTGGGATTCCGAGATGCCTAAGCTTGGATCACTGCCGGTCTACAGACTGAAGGATTGCAAATACGTTTTTGTTCAATTCAGCTTTGGATTGAGTGTTGCATCCTCACACCGTTCAGTCTTATCCTCTCTCAGACTTCTGAGCTGAATACAGGAGCTCAAAAAAAAGGACGAGTGAGAATTGGAGACTTGGGCCTCACTCTTCAGGGGCATGTGTACGTAAATAAACTATGAACCCTGCATTCATACTTTCATGAAACGGAGCACTCAGCATTCACGCATTCTCTGGTGTTAGCAGGCATGTGATCGTAGGAGGGGTGAGCGAGGACGAGGAGGAGGAGCATTCATGGTTCAAATGTGACTGATTCCGGAGTGGGGTGATCATGTTGCCGTCGGGACTTGAATCTGATCCTGTCTGGATCTAGAGCAGTGCACAGATCTGGAAGGGATCACTAAAATGACAGGAGAACGGTCACTTAAATGTCATGGATAGAGTTCATATATCATAGATTCTCAGCTTTTTGCTTCTAAAGCACTTCCAACAATCGGACTCTGTCAATAATTTGCAGCCGTTTCGTGCACATGTAACAAACGGATTAGTTGCTGACCGGGAAAACTGTGAACTTACGAAGATGATGGCGATTTGTTATGATCAGATCAAAGGACTCACGCAGCACCATCTTTGTGCGCGGCCTCAATGTGTGGAGACAGCTGTGTAATATCTGAGTGTCCATGGTTCTGAGTCACATAGGTGTAAGGTTTGCCCGAGGTTTGTAGATGCGGTTAGGCCATGGGCACTCGTGAGTCAAAGAGGTCTGTTTCGACCATCTCAAAGGACTTAGAGGGCACCATTTTTGTGCACTGGTGAGTCAAAGAGATCAGGCCCTCAACGTTGTTGTGGGAGTTTCTTTCCGCACACATCAGAGGGCCACGACCTTCCGTCATATAACCCCTTCCCATCTCCGCTTTCACAGGTACCCCATTTCCGCAGAATGCATGTTGGATGGCGCTGAATTCTGGTGCTTCGAGCTACAGACAGGGTTGAACGTGCTCGTATGGAGGCTAAATTGAAGCATACGACATACAAAACTACGGTTTTTTCGTGAGTGCCCAGCACATCTTTCCATCCATGGTATAGCTTGATATTACCCAGGATTCTGACCAATATCTACACACACTATCCCCAGGATATGGCTTTGTCATCCACAAGGACATACGTCTTCAAATGCAAAATTCATCGAAGCAGGTTGAGATTGAAGGAGGTTAACCGGAACGATAAGTTTGACCAATTCCAGAGTCAAGTGCTAACCGACTCGTTGACTCCATACAAAGGGCGATCCATGTTTGTTTCTTAAAGGACAGGAAGAATTGCTCAGACGTCGTACCTCTACGTGTAAGGAACCGAGCTTCAAGTAGACGAAATTATATGCCATTCATGCATTCATGTACAACATACGGATATTTGGCTGGTTCTGGATAATCATATGCTTCTGCAGTGGGTGAGAGGTTGAATATGCACATATTACCAACACCATTAGTTCAAAAACTGCAATTAAGTTGCAAAACTTAGCTCGTCGGCATCCTCTCAGTAGCGTGTTGCTTGTCCGAGAAGTCAACTCATGCGAAAGTAAAGCATGGTTGCCTATCATCTGTACAGATTTCAAACTTGCCGAGAAAACTGATACAGTAAGTGAGTATCAGCTCACCATTCTCTGTTCACGGGGATCCTTCACCCACGCATGCCTCCTTGCCGTAATCACAAGGACGGTGAGTGAGTAAAGAACGCTACTTGGGCGTGTTAACACTTAGAGTGACATAGAAAAGTACATGATTAACATGAAGAAGACAAATCCTCTTGTTCCAGGTTCTACTGTTGACAGTCAATTGTGTTTTCAGCATTCAACGAGTTATTGGATGCTCAAATACTTGTAACGACTGAACACTGACCAGGTCTGGAGCCCGTCGAAACTCTATACAATGGGTTTCCATTGTATAGAGTTTCCCTTCCAAGCTCAAGGTCCCACCTCCTGAGAAATTACCTTCTCTGTAGTAAGTCTTAGAAGCTACCGCACACTGACAATGAGTTTCTAATATTTTTAGACATTCTGATTCGAGCTTAGAGGTTGGTTCATAAGAAGTCCATAGTTGGTTCATTCTGAACCAACTGTTGACCCCGAATCGGCAAACCTCCGTCACGTCAGGTAGGATTCACAAGCGTTTTCTCAATGTCGATGACAAACCGATATCTGACATCCTTGTTCAACATTCTCGTAAGGGCCTCGTTGCAGTCCTTGATATCAACCATCTCAATCATTGGTGTAACATTTTTCTTTGCACAGAAGTCAAGCATTTCTTGAATCTCTGCAATGCTTCCTGTGACACTTCCAGTAATACTCTTGAAGCCTGCAAGTCGTACATGACATCCACATGTTAAAACATTTATATGTTTGCACGAACTAATAACTTCAACTTTGCTCATTAGCATTTGCCTGTCATAACCAGCAGACCAAGCTGTGATAGTAAACACATTAACTATACAACAGAATAAGAAGAAGAAAGTCGGACAGTACCCAGAATCAGATTATGAGGTGCAAACTTGTGCTCGTGAGGGAATCCCACAATTACAAGATGGCCCCTGGGTTTCATCAGCGGAAGATAGAGATCAAGCGCATGTTCATAAGGGACAGTGTCCATTATATTGTGAATACTGTTCCGAGCAGCCTGCACAAGTCACAAAATGGTAAAAGATCAAATATTTTGTTACCATTTTGGTACATATTCGTCGATACACTGTAACGTTTCACATGCATACGTCTCATACCAAAGCTTCTTTTGGAAAAGCCTTCTCAACTGTATTCTCACCTCAAGCTGAGCAGGGTCAGATGTATTCACAAAAGTATCTGCTCCAAGAACTGACAGTGCTTCTTCCCTCTTGCTCTCGGATGTGCTCATGACGGTAACCTTCATCCCAAAAGCTTTTCCGAATTTCACAGCCATGTGGCCCAATCCTCCTAGACCTATGACACCAAGAGTTTGGCCAGCTTTGTTCATACCCAACCGCGTCATAGGGCTGTAAACTGTGATCCCAGCACACAACAAAGGTGCAGCCTCAGCCATAGATAGGTTCTCTGGGATGGCCAAAACATGACTGCAAGATGAACACCAGATACTTTATCACCCCCGAGAAAACACATAGCGAGTCCGTGCCACTCACTGACTGAGAACTGACCATTTTCTTCCTTCCGCAATCTATACTATACAATGAACTGATGCAATTTGTTCACGGCCTACTCTCGCCTCCAATGTCAAGTTATCCACTGATCACCTGCCTAAAATATCGCCATTTCCTTAAAGCAGCAAGCAATCAACACAGACTGCACACAGCTCTCCAGGCCCCACACTTATGAGTTCACTGTGCCAGATTGGCCCAAGAGCACTGCCTGCGATAAACGGGAATCATTCCGAAGCAGAATCGTTCCATCATATTACTGTATCATATTACTCAATTATCATATTCCAGCTTTATAGTGAAGTTACACATTATTCTGATTTAGGAGCAAGTCATGGAGCTAAACACGAAGTGTATCCTGCGGTATACGAATGATCCGTAGAAACAGTCTTGTAACTGATGGACTACGAAGACACGGTAGAACAAAGAACATTTCTGGGTACAGAATAATGTAGCATTCGCCCCTGAGAGATGAGGCGTTTCATGAGAACCTTCTATGTGATCAGGTGGATGCGTATTCAAAGAACTCGAAGCTGTATAATCCGAGAATCTTTCATCTAATTTTCAACATTGCGTTTGAAATTCTGCATAATTGTGTCGACATACTGGACTCAAAGACAGACTTCACTAAAAACTCATGAGAGTCGGGTGAGATTTGTCGTACTCTTGGTTGCAGACCATGTGGGTTGAGTATCCTCCAGCTGTTAGAGTACCATCACGATCGTAGGCGTTGTAGGTCATGACCTTCTGGTCACAAATCTGTTGCATACCATCCTTGCAAATTTCGCACTCTCGACAGGAATAAACGAAGGTTCCGACCCCTACGCGATCACCTTCTTTGAATCGTGTTACATTCGAACCCACTTCCGTAACCACCCCCACAACCTCGTGCCTGCGTCGACAATGATTCGTCCATTTATGAACCACTCTAATAAACTTAGCATAATGAGGGCAAATTTGCAAACTCGCACTTACTTTTCTAGTCAACTGAGAACACGAGGTTGCACCTAGTGATGATGTAAGCAACTTTTCTTTTTTCCTCTAGAGAAGATCAACACTCACAAGATCAAAGCTTGTTAAGATGTGAATATCTACACATGTAAAGATTCATGTGGCCATACAGACATGTCAAGCGTGATTGCACTTGAAATTAAGTTGGTACCAGCAGCTCAGAAACCGAGACGTGCAAGGAAAATCTACAGAAAAATTCTCGGCATTGATTGTGTCTTCCATCAACCAGCTCGAAACATATATAAATGAGCGTACCCTGGCACCATGGGATACTTGCTATCCCCGAGCTTGTTGAATAACCACACCAGTTCTGCATGGCACATCCCGCAGTGCGTAATACGCAAATTCACGTCGTCTGGTCCTGTGGGTCTACAAAAACAGGACGCTTGTCTCAATCCTGTTGCTCATCTTAACGGCGCATTCTGGACGGCAAAACCCGTATGCTAAAGAATGTGCCAGACATTACCGAGGATGAAAAGAAGATCTCCAGACTTGTCTCAAAACATCCACAAACGGAGCACATGAATCAATCTTCTGAACATCGTCTCCGAATCCATCTTCGAAATCATGCCACCCTCATCTAAAGTTCCACTGAGCATACAATGCCCGGCTGAAATTCGAGTGCAAAAATCTTCGAAACACTCTGCGACCAAAAACAGCACCTGCGAGTGAACTTGAAGGGGACGAGCACTCCATTAGCATCGTGAGCGGCCCATCCGAAGCAGTTCGGCTCCCCTGCCATTTGTCAATCCCGGAGCTGCACGACGAAGAAACCTCCGAATCTGCAACAATCTACAATCCACAGTAAACGACGAGCCGAACGACGATAAGAATCAGAAATTGTTCGAAAAGGATCGAAATGTCCGCCCAGCACAGATGGGGGGATGGGGATTCACTTCCAAGTGGAGAATGGAGGTACTGTCTTCCGAATTTATGGTGCAAGGCAAGAAAGGAGTTTCGGATGAGGCACCGTTGTTCACCTGGTCGGGGCCACAGAAGCGCCAGGTAAGCCCGGAGATCCTCCTTCAGTCGATGTCTGCTCGATCGAGCGTCAAGGTGCCGGGCCCGCCATAGCTAACCACCAACGCAGGCTCGAGATCTGGGGCCCGTCCTGCCCGGGCTCAAGCAGCAGCCGAGAGAGACAGACAGAAGCAGACCTCCATTCCAAAGAAGATCTGTCCGTCCGTCCTCACGAAGGAGACTTCTGTCGAACTTTTCGCAGTCGACGTGGCGACCTCTTAAGGTCTCAGTGGAGGAGCAGGGGCAGTTCTCGTTAAACTCTCGTGGACACTGATTCTCGGCGGGAGCCGCAGGGCAGATTGTGGAGAATGGAGTCTTATCAAGTTCCAGAATTCGATGAATCCGATTTGCATCTGAGATATCGATCTGCTATCTCTGGCGGATGAGCTGAATGAATCTTCTATTCACGAGCGCAATCTCGAATCTTAAATACTACGATGATTAATTTTGTGATTGATTTCGGCATAGCAGTTTTAGTAAGTGACTCTGCAACCGCCATGCACGTCCAGTTACTGTGAATAATCGATCTGGAAAACTTCGCAGCGCCAGCCCTATCGATCATGAGCTGATTACGAATCTGATATGGATGTCGTGTGGAGAACAACCTGTCGTGTTTTGTTTGCGTGTTCCAAGTGGCTTTCCACGCTCAGTCAAAGCATGGACGATACAGTCTTCATCCCCTTTTTATTCGACGACTGCAGTGGGACTAACGTAGACGAGTGAGATTGCGTCCAGGTATTATCAGGTCTTTGTGCGAGTTGCTCGCAGAAGCGTAACAGGAGGTCAGCAGCTTTTGGCCATTGTCCAATATTCTACGCACAGCTTCAATGCATTTAGAGAGAACTAATCTACACAAGGCTGTTCAAATTCCATCATTCATTGTGGAAACGTCACCTTCTTCCAACCAAAATAAGTAATAAAGTGCATGTCTAAGTACTAAGTAACAAGTAATAGGCATGCACTTTATTTCATCTGAAGATTTCGTCTGAGGTTTATTTAACTCGTTCTAGTACTAGAGCTATGAATCATCACCACATTTTACCACAGGCTTCAACACATTTTACACCTGCATGTGTGCGGAACTCGACATATACTTAGCATTACGATGCAGTTCGAGCGTACGACACTTATTACACATTATACAGATATTTGCGACATTCATGGTGAGGTAATGCCTACCATCGTCAATCTGCAGTCCAATTTGATGACTTTTTCGTCTCCGTGGCAGAAAGAGATAAAGCGTGGTCCTTCTATTTGCTTCTAGAACTACTGATGTCACCGTGCAGCAGGCCTGACTACAATCTCATGTATCTAATAGTCGAGTGTGCATTTTGTACGTTTTCATCCTCTGATACATTCATTCTATATATTTGTAGATTGTCCACTTTCCAATTTTGTCTAGTCATATGAATATTGGAATAGCCACCGTATGATTACATGCGGTGGACTGACAGACGTATCGTAGACTGGATACAATTAACATACTTATTCCAAAATTGTGAATGCAAGAAATATTTTGAACACGTACAGCTTTGTCTCCACAGAATCTCATCATCTTGTTGCATTGCTAAATTTTAATGTATCTTTTTATTTTATCACTCTCTTGCATGGCTTGATTGATAACTACTCATGCATCCAGTTGAATTCTTCCTCCGCCATGAGCAACGGCAACTCCCCTCTCAAAGATTCACCGAGATTTGTGTAGATTCTCTATTCACACCTTCACTCTTATTGGCCACCTTCTCAAACAAGAAACCAAGCTCAAAATGAAGAAACTCGTCCTCCTCGACTCTACATCCCTCAACCACAGACTTTACAAAGTACGCCCGGTCTCGTCGACCGGCGATGGAAGACTCTCCGAGCCGCACTTCACCTCTGGCTCGAGAGAATTTCCAGCGGGGCCGTCTTATGTCGGATGCTGTTTCAGCTGGGCTGCACAAAAGGCACAACCTGTCACCTTTTCCTTCTGCCAATTGGAACTTTCGACTCGGTTGTACTTCCCTCCCGATGCTTCCCTTTCAATGCACGAGGACATTAACAGGACTGCAAGCAAGGACGAGCTATGAACAAGGGAAAGAAATTCTGGGAAGCAGAAGCAGGATCGTGGCGAGCTTGGTTCATCATCCGCGTCTTCACCACGTCCGCCGGGCAGCTGAGAATGGTGGCCGACAGGCCGGACATGACGGAAGCGCAAGTGTGCGCCCCGATGTTGTCGCCAAAAAATCCCTTCTCGAGGACCAATTGCTTGTCCGCATCGTAGCACGCCAGCTCCCCCATGTTCACCAGAAACGCGCGTTGGACATTGGGCCCGACGCCTCGCCATAGACCTCCCACTCCCTCCGTCTTCACGATCTTGGCGAACGCATCGACCAGCCCCGTGTAGCGTGGAGCTATATCTTCAAATTTGCAAAGTGGCACTTACTGGCACGTAGTCCAGAATGCGCCGAAAAAGAGAAAAAAAGTCCTCTTGTTCCAGGTTCTACTGTTGACAGTCAATTGTGTTTTCAGCATTCAACGAGTTATTGGATGCTCAAATACTTGTGACGACTGAACACTGACCAGGTCTGGAGCCCGTCGAAACTCTATACAATGGAAACACCTTCCAAGCTCAAGGTCCCAGCTCCTCAGGTATTACGTTCTCTGTACTAAGTATTGGAAGCTACTGCACGATGACAATGAGTTTCTTTTAATTTTAGACATTCTGATTCGAGCTCAGAGGTTGGTTCATGAGAAGTCTACAGTTGGTTCGTTCTGAACCAACTGTAGACCCCGAATTGGCAAACCTCCGTCACGTCAGGTAGGATTCACAAGCGTTTTCTCAATGTCGATGACAAACCGATATCTGACATCCTTGTTCAACATTCTTGTAAGGGCCTCGTTGCAGTCCTTGATATCAACCATCTCAATCATTGGTGTAACATTTTTCTTTGCACAGAAGTCAAGCATTTCTTGAATCTCTGCCATGCTTCCTGTGACACTTCCAGTAATACTCTTAAAGCCTGCAATTCGTACATGACATTCACTTGTTAAAACATTTATATGTTTGCACGAACTAGTAACTTCAACTTTGCTCATTAGCATTTGCCTGTCATAACCAGCAGACCAAGCTGTGATAGTAAACAAATGAATGAAATGAACTATACAACAGAATAAGAAGAAGAAAGTCGCACAGTACCCAAAATCAGATGATGAGGTGCAAACTTGTGCTCGTGAGGGAATCCCACAAGTACAAGATGGCCCCTGGGTTTCATCAGCGGAAGATAGAGATCAAGCGCATGTTCATAAGGGACAGTGTCCATTATATTGTGAATACTGTTCCGAGCAGCCTGCACAAGTCACAAAATGGTAAAAGATCAAACATTTTGTTACCATTTTGGTACGTATTAGTCGATACACTGTAACGTTTCACATGCATACGTCTCATACCAAAGCTTCTTTTGGAAAAGCCTTCTCAACTGTATTCTCACCTCAAGCTGAGCAGGGTCAGATGTATTCACAAAAGTATCTGCTCCAAGAACTGACAGTGCTTCTTCCCTCTTGCTCTCGGATGTGCTCATGACGGTAACCTTCATCCCAAAAGCTTTTCCGAATTTCACAGCCATGTGGCCCAATCCTCCTAGACCTATGACACCAAGAGTTTGGCCAGCTTTGTTCATACCCAACCGCGTCATAGGGCTGTAAACTGTGATCCCAGCACACAACAAAGGTGCAGCCTCAGCCATAGATAGGTTCTCTGGGATGGCCACAACATGACTGCAAAATGAACACCAGATACTTTATCACCCCCGAGAAAACACATCGCGAGTCCGTGCCACTCACTGACTGAGAACTGACCATTTTCTTCCTTCCGCAATCTATACTATACAATGAACTGATGCAATTTGTTCACGGCCTACTCTCGCCTCCAGAGTCAAGCTATCCACTGATCACCTGCCTCAAATATCGCCATTTCCTGAAACCAGCAATCAAGCAACACAGACTGCACACAGCTCTCCTGGGTTGTGTACTGAGCCAGGCCCCACACTGATGAGTTCACACTCTCCCAGATTGGCACAAGAGCACTGCCTGCGATAAACGGGAGTCATTCCGAAGCGAAATCGTTCCATCATATTACTCAATTATCCCCAGCTTTATAGTGAAGTTACACATTATTCTGATTTAGGAGCAAGTCATGGAGCTAAACACGAAGTGTATCCTGCGGTATACGAATGATCCGTAGAAACAGATTTGTAACTGATGGAGGACAGTTTCTGGGTACAGAAAAATGTAGCATTCGTCCCTGAGAGATGAGGCGTTTCATGAGAACCTTCTGTGTGATCAGGTGGATGCGTATTCAAACAAACTCGAAGCTGTATCATCCGAGAATTTTTCATCTAATTTTCAACATTGCGATCTGACATTCTGCATAAGTGTTTCGACATGCTGGACTCAAAGACAGACTTCAATAAAAACTCATGAAAATCAGGTGAGATTTGTCGTACTCTTGGTTGCAGACCATGTGGCTTGAGTATCCTCCAGCTGTTAGAGTACCATCACGATCGTAGTCGTTGTAGGTCAGGACCCTCTGGTCACAAACCTGTTGCATACCATCCTTGCAAATTTCGCACTCTCGACAGGAATAAACGACCCCTCCGACGCCTACGCGATCCCCTTCTTTGAATCGTGTTACATTCGAACCCACTTCCGTAACCACCCCCACAACCTCGTGCCTGCGTCGACAATGATTCGTCCATTTATGAAACACTCTAATAAACTTAGCATAATGAGGGCAAATTTGCAAACTCGCACTTACTTTTCTAGTCAACTGAGAACACGAGGTTGCACCTAGTGATGATATAAGCAACTTTTCTTTTTTCCTCAAAAGAAGATCAACACTCACAGGATCAATGCTTGCTAAGATGTGAATATCTACACATGTACAGATTCATGTCAAGCGTGATTGCACTTGAATTTAAGTTGGTACCTTGCACGTCTATCGAGACGTGCAAGGTAAAATCTACAGAAAAATTCTCAGCATTGATTGTGTCTTCAATAAACAAGCTGGAAACATAATATAAACGAGCGTACCCTGGCACCATGGGATACTTGCTATCCCCGAGCTTGTTGAATAACCACACCAGTTCTGCATGGCACATCCCGCAGTGCGTAATACGCAAATTCACGTCGTCTGGTCCTGTGGGTCTACAAAAACAGGACGCTTGTTTCAATCCTGTTGGTCATCTTAACGGCGCATTCTGGACTACGTGCCAGACATTACCGATCACTGACGAAGAATGAAAGAAGATCTCCAGACTTGTCTCAAAACATCCACAAACAGACCACATGAATCAATCTTCTGAACATCGTCTCCGAATCCATCTTCGAATTCATACCACCCTCATCTAAAGTTCCACTGAGCATACAATGCCCGGCTGAAATTCGAGTGCAAAATTCTTCGAAACACTCTGCGACCAAAAGCATCACCTGCGAGTGAACTTGAAAGGGACGAGCACTCCATTGGCATCGTGAGCGGCCCATCCGAAGCAGTTAGGCTCCCCTGCCATTTGTCAATCCCGGAGCTGCACGACGAGGAATTCTCCCAATCTGCAACAATCTACAATCCACAGTAAACGACGAGCCGAACGACGACGCGAATCAGAAATCGTTCGAAAAGGATCGAAATTTCGGCCCAGCACAGATGGGGCGATGAGGACTCACTTCCAAGTGGGGAATGGAGCTACTCTCTTCCGAATTTATGGTGCAAGGCAAGAACGGAGCTTCGGACGAGGCAACGTTGGTCACCTGGTCGGGGCCACAGAAGCGCCAGGTAAGCCCGGAGGTCCTCCTTCAGTCGATGTCTGCTCGATCGAGCGTCGAGGTGCCGGGCCCGCCATAGCTCACTACCAACCCAGGCTCGAAGGTCTCAGTGGAGAAGCAGGGGCAGTGCTCATGAAACTCTCGTCCACACTGATTCTCGGCGGGAGCCGCAGGGCGGAATGTGGAGATTTGAGTCTTATCAAATTCCAGAATTCGATGAATCCGATTTGCATCTGAAATATCGATTTGCTATTTCTCGCGGATGAGCTGAATGAATCTTCTATTCACTAGCGCAATCTCGATTCTTTAATACTACGATGATTAATTTTGTGATTGTTTCAGCACAGAATTTGTAGTGAGTGACTCTGTAACCGCTATGCACGTCCAGATACTGAGAACAATCAATCTGGAAAACTTCGCAGCGGCAGCCCGATCGAAGCTGATTACTGATCTGATATGGATGTCGTGTGGAGAACAACCTGTCGTGTTTTGTTTGCGTGTTCAAAATGGCTTCCCACGCTCAGTCAAAACTCGATTGACGACTGACGGTCTGACTGCAGACTGACGGGGGTCAGTCCGCAGTCAGACCATGGACGATATAGTCTTCATCCCCTTTTTATTCGACGACTGCAGTGGGACTAACGTATACGAGTGAGATTGCGTCCAGTTATTATCAGGTCTTTGTGCGAGTTGCTCGCAGAAGCGTAACAGGAGGTCAGCAGCTTTTGGCCATTGTCCAATATTCTACGCACAGCTTCAATGCATTTAGAGAGAGCTAATCTATACAAGGCTGTTCAAAGTCCGTCATTCATTGTGGAAACGGCACCTTCTTCCAACCAAAATAAGTAATAAAGTGCATGTCTAAGTAATAAGTAATAAGTAATAGGCATGCACTTTATTTCATCTGAAGATTTCGTCTGAGGTTTATTTAACTCGTTCTAGTACTAGACCTAATGAATCATCACCACATTTTACCACGAGTTTGAACACATATTACACCTGCATGTGTGTGGAACTCGGTGTATACTTCGCATACGATGCATTTGGAACGTACGACACTTGTATAACCGAATTCAGATATTTGCGACATTCATGGTGATGTAATGCCTACCATCGTCAATCTGCTGTCCAATTTGATGAATTTTTCGTCTTCGTGGCAGAAAGAGATAAAGCGTGGTTCTTCTGTTTGCTTCTAGAACTACTGATGTCATCCTGGAGTTGGTGTTGACGGCCTGACTACAATCTCATATATCTAATTGTCGAGTGTGCATTTTGTACGTTTTCATCCTCTGATACATTATTCTGGAGATATGTAGATGATCCACTTTCCCATTTTATGTAGACCTATCTATATTAGAATATCCATCGTATGATTTCATGCGGTGGACTGACAGACGTATCTTAGACTGGATACAATCAACACACTAATTCCAAAAATTATAATGCATGAAGTATTTTAAACACGTACAGCTTTGTCTCCACGGAACCTCATCATCTTGTTACATTGCTAAAATTTAATGTATCTTTTTATTTTGTCACTCTCTTGCATGGCTTTATAGATATACTACTCATGCATCGAGTTGAATTCTTCCTCCGCCTTGAGCTACGGCAACTCCCCTCTCAAAGATTCACCCAGATTTTGTGTAGATTCTCTACCCACACCTTCACTCTTATTGGCCACCTTCTCAAACAAGAAATCTACACAAGTGCAGTAACTAGCCTGGACCAGATTAATTTTTAATTTGAGTTTTTTTGATACCAACCATAGATTAGTCTCCACCAGACTATTTAGAAATCTAAACTATTTGTGTGTTTCAAACAAAATTATGGACCAGACTAATTAGTAATATTCCAAAATAGTATGGATTGGAGAAATAAGTTCAAAAAATGCCAAGAGTGAAGTTGTTTATTTTTTATCATACTTATTTCATAACGCACTCTCATCTGCAAATTGAGGACGATTTCCCATCAAAGTAATTGCGATGATTCATTATGATCGCATGCAACTCCGGCATTAATTGTTTGATATGCCATTCTCCTCGCACATCGAGTGCCAATCCATAACAAATCATGGTTTTCCGAGCATAGGCGAGTTAGCATCTCCGTTGCATGTTTACATCCCTGATAGAATCCGCTGCCAACTGCAAAAATAATCTTTCCTTGGGTTCAATAAGCTTGCCCGACCATCCGCCATCGCGGCGAACTCTATTTGAGCATTGCTGTTCTCAGATCATCTCCATCTTCTTGCTCTCCCATTGTTTTGTCCAAGCATACTTGATCTTGGAAATAACAAAAGAATCTGTCGGCTGAATCTTGTCAGTAACACATGGAGTGAAGAACCAAAGGGTTGTCTTGGTTCTAGTCAGCGCATCTGATTCCTTGTTACCTCCGCAATTGTCTAAGAATAATAACTTTTTTCTTCCATAACAATCATGTCAAAAAGCATGTGGTTCAAAGAGCCATTGCAAGAATATATGCATATCATTCCACCCTTTCGGCCCCTCTGCAATAGCTTGCACCTGGCACATCATCTAATAAGCCCTGAATGAGATAGTATGTATTTTTGTTCGTGAAGATGATCATAAGTGCCTCTATATGTGAGGATACTCCCCCTCTACTACTGACCATCATGATCATACATTCTACTCCGGAAAGAACATCAGCGTATTTGACATCGTTATTTCTCCGAATTCATAGGATCCTATCATTTTCAACATTCACCACGAAATGAGTCTCTTGTATATTTTTGATTAGGTTTTCATATAACTCGCCAGATGAAAATACTCTAAATAGTTCGCCCAAGTTGTACGCGATGGTCTTCTCAACATGAAGTTCTTTCTCTGGGCTACATAGCAGCTTTCCAATCTAAGCGCGCACGACCACGTTGTGTTTCAATATGAATGTTTGGACTCACCTTGTCGTAATTTTGTCAACAATAAGTTTGCCGTCTGCATCTCTGAAATCCGCACTGAATTCTCCCTCATCTGATTTGATAATGTCTCTAGCCAGAGTGCCAAGCAAGGCTGTTGAGAACTTTAGCCCCGTTTTTCACAGTCGGTGGAACTCCTCATTGAGATCTACATACATGTGAACCACCCAATGTTTTGTGTTACGGCCACGACGTGCCACCGCGTTTATATTCATTCTCGTAACCTTGAATTGCTCATTCCTCTACAAAGACTCGGGATGCTCACTGGACTCTAAGTACTTGTCTTTCAGTTTTCACCATGACGACGCTTTTTGAATATTTGCCTTGAAGGATCCACTGAAAAGATGTGGAAAGTTTGCCGCTGCTTTGGCGAAAAGATACTTCTTGCCGTTGGAATCACATTCTTGCATCATCCAACAAACTACCACACGACGACTCCCAATGGAAATCACTTGCTGTAGCTTTCGCATAAAGTTTGACTCTACTTTGGAGAAAAGATACTTCTTGCCGTTGAAATCACATTCTTACATCATCCAACAAACTAACACACTGCGACTCCCAACCGAAACCACTTGCTGTAGCTTTCTTTCTCGCTGCATGTTTGCCTGAGAGAATTCTTACTGATGAGCTTCTTTCACAACCTCTTCCTGATCAGCTACTTGTTACTGATAAACTGCACATTCTTACGGATTAATGATCTCCTAACAAGAGACTTGAAAGTGAGCGAAACCAACTATAATAGGAGAGGACGAAAAACGCAACAGCAAATTGTGAAAATAGCAAAAAACCGCGAGGGCAGGTGTAGCGATTGCCTATCAATCTTAAGTGCAAAATAAGCGTGGTGCTTAGTTTGGATTACAATAGGTAAGTGATTACCACCACTCATGAGATTTATTTACAGATAAAAACATGTATTAGTCTGGCCATACTATTTATGAATCCATACTATTTGCCAATCGAGAGTAATTACTATCCTCGATGTAGCTCAAAATGAAAAAACTCATCCTCGACTCTACATCCCTCAACCACACATTATCAAGGAGGGCACATTTCTCATATAATATCTTGACAATATCATACTATATCACCTTTTCTCAACATTGATTAATCCTTATGCAGGGTTCAAGCGGAATCAAAACCAAGTAATTCTACATTCGAAATTTACCTCTGATAAGATTATTTCTTTATAATACTGTCATACAATCATTAGTACTTTTGCGGTCGTTATGCTTAAATCAGTTTGCAGAGTTGAAATCGAATCTGTGCAAGATTCACCTTTGCCAATTCGGCCCATCCTTCTTCTCGCGACGTTGCCCAAATATCTTTCACCATTTTTCAACCATTGTTCTAATTTGAAGCACAAATTCGCCTTCTCAGACTTTCCCGCACAACTCTGAACATACGTAGTCCGGCCATCATGCTAGGCATAATCTTCTCATGTTACTCGATGTCACTCAATCAATTGTCGATACCAATCCTCGCACAGCTCTACGGGTCTTACCATCATTTGTCAATCCATTTGGCCCGTTACTAGTGGCAAAGATTCGGATTTCAAAATACCTCCGATGCTTCTATTCTATGTGGATATTCTGGTCCATGCCTGAGATGCACGTCGAGTGAATCTAGGTTAGGTGAATCCACACCATCTCGATCGACGAAATCCTTTCTCGTTCACCAACGAAGGAAGACTTCAGCTCCAACAGAAGAAGAACTCGCTTACAGTTGACGATCTCAGCTTCATACACGCCGGGAATCTGTCCGACGAGATCCAGGGGTGAAGGATGCAAAGATCGATCGCTCTATAACCAAGCAACGGAGGAGGAAGGAGAGGAAGAAATTTGCGCAGAATCGAATTGCTCAAATTGCATCGTCTCGGTCTGAAGGGGATTCGGAATGGCTCCGTCAGCCGCAGCGATGGAGCAGGATTTCGGGCTCCGATTGGTGCTCACATCGGCGTCGGCTGTGGCAGCGGAGTCGGTGACATTTCCCATCGACATGACGAAAACTCGATTGCAGCTGCAGGGAGAGATGGGGCGCACGCAGGGAGCGAAGAAAGGAGCCGTGGGCATGGCCCTGCACATCGCCAAAGACGAAGGAATAGCGGGCCTCTACCGCGGCCTGTCGCCGGCCTTGCTGCGCCATGTCTTCTACACTAGCATCCGAATCGTCTCGTACGAGCAGATCCGCAACCATGTCCACACAGGCGACGACAAACACAATGTCTCGGTCACCAAAAAAGCCTTCATCGGTGGCGCTTCTGGAATCATCGGACAGGTCGGTGCCATTTCTTCACATGCATCCTTTGCCTGCTGCTAGCAACTCTTTCGGTAGCAACGCATGATTGCGATCGGGAGGAGGTCGATCGGTCACGGGAGAACGAATGACGAGGATCCGAATCGTGTTGCGCAGTTGATCGCGAGTCCCGCCGATTTGGTGAAAGTGCGCATGCAATCCGACGGGCGATTGATCAAAATGGGGCAAGCTCCTCGCTACACGGGGCTGGTCGATGCGTTCGCCAAGATCGTGAAGACGGAGGGAGTGGGAGGTCTATGGCGAGGCGTCGGGCCCAATGTCCAACGCGCGTTTCTGGTGAACATGGGGGAGCTGGCGTGCTACGATGCGGCCAAGCAATTGGTCATCGAGAAGGGATTCTTTGGAGACAACATCGGGGCGCACACTTGCGCTTCCGTCATGTCCGGCCTGTCGGCCACCATTCTCAGCTGCCCAGCGGACGTGGTGAAGACGCGGATGATGAACCAAGCTCGCCACGATCCTGCTTCTGCCACTGCCGCCTCCTCCTCCGTCTGCTACCGCAATTCCGTGGACTGTCTGGTGAAAACCATCAAATTGGAGGGAGTTGGAGCGCTCTGGAAAGGATTCTTCCCCACCTGGACTCGATTAGGGCCCTGGCAGTTCGTCTTCTGGGTGTCGTACGAGCAGCTGCGCAGTCTCACTGGCCTATCGTCGTTCTAGAGGCGCAATTGCCCATTTGTCAATTGGCCGCTTTCCTTGTCCGTCGACGAAACCTGCTTTTTTGCACATTCCTAGAATTTCTTTCCCTCGTTCCCAGCTCGTCCTTGCTTGCAGTCCTGTTACTGTCCTCGTGCATTGCAAGGGAAGCATCCGGAGGGAACTACGACCGAGTCGAAAGTTCCAATTGGCAAAACGAAAAGGTGACAGGTTGGAGCTCCACGAATCTTCGAGAGAAAGATTGTGCTCTTTGTGCAGCCCAGCTGAAACTGCATCCGGGATGAGACGACCCCGCTGGAAATTCTCTCGAGCCAGAGGTGAAGTTCTGCTCGGAGAGTCTTCCATTGCCGGTCGACGAGACCGGCGTACGCTGCAATCGTGATTTCGTTTCCTTCGTCTCACCCACAATCGAGGCACTTTTGCTGAAGATCCATCATCAGGTCGAATGGCCCAACGCGATACCAAGCGTGCGAAACTTACACAAACGATCCCCTGTAGATTTCAACGCTCAGAACATTATACAAAAGTGTACAATATGTAATCAGATCATGGGGGACAACACCTCCAAATTTTCTACGATCAATGTCCATTGGCGCTCAATCAATTCTTGTTTCTAAAGGCTAGGACAGAGCAACCGAGCTTGACGTCAGCAGCTGCCTCACCGACATGAGAATCTGACAGAAAGACTTCAGAACTTTGGTTAAGAGTGCCTCACCGACATGAGAATCAGAATTGAGCTGAAAGTTCCGAGTGGTATCCACAGGTATTGTGGGAAGAAAGTTACCTCCGAATCTGATGCCGTTCGTAAAGAGATATCCAAAAACTTCAGCGGGACACATTCGTGAGGAGATTCCATGCGGACAAGAGTGAAGTTGAAGTGAGGAAACTGTCGAGCGAAAAGTCTAATTCCATATGTTGTGCTACAAAAGCTCAAAAGCTGGAGTCTTAAAGCTTGGCGTACGAGATTGTAATCATATGTTGTGGCATACAAATGATATTCATTTGCTGGTGAAGTTAGGAGTATAATGATTCAATATCAGAGTGATCTTTTATCTTTACAAAAAAAACTTTCCATGAGTGAACGACTTTTGATATGCAATCAAAACCCTTCAATTTCGTTAGACAGTATTTGTTTCTTCAAATTGTTATTAATAGATATGATTATGCAAAGAAGGAAGGAGATGGACACATGTTTGTATTACTTATTCACATTTCCTAACTTAATAACCGTAAATAGTACACAAATTCCCATCTTTTATTTTTTCCACCATCGATCCTATCTTAATTTACATTGTGTATATCATATAACACATGTATAATATACTTTCATGGATCAAATATCTTAATAAACTTTGCATAGGTTATGAATCCTTCTTCGTAATAATCTCCTATATATATATATATATATATATATATATATATATATATATATATATAATTCTGATAGTAATACACAAGATAACAAACAGTCTCGCGAAAGATTGTGACTTTCAGATGAAAAGATAATGCGCAGCAAAAGAGCTGACCCAGGTAGGACTTAAAACCACAACCCACTGGCCTTCTAGTGTGTTCTAAGGCAGTGGAATTTGTATCCCGCTCCCAGCCTCTCCAGTCGACCATAAGTTTACTAAGCTGCTGGGCCTCGCATGCAGTTTTGCAATCTCGTATGGTTCAATTATAACATGAAGTCTTGACCAGAACCAATTTACCTTTTGCACATCGATGCACCCAGCTTTTCAGTCTTTGAGTAGAGAGCCGTGAAAAACCATTAGTAGACAGATCTCGGTGTTTATCACGTGGGAAATAATGTGACTCTTCTGGGAGATCTACATGGGAGATGTGAACGAACTGTTCATCGCCCAATGTACTCAAATCTGCTACCTGTAAGCCGGATAAGAGTCAGTGAGCAATAATTGAGCAGGACACTGACAAGAGACAAGTCGGGTAAGAAGAGTGATGATTATAAGAAAGGTGTTCAGAGATGACTATCTTATAGTATCATATCCAATTACTCGTTGTCCGATTCCACAAGGCACGAAAAGCTTAGAAAAATAATCAGTGGTGTAAAATTATAAAGTAAGTATTAGCTCTATTCAACAAATATCGTATCACGAGAATACGCTATCACAAAATGCAACCAGTGCGAGTTACTTTGCAGAAGTCGAGTTTAGTTACTAGCTCAGCCCCCCCAGTGTACGACGGGATATCACAAAGGGAGCGACTCCCCACTGTGAGTCTTAATTTGCGTTGCGACCTTAGCTGGCAACGACGAGTAGAAACACAGAAGCGGAAGGGAATCAATCGTCGACGACGCAGTGCGCAAAAGGCGAAGCGGATGGACAAGGATACTCGTGTGCAGATATTCTCTCGTCCTCGACATGGTCCCACCTTTCGACTGCGGGCCTGCAGAGCCGAACAGCGGGAATACAACTCGTAATGAGCCAGAAGCGAATGGATTTGAAGAAGGAAGGCCAACGGACCGAAGCGTACATACGCGTATCGTACATGCACCTCGTAGGATGACGTGTCGCGCGCCTCCACGATTTCTGCCACGTGCAGCAACAGGAGACAGGCAGAGATCCGGAGGCCAACCGCGTACAGGAGTGGCGTGGATCGAAAGCCTACGAGCACGGGAACCAGGTACTGCTGGGGCTCCTTCTGCGCTTACTGCACTGTACGTTCGCCGGGACTCTGACTTTGCAGATCCCTTTGCGTAGTAGGTCGATCATTGGTTGGGAGTGCGGAGCTTCGTTCCTGCCTTCCTATCTTCGGGCGTGGGGAGGCTGCCGTTTGTCTTACTGACAGTGAAACGCGCGATCTCGGAGGAACACGCGAGAGAGAACCAGCGGCAGCAATTGAGATCGTATACATACATCTAGACGAGCTGGAGCGAGGAAGAACGGACATTTTTCAAGTGGATTGATTCGGCTTGCGGTCAGAGGACATCGGTTTGTGCATCGTGAGATTCCAAGTGTGTGAAGTGGACAGTATCTCTGACAGAACGAAGGGAGAAATGGCCGGAGCGTTGCCAGTTTTCTACACTTACCCGTTGGCTTTCAATCCAGCCAAGGCCAAAATTGCACTGGACGAGTGCAATATCAAGGTACGATTCACCTTTTCAATCCTCGCAGTGCTCCTCGTACTCTCCCTCGCTTGACAAACCGCAACATCGCTCAATTCTTCACTGACGTGAGGTATCCGAGCTTCCACACAATTTGAATACGCTTCAATCTGCTCCCCCTCAAGTGCCGTCTCACTGAACGAGAACAATGACCACTTTTCACACATCCCAGCGTCCATGCATTCCAGATTGTCAGATGCGTCGTGTAGTCAGATTTCAAAACTGCTATCATTTTTGCAACTAATCACCACGAGTCAGGACGACATCGAGTCGGTCTGTCGTGTCTTCGAGGAGAACGATGTCGACATATTGACATATCGACAGCTAGTACACTTGCAACGTAGTAAGGGCTGTACTTTCAGTATAGTTTAGGAGAGTTGATCAGGAAGTGAACCAGCTCTGCAGTCAGATTGCACTCATACGATCGTTAGTATAAGGTCATGGGGACTTACTACTTGGTGCCAGCATGGAAATTTATCCCAGAGAAAGAACAAATACGGTGATAGTGAGCAATCACTGTACTTATTCCCGAATTGAATCTTGTGGTTGTTTTCTGGCAGTCTGTACGTCCATCGAGAATTTAGTTTGAATTTCATCGGTCTAAATTTATCCATCTCCATCATTGTGCTTTGATTTCAGTACGTCGAGAAGAAGATTGACATCCTGAGTGGTCAATCCTTGGAGCCATGGTTCCTGAAGCTGAACCCCGGTGCGTGGGCTCCGACGTTGGTTGTGGGCGAAAATGTCATCTGCGAATCTGCAGAGATTGTCAAGTGAGTATGCATTTTGATATCACTAGCTCGAATGAAGGGGCTCCATTTTGCTACCCAAGTAGAAACCGCGGACTGAATGTCGTGCTTTGCTTCGGGTTTTCTCAGTTTCAATGTCGAGCTTTTACTTACCTGAATGCATGTTCGTTCCAAGCGTTGGCTTCGGTGATAATAACCTCTTGGTGTTGGGATGATTAGGTGGGCTGACGCACAAGGAACTCCTCTGGGTGGGGATAAGGTGGATCGGCAGTTCATTGATCAATGGGTCCAGAAGGTAGATAACTGGGACGGAAATTTGTTTGCTGCAGCCTTCGGACCAGCTGGTGGTGTGTTGAAGATCACCACGGAGCACAAGATCAAAATTTGTGAGGCTCAGGCCAAGAGGAATCCCGACTTAGCAGAACTGTACCAGAAGAAAGCTGCAGCAATGAAGGCACAAATCGAGGAACCCAACGACAAGGCCAAATGCGAGGCTAACAAAGCCCAACTCATCAGTCTTCTGGACGAAGCCGAAAGTCGACTAGCCACTGCTTCATATCTTGCAGGGGAAGAGTATTCCATCGCCGACGTCATTTTCACCCCGTGCCTCTACCGCATCCCGCAAGTCAAGCTGGACAAGGAGCTCATCGAGTCCAGGAACAACGTGCAGAAGTACTGGGCGTCTCTCAAGAAGAGGCCGAGCTATAAGAAGGCCTTTGGCGTTTCAGAAAGTCCTCTGTCCACAGCCAGTACAGTGATCCCTGCTTTCGGAAAGATCTTGCTCTCCAAGATCACCAAAAAATACTAACCACAACTGAGCAGCTGTCTGTATCAGTTAGCATTTGAAGGTACATCCTTTGTTTCAAAGCAAGACGAGTCCTCGGCCTTTTATGAACAGTCAAGAGCAACTTCAAAGTTGCAAGTGTTATGAGCGCTTTCGAGTGAATGAATGTCTATCTTGTTACCGAGAGAAAGGTTTTTTCTGAACACCTTTTGTGTCAGTTCAGGGCTACTGGACCTAAAAAAGGTAGCAGGATTCAGTGAACAGAGTGGACATTTTCCGGAAATCTGTAGTAAATCATTTCTGAAGGTCGAGGAGCTAGACTTTGTATATTAGATTCATTCGTATGTAATATATCAGACAACCCATTAGCGTAGAGTGTCGACAGGCTTATTTTCGGCTTTGAAAAAAATGCTGAATTTCTTTCCCGCGGCTGAAGTTCGCCAGCCTTGCAGTAAATTAGTATTGTGTCTCCAAATGATGTGGTATGGCCGCCGATACTTTACAGAATGTAGTGGTTTAAATTGCAAGCTCTGGCTTCTCTTATTGTAAAACTGAGCGGCAGTGAAGATCTTATCGAAATTCATTAAATGCTTAGTCTTCACAGTTGATGATATTAAGACGTGCTCTGCTCGTTTCCTTTCATTTATTTCTTGCATACTAGGCAGACAGTTGAATACATTCATTTATATCTCTCTGGTGAATCTTTCTTTAACGAATTTGTCGCTGGTGATATTTGATAATTCGACTGTAAAAATATAACTCGTGCCACGGAACAAATGTAGGCATACTTATCCAACTACAATCCCACATCAACCAGAGGCGACCAATAAGCAAATTATACAAAATAATACACCAAGGTTGCAAACCAAACAGAGAAGCTGGTCTTTCCCGAGTGGAAGTTGAAGTATTAAGCTGATGTGTATTCTGTTCGTTACCCGAGATTATTCTCCCTTCTGCTGTTCAACCTATCACTCTGCCGTCAATCATTTGGTACTTTACGTAGGCGGTTTCAATATGGTTCTCTATCATTGAAACTACCTGCGTGCACTCTTGTTGAGTTTGTGTACAGACACATCGTTCGCACTGTGATGCTACCATTCACTTCATCATCTGAATATGACATTCTCTCATCATGGCCCTTAATGATACATTATGTTGTCTTGTTATATGTTTCCACCCATTCTATTCATTTTCTCTTTTCCTTCTTCTGCATTTGAGAGGTAAAAAACTGCAAACTCGAGTGGGGCAGGATCGTGTGTATAGCCCATTTCAGCCCAGCTTAAGGTTAGTTTGCGGTGTTGAACTGCAGTGTTACTTGACATTCTGTTCGACCTTGTTCCGGAAACAGCGTACCTTTTAACAGTGTATCTGGATTCATCCATATCTCTTAAAAAGCAGCATCGTATTTATGGATGTCATTTTAGGTAGTCTTACAGAGCGTCAAAAGTCATATCATGTCATATCTAGAAATATTCGTCGTCGCGATACTTAGGTTCTTCCTCCAAGTATTTAGACTTTTGCCATTGTCACTTGACAACAATGTTGTGAAACACTAGTCTGTTACAAGGATTGACAAGAGTGACGAATATCACGAACACCTAATGAAAATCATTCTGTAAAAGAACGTTGGATGTTAACATAAGAATTTCTGTACTGAAGCCAGCCTTCTTTTCTCTGGACGGGACGAATCGATTCTCATGCTTACGTGAGTTACACGGGATACTCTGCCGCAGAATTTCAAAACATGTTCACTGGCAATTCCGAAATCTCCGTGGCTAAGAAGGAAAATCATGATCATAGAACCACTTTTGGTGAAATTGGCTGAAAGTAGCTGAAAGTGAGCATTTAAAAAAGCACAAGTCTACTTCCGTTGATTCTAGACTGCTTAATACTGATACTCAAGACACAAGTGTCAAGTACCACCTTTTGTGAGAGCTGGATTAGTCTCAACTCTAGCGAAAGCTAACACATAATCTGCACGTTTTCAGTAATACTCGTTCACATAGAAATGCATACATTGTGTGTGTGTTAACTTTGTCTTTCTTCTAAGATCACAAATCACGTATTATCTTATTGAGTATATAAATCAAAGTTACATTCCTCCAAATCAAGCTGACAAGTATTAAATTATAGCCACCTGAGACTTTCAGAGAATCCAAATCACACTCAATCAAGTAACATCTGTCCCAAACAAGATTACACTCGATGCAGACAGAAGTGAGATACCAAGGTACAACTGTAAATGGGAAGTCAAACCTTCAGAATTATCAACCACAGATGATTTACAGCGAACCTCAAAAACGAGGAACTTGCTATTAATAATAATGAAAGTTAGCAGATAAAGCGCTCGCAAGTTTACAAGGTTAATTGAACCTTCTTTTCGCAGATTGAGGGCCCACAACTCCATACTTCCCTGGTTTGGAACCATTGCCAGAACTGTGACCGTTCCCGATTCCATTCCCGACCCGTTTCCCGTTTCCATTTCCGTTTCCAGTTCCATTCCCAAGTTTCGAATACGCATGAGCTTGAAACGGATTCTCGGACTTGAGACAAGCATTCTCTCTCCCACTGGTCGGCTCAGCACTCTCCGAATCTACGACCATTTTACTCCTTACTTTTTTACTTCTACCTCGATCATATTCCGCGTCCCTGTATAATGCATGTGTGTGTCAGCATACGGAGTAAGTAGATCAAAAGCCGCCGAGAACAAACCCATCATGACAATAGACAAGCATAAGAAGCGAGACCAAGTACAAGAACTCAGTACGGGTACCGGGAATAGTAACTGAAACTGAAGGGTCTGGAAAAAATTGAAGCCGTAATGTGAACTGAAGATCCCCCGGTGCTCTAGAGGAATGCTAAATTGTAACCATTGACGTGCCCACACATCCATATATGAATATTGAAGCCACAAAATCCAGAACAGTCACTTGCAGCAACAAGCAGAAATCGTGCATGACGAAATGCGTTCAGCAATTCAGCGGTTGGCTCAACTGACAGATCGGAAGACTCAGACTCAAATGGCACGCTCAGGGTATTTAGGTCTCGTAGTGCTAGTCTAGATCCTATCGACGCATCACTCCGCTCATGTCATGGCACTATATTAATTAGTACACTTAAAAGTGTACTAAATAATGGGGGCACGCCATATACTGAAGATCGTAAACCATCGTCCTTTCCGAGCGGTTTTAACATAGAGAGACATGAAACAGGAAGAAGACGGAGCATTACGTAAGCTGATGAAAGAGTGAGGAGGGTCACAATACAGAAAAGCGGATCTACTATACCATAAATCTTGTTTCGGTGTGGGAGCTTTCTCGGACTCCCTCAGCAGCCTGTCAACCTCTTTTTCACCATTCGCATCTTCGTTCCAACGTGGCACTGCACATATTACACAACTATAAGAACATCACAAACAAACTGTGTTTCGCAAACTTGTTCAAGGTCTTGAAATACAGACTGATTGGACCTAAGAGTTCTAAAAAGATCGACAAAAAAACATGTGAGGAAACTTACCTCCCACGCCGTAGAGATCATCCTTGTACGTCAGGTGTGCTGATCCATTTGTATTTTTCGAGCCATTCTCCATGTTGGCACCGTTTCCGTGTGAATGTTCTCTAGGCCCACCGTTTTCTACTTCTATCGGCTGACAGGTAGGTGGATCGCTCCTTTCGTCTCTCAATTCTGCTGCAGAATGATGGCCTTCTCTAGTGTTCACTGCCTCCGCATCATGATCAGCTGAACTGGCCGAGTGGAAGCTCCCTCCATTACCGTTCTCGACAGGATTTTTCACTGGCTTGTTACCATCATCCACCTTGTCCGCGTGTCCATTCGACAATCCGTTGGCCGAAGGACGATTAACACTAGCCCCCTTCAGCGAGTCCTTCTCTCGCAAATTGTTCGGGGCGTCATCCACCTCAATCTCAGTTTGATCGATAGGCTTGAGTTGGTCAGCTTTCTCACTGGGAACTGCAGATGTAATCACTGAGACAGATGACCCCCCTTCACTACTATCCTTTTGTTGTCTCTTGTTTCCTGAAACTTCTCCATTCACAGAAAGACGCCTCTTGGCGTCCTTCCTTACAGCAGAGGATGACGCTTCGACTGCTACAACGCTCGTACTTTGAATGGGCAAACCTCTGTTGGCCCTTTGCATGGCTCTGGCCATGAAGTATCTTCTCGTGCGGGGCATTGCTCGCAGCAACTTCAGCATATTTTGAGGTGTGCCCACGGCAGAGTTCATGCCACTTTTGTAATGCTCGTCCCAGTCGGCTTCAGCGCCGGCTTCAATTTCAATTCCACTAGTTGTACAACTCGCCTCTACCGAGGTTGTCTTATCGATTGCTGTATCGATACAAGGTTCCCCAGCCACAGCTACCTCGGGTACGGCCAGTACGGGAAGGGACGAGGCCTCTGGTTCAGGGGAAGGAAGCTTTGCAACCACTTCCGACGGGGTGGGCAGAGCCGGCTTTAGCGCAGGTTCCACCTCCTGAGTGGATCCATGGGCACCATTCGCATTATTTACCACAATGCTGGTCTTCGGTAACACAATTTCACCGCTTGTAGGACTGGAGACGATCTTGGTCTCTTTCGGGGTCACAATCACAGCTGGCGCGGCGATCACAGGAGGAGAAACTGGAGCTGGGGCGGGAACTGCCTTCGGGGCACTTTGCGCTGGGGGAATGGCTTCTCTTTTGACTTCACGTACGTAGAAAAGCATGTATGCTTTTTGTTCCAGCACGGTTCTCTCACTTACTTGTCTGACCTGAAACGGACAACCATACCAAAACCAAAGCTCAGAGAAGGTTTACACTATCCTCATCCACAGGTATGTCAAAGTGTTGTCATAATATGAGTCTTACTGGAGTCTGCTAATGTAATGGCTGCACAATCAGTGACATGACTGTACCTAACAGAACATGGAAGGTTCTCCTTCTCACTGGCAAATAAGAAGCTGAGATGATGATGAATGAATACCCGACTGTCGTCAAGAACATGCCAAATGTCTGAGGAAGTACGAACAAAGCAGTAATAATGTCCGGAGTGTGTAGACCACCCTGAATGTACAAGTACTCCATAGAGTCTGTACTTAAGCGTGCTTTCCTGCCAGCCACGAACCCGTGAGAAAACAATGCGAATCCGAGATGGAGCATCGAGACGGACCTCATTGATTAGCTTGCCCCCTCCGACTTGTAAATTTGAAACTTGTGACTTGAAGAAGGAAAGAGTGGAGGATGCACACCTGGCTGCTACTAAAAGGCTTCATGTCGAGAGTAGTTCCAAAATCGACCTTCTTGTCAATTTTACCTCCCATCGAACCAGTACTGCTAAATCTCTTGAATTGAATGGTCAAGATGTTTGGAACTGTTTCAATAGTGAACTGCTTTTGAGCACGAACTTTCTTCTTGCAGTGAGCGCAACGATACTTATTGTCCCCATCAAGTGTGTCCACTGCGGTGAAGCGGGTCAAAGCCTTTGTCAACGAATCAGCACGAACTATATCCAGGCTCAGGTCTAAAAAGGGGTCGTATGTGTTCGAACAATGATAGCAGACAGAACATTTCACCTGTAGAGAAGACCATCATGTCTTTGTCAGTGCCGATTCAAGAGCCGCTCCAGCTATTACATCGAACACAGAATCAAGTGTATTTAACCTACACAGAAGCCCCCATCACACCAAAATGAGAGACTGCAAGTAGACAACCCAAAGCAGACTTCCCCTCCATCGTCCAACTCTCCAAAGTCTCGCGATATTGATCTCGATTAAGAGCGTGACAACTTCGGTCACCACAGAGCAGCTGTGGATTGATAGTGAGCCATTCCACAGCTTGTAGGAAGTAAGGTAAACTAATCAGCAGCTACCTGACTTCGAAGTCGGCCGCCAAAAATTTTGTACACCAAACTCTTATCTTGACTGGGTTTGGGATTGGAACTGGAAGTGGAAGCAAGCTCCGGAGGAATGCAGCACTTGTGCAAGGCCTCAAGCAAGTACCGCATGTACTCATGCGCGTCCTCCTGCCGACACATTCTAAAAGATCGAGAAATAGCTGGAACTCTGGTCAAGGTCATACATCTCCAAGATCGAATCTCTCATCATTGTAGATCAATTACAGATAACTTGCTCTAAAGTCTTCCAACACAAACATGTACATTGCACAAGGATACAGCGCAAATTTTTCGCCAGCTTGTTCGGCGCAACAACTCTCCCAGAGGAAGTCAAGGCTTGAGATACATGTTCCTGAAGAGCGCAGAAAGCACAAAAACCTGCTACTCTACCTGCGAGAAAATGTGAAAGGAACTCGTTTGTCAGCTCGAAGCATTAGCTAAAAAATCATTTCCCCTGCGATTCAGCCAGGGATGAAGTCTGCAAAATAAGCACGGTCACTGAAACAAGTAGGACAGCTAAAGAACTCAGAACAGTCCTTTCCAGCTAAATCCACACAAGCCGAGATGCTTACATGACAATTTGTGTTGCCCACTTTGCAGGTAACCGGCGAGTGGTGGAGTGTAAGTAAGGCATTGCAAAACAGAATTTAAAAAGCAAGTGTTGCCCAAGTTTGAGAGGCCAGCTCCCTGCAGGAAACGCTCAACAGTCAGCATCCACCGGCCATCACAAGGCTCACCTGCACGGCTACTGAATGATCACAATGAGGTGCAATGAAGATCAAACCAGAAGCATCGCAGCTGCAGAAGGGCATTAAAACATACAATTTTTTGGGCCGTGGGCCATTGAAGAGGCATACTCGAGGGAAGCCTCTGGGGGTTTTGTTTACTAAGCTTGTTGGCCAGAAGGCTTCCAGCAGCGGCTGCCGCTGCTGGACCTGCTCCACTGCCATTCCCCGAAACAGGGTCATTCAAAGGCTCCATCGCAGGGGCACTGGAGAAGGTACTCGTCGCATGGAATGCAATCCTCCTCTGAGTCCACGCCCCAGGCACTCCCAGCCCCACCTCCGGCATCTTGGCAGCCGCCATCCCTCCCCTGTCCATTCCTACCCTACAAAATCATCAATCACTCAATCGAAAGAATCCCTCCCTCTCTTCCTCTCTTCCTCTCTTCCTCTCTCCCGGCGGCGCCTAAACCTCTCCCCCTCTCGTCTCACCCAAAAATCTCAATCCGCTTCTCTCGCCCCCTCCTCTTCAACAGTTTACTCACCCTCCTAGTCAACTCGAGCGCCTCCATTCATCCTCTGCACTCCAATCTCCCGGCAAAACAGAGCAGCCCAGACTACCTCCCTGCTGCTGCTCTTCAGACTCTCTCTCTCTCTTCCTTCTTCTCTTCTCTTCAGTTCCCTCACAGAGAAGAGTCAAGCAGTGCTACACTACTGCCACTACCACTCTACTGAACTCCCTTCCCTTCCCTTCCTTCCTGCCTCCAGCCTTCCTTCCTTCAGTTCCCTTCCTGTGATTCCACTTTCCCCCTCATCCCTCCCTCCCTCGCTTTGTCTCTCTGTGCCTTAGACTGCCTCCCCTCGCTCGCTTGCTCGCTTCCTTGAGCCGCTGGAGGTTGTTGCTGCTGCTGCTCTACTCGGAGAGAGAGAGGGCTCTGAGGGAGGCGGAGGCGGGCTGAGAAGGCGATCCTAGGTTCACAGCTCTCGCTAGCCTGTGCCCGCCGTCCTGCTCAGCCCTGACGCTTTCCGATACGCGACGTTCGTTTCCAGGAAGTTCCGGCCGGCCACCCTTTCCCGGCCGCCACTTGTGCATACAGTCGTCTCTGATAGGCCACCGCCCGCTCCTCCAGACCAGAGCTCTGTATCCTGACCATGTTACGGCCCCGGACTGTCCCGCTCCTCTGTCGCGGTGCAGCCCCTTCACCTGGTTGCCTGCTCTGCCGACGGCGCCGACGGTGGTCGATCTCCTTGACTCGAACCCGGCTCGTGGAATCCCGGATGTACCTGTACACGTATGCATGTCCTCGTCCTTCATTCATTGCTCGATCGCTGGCTGCCTCCATCCCTGCGTCCCTCCGCCGATCATTTCCAGCGAGTGTGTGAATGAATTCCAAGACCCAAGGACGAAGAAAAGAATCTCTCGGCTCGCGCGGTGTAGATATGTTTGCTGAATCTTTCTTTTCCCTTCGTGCGTTCTTCTGCGTGCACTCTGCTTTCCGCTCTCTGCTGGCACTCCTTGCCGCGCGAGAGATGGTGTGAAATTGGCTTGTTGTTTCTGCTGAGTGTACGTTGTTGTACAAGTGCTGTCTATGTTCGGGTCGATTCCCGTTTGTATATACTGTATGTATGTACGCTGCTCGCCTATGATGTAGTAGTCGCGGGTAGGGTCAATCTAGTAGTTCTGGGTAGGGTCAATTTACTAGTTCTCGCTGCTGCTTATCGAGAGACGGTCCCCATTGGCGAACACGGTTCTTTCCATTATATCGTCGAAACCTAATTTTTCCGGGGATGTGGGGCCGCCTTTTCTGAGATTCTCATCTGACTTTTTGCCGAATTGAGAGTGTGGAGAAGGTGTGATGGGCTGATTGATCATCTGTTTGACTCTCTTCGAGCCCTTTCTTCTCTGTCTCGTTCTATCTTCCTTGCATCTCTTTCCGCTGTATTTCCTAAAGCGCAGTTTTTCTGTAATATTTTAACAGATTCAATTACTGAAGGCATGACGATTGTGTATGATTGAAGGCGGTGACTATTGACCTATATCTGTTGGACCCTTCATTCCAGATCCGCCAGCGGAGAATGTGAGATTTAAATGAAAAATGTCACGATTAGGGCTAGTGCGAGTGCAGATTCATACCGTGTGGTTAATGTTATTGATTCGCCTCAGTGCACTATCAGGTGGATGATGTTTTACACGGTAGTAGATACATAGCTTCTGTTTCTATGAGAAAGAGAGTGGTGGAAGCTCATGGTCGTTGTGACGGAGGGTTTAGGGTGTAGTAGACAGAGCGGGAAGAGAGACGGTCTTGTGGCACTTTGTCTTGAGATCTTTCGGAATGCAACCGGTCTTTTCTATTGGAAGGAGTGGGAGTTGTGTTGGTTTGTCCTCATGGATTGGCGACATGATGGATAAAGGATGTGAGGTGTTATTTGCAGAGTCAGTGAGGAGAATATTGTTGCAAGCTGATCCGAATCTATTGACTGAAAGTGAAGTCTTGAAATTGGCCGCGGAGGATACTGACTTAAATTCGAACATAATTGCGGATAGGAAAGTAGTGAACATGGTTATTGGGAAGTTTATAGTAAGAATGAAGATGAATTCTGCTCTGGTTGCAATATTCGTGGCAACCAGAGTCGAATTCTTCTTCATTCTTACTAAGATTAGTGGCAAAGCAGCCATGAAATTTCCTACAGTTCGGAAGCATATGCAGTAGAAACTTCATATACTTGTTGTGTTGGTCTGGATGTTGTCGTGGACGATTGTGATAGATCGACTGCAATCACTTAGATGTTGTCACCAATTTCGTCGGAGTATGCTTACAAATTCATTCCTGTTATATGGCAGTGGCAGCCATACCTGTTCTTTATCTATGCTAAATTTACAAGTGAGCATTATTATTAACAGAGGCAAAAATCAACATGTTTTTTTCACAGAATGGCTTGGGTTAGTTTTCAATGCCAATGTGGCAATGTACGGCACAAATTGCATGCAGGTCGAGAATGGTCATCGCCTCTCTGTCATCCGTGTTGGTTGGGAGAACACTCGTGATCCAGAATACTCCTTATATCGAATTTGAAGACGTTTATTAAGTCTTATCCGAATTTCTAACTGCAGCAGAGAATTGTGCAAGTGATATGTAATTGTGTACATCATCGTGGTGCTTCTATCATAAGTGTTTAGAGATTTATTAGGGTATGAGATAACCCAAAGTAAGTCTCTCGAACACTTACAATCCTTGTTTACGTATTCAGACTCGGGACGGGACGACTTCTTCGTACTCAGTATCTTGGGTGAGATGGACAAAAACCCCAAGGTAATGAAAACGAACAAGGCGGACGGTCCCGAATAATGGATTGTCACGGTTGGCTGTGGTAATGATGGTGTGTTCCTGATCTCTTGTTTTTTAAGATGTTTTAACTTTTATTTGTTATAAATGACATTGAAGATGTAACTTTCTTGAGTAACGTTTACGAGGAGTATGACACTGTCATTTGAAAATACTGAATTATATGATTGACGTAGTATAAAATTCACCTTGCCATGTATACTATTTATATGATGTGTGCTAATTGTATCGATCTTCCTTATTGTGTAAGAGCTGAGTGGATTGAAGTCACGCTTAGAGTAGATTTATGAGAGATTTTCATATAAACAATCTGTCTTGATCGTCTGCCGGCATTTTTGCTTACTGAAGTCGGATTGATATCTTGTTGTTGCTGGAAATAAGTATAGAAGCCTACTGCCTGACAATGCCTCCCTTGACGAAGTTAATATATTTTTCTCCAAGTATAGAATTCAGGGTTTATTTAGTTCAACATGTGATGGAAAAGGTATGCGTAAGAAATTAAGGTGACAAAACAAAGGTTAAAGGTTTATAGAATGATTCAAACTATATTATAATATCAAAGGATGTTTTCTCTACATCTTCTTGAACTTGAGCAACATATATAGATGATAAACTAAGTATTGTAACAAAATGTGCAAAGCAACTGTTTCTTTATGTTTTTGTCCAAAATGTATTTCTAAATTGATTTTAACCCCTTGTATTTAAAGGATTCCAATATGTTTATTAAGTCTAATTTTGCAACACTCGATGCACTCTGAATGGACTTAACCACTTTCAATTTTCAAGATTCATTGAATTTGGTTTAGAATATATTTAGTCAATTCCAAAACTTATTGAAATCCATCTAGATCGATGTTCGAAGCGGTCTGAATAGAGTTAACCATTTCCAAGATTCATTGAATTGAGTTTAGGTCGATATTCGATACTCTTGATTTTGGCGATAACAAAGATAGCGCAACCGGAAGATTGGCAAAAATTTATTCTCTCAGTCGGGACGTAAAGTATGTTGAAACCAACAACACAGTATCGAAAGTCTTCTCCATATACCAAGATGCTTGAAATCAGTTTGAGGATTCGACTCGACACTTTTCGCTTTCCATGATTCTTGAAATGAATATATAAACTCGATTTAATACTTTTCGCTTGAGCTGATTTACTATAATCGATAAACTAGACTTAATAATTTTCACTTTGACGATGTCAAAAGTTAAAGGAAAAGTAAGGTTACAGTATATGCCGTAAATCCGGATATAAAGCATGTTGCCAAGGTTGGTGAAAGAGCAGAAAGAGGATAGAAAGGTATTCTCTTTATATTCATAAGACATTTAAGGAAATAAATCTAGAAATTTCTTGTGTTATAACTTTCTGATATCTCCTTCATTAACTTCTTTCTCGCACTACACTTTTTATGTGTAGTAGGTTTGCTAAATTCTAGTTTCAGTTGGATTTCTTTTACATTACAGCATAATCAATCGACTAAGAAATGATTCGTCTACATAACAGCAATCTTCCCATGCTCAAATTGCAACCATAGAGGGAGTTTACTCTACGTTCTTGCAGAACTTGTAAGGAGTGATGCGTAATCTCAGTCATGAGAACATCCGTGCCAGTCTCCAGTTTTCTATACATGCATTAATTATCAAGGATTTGACTCTTTATAATACTATGATTGTTCCCAACTGATAACAGCGGTAATAATAGGACATCTCTTTTGGAAAATTGTTGGTGAGGAAGCCGCTCTGAGTTTACCCGTCACCACGATCTGTCATTTCGTACAGTACTTCATATCATGTGCTTTCCTATTTAGAGTAAAAACCAATCGTTGTTCTGTAGGTGATGCATTTTTTTACCATCATTAGTCAAAGCCAGTGGCACAAATTTGAATAAGTCCTACAGTATACTACTAGCTGTAGAATACTTAAAGTGGACGGCAATGGTGATCAATTAAACCCAGTGTTTACACAATAACTCGAAACAAAGACCTCTGTATCGGGTCTGAAAATGCTTGTATTATGCGGATAGTCTTAAATACAACTCCAACCTTGATAGCGGTTTCCGTGAGTCCCATAAGCGTATGAAAACGCTTTTAGGAGGGCAAGAAACTTTTTCTATCACGAAGGCTCTCCATGTAGCACTCTGTGTAAACCGCATTCCTGGTGAGACTTTACCAGTGGGACATCTTCTCTTTACTCTCAATGCTTCTCCTTATTCTCTCGCCGTGTGTATACCTCTAAATTTATTTCTTCCCATGTATTCATTCCATACACAGATCAAGTAGTAACGTTGAACCTATTACAAGCTAACTTTATGAAGTACAGTCTAACACATCTTCTTGAAAAAATATGGCTATATTGTATTCAGATTGAGAGTTGAGGTTTTGGAGGTGAAATTCCTAGCTTAAATTTGAGTCAAAGAGTATTGTCACTCGAAGTCATCTTTGGATCATTTATGTTTTGAACTTCTGAAATATGTTGCAAGAGAGCAGAATATATCACTAGTACCTGATGACTATCCTTGTGTAGCCAACCCTCACTACCATCCTCCTTACCGTTAGATACTCCACACTAAGTCCAAAAGCTTATCAATCTCACTTTGAATTGATATCACATTGAGTTAAGATGTCAACCTCCATCCTCACAAGCATGTTCGGTTATTAAGGGTAGTGGGAGGTTTTCTATGACTTCAAAGCGTGTAAGCGACTCCGCCAAGGCCAATGACATGAATCTTGGCTTGAAAGTATGCTCTCGGTTGCCGAATGGCAAGGATGTCAATCATTTACAATGATGGTTATGCATTGACTTTGGTCGTGAGTAGAAGGTGGGTGCAAAGCACAAGCTTTCAAACCCATGTACATGGATGCTGCCGCCCACTCTACTACAAAAATATTGAAAATCAAGGTAAGGATAACATCCTACAAAATGACTATACAACCATTTCAAAACGCATGATGATCAAAACGTTTTCTTCGATGATGTCCATTCATGTTCAAAAACTCTATTAAGTCGCACTCTCTGTTTTCATCTCTTGGCGCTAAGCGTCAAATTGTGTTGAACATCAAGAAGAATATTGTGGATGTGATTGTTAGCAACATGACTTTTTGATTCGGCTAATGTTGTCAACAACAATTTGGATAATGATGTGTAAGAGTCTACACTTAGCAGTGAGCGCAATGTTGTAATCTGACAACAAGCTCACAAGTCTGTATTGTCAAAAGAACAAGCGTTATTTGTATTGTCAAAAGAACAAGCGTTATTATTATTTCAGCGTGAGTAGCTGCAATAATATAACAAGTATGATGCCAATTATTCTTATTTTATCACTATCCCAAAGTCAAAAATGAATGTGTTCAAGTTGGCGGTATGATACGTGACATGTTGCGCATCATTTTGATTGGCAACCAACGTGTTGAACTTCATTTACAATGTTTTGGATTTGCTCTCGTAATAACATCACCAAATTCATCAAAGTTTTATGTGTTGTCAAACTCCAGCGCAAGGCTTGTCATCTGCGCCATGCATGTAAGTTTTCTATTGCTATGAATTCAGAATCGCATCAAAACGTCTCGTATCTTGATTGGCATTTATGAATCTTTTTTTTACCTTTCATAACATTATTAATCTGCATGCATCTGATTAATAATGACAGCAATTAGAAAGTTTGTTTATTTCTAATGGAGTCTGCAACATGACTGACCTTGTTGCTAGTGTTGTCACTCTCCTTAGCAATGCAATGCACAATTGATGTATTTTGATTTGAGTTTAGTGGATGCGTGTCAATTAGATCTTATTATGTATCACATCATGGATAATATTGTGAAGTAATGCTTATTTGATATTATGACCGGATTTATCATCCACTTGATGAGCTAACAAAATCTAATTGCGCATATGCAAATAGTGTAACTTGATTATTCAATCGTTAACAAAGTTGAAAAAGTTTATCAAGTAGAGTGCAGCAACCTTCAAACAATGTAGTTTTTGTTTTATGTCATTGCATGTGGGATCAAATTAGCAAAGTGTCTGTACTTAGTAATGCAAATAACAACGCGCTATTCAATCTATGTTTTTTTTCCACCATGCTATGATTTAAGCTCATCAAACTATTGACTGCCTAGTTTATTCACAAGGTTCGCCAATGCACGTATTGACCAAAGCACCTCTATTCAGCAAAGTATATTGATGTTATTGCCGACAAGCATAAGCTCCTACTCCATTCTCAACTGTTTGAATCTTTCTTTAAGTAGAGCATCGATGCGTTGTCTAGTACATCAAACTTTGATTGTAATTGGAGTTTAAATCGGTTGCAAATTTCCAAACCTGATGTATTTTTATGGCGTCTTGAACACCCTATTTCTTGCGATGGAAGGAATACAACTTTTGCAAGAGCTTTTTGCATTTTGGATTGCCCGTGCTGCAATCAAGGTAGTGGATGTTCATTGAGCAATTCGAGTAGTGATTTGCACTCTAAATGTTTAAGAAATCTCGCATTTACACACCGTTTAAACAAAATTACGACTATTTAAGTTAATTTAAACGCCCATCTAAACTCATCTTAATGCATGCAATTTTGCAAGAAATAGTGATTCAACTAATGTTTTATAAACTTGATAATAAAATCCAGTTCACTTTATTATCAAGACAGAATTCATGTCTGTCATTGTTGCATTGTAAGTAGTATAAATGAATTTTGAATCAGACCAAAAATAAACTGTATTTTTTGAGTATGAATACTATAAACTTTGAACATATGTAAATAAAATGAAAAATTTGGAAGTCTTAATTGGAACTTTAAACCACAAAAGTTACTATCTATCCCAATATAATCGCCAAGAACAAAGTCTAAAGTGATTAATGTGTTTTTTTTAATATTTGAGGAGACATGGATTTCAATTTTCCTTGTTTGTGCGTATCATGTACAATTGCAACAAGTGTATGTAACATTTGAGCTCTGCTATGTAACAATTAAGTTCTTTATAAACCAATGTTGTTTAAGGTAGCAACTACTTATAACTCAGTTGAGTCTAATTATATCTCGCACTACTTATTCCATTTCAGTTTCAATATGTGATTAATCGTGGAACAATGACGACCATGAGACTTTTGCTAAGAACAAGGAGCTGAAGGTGATACACGTCCCATAGCACATTGGGAGCTTTGGAATCTGTGATCCCCGAGCTGACAGAACTTGGCAATAAATTTGATGGCCATTGTAAAACAAGCAACGCAAGCGCTCTAAGGTAATCCTTGAATGATGATACTAGAGTTCGGAATCAACGTAAGCTCACCCGCATGAGATCTCCTCCTCGTCCGCGTGGCTATATATCAAAGTCACAATTTAAGTAAAATCGTATAAGGTAGAGGAAGTATAGTTCTCAAAAGAAAGTACAAACATGAGGAGCAAGGTCCCCATCATCAAAACCGGACTGATTTGATCAATTATCCCTCCGTTTAGGACAAGGCTTAAGTGATTTTGTTACTTTGGTCTAGGGTGTTATCCCTCGGTTTAGAACGAGACTAAAGTGATTTTGTTCCTTTCGTTTAGGGTATAGGACATCGTCTTTTCATGTCGAAAACACGGGTTCAAATCCTGCAAGTATACTCTTCCTTATCTTCACTAAGGTTGCTCTAAAAGCAAAGTGAAAAAAGCTTTATGGTGCACAAAAAACATCACTTTTGGCGAGCTGAAGGTGAAGGAGTTGAAGAACGAAAGGTTGGCATTCACTGACCTTTGCTTGAGCGGGCCCTTGCTCCATTGAAAATTTGGCTTGTAAACTTGTGTCGGTCCACAATTAGTCATATATCAAAACTGAAATAGATGGGCTGGAGCTTCTAACACGAGGGATAATTAAGTTGGATTGAGTGATAACTAACCACTCCCTTGTTGAAATATTCAATCTGGACATACATTACATCAAGTTATATTGTCAATATTGGACATTAACCCATACCTCATTAAAAGTGGCCACCTTTGCCACAATTAAAATTGGGCCGATGCCACAATAAAAATTTTTTTTTACGACTCTTTGGTTGCAATTGAATTTTACGGCAAAAATTTTCAAGAGTTCGCAAGCATTGCCTAAAGCTTATGGAATGCTTGGCTCACAACGGATGAATGTTATTATCCCAAGCAAGCAATAGACCGCATTGCAGTCCGTAAGTGATTGGAAAGAGAATCCCTGTATTTGTGTTTTGAGTCGATTGTGGACAGAAATCAAAATAATGCATTATGACATAATGGATGTAATTTTGGAAAGAAAAGATACACCTTGAAAGTTTTCTAAAATTCTAATGTAAGAATATTTTGGTCGTGAAACCAAAGTTTTCTCCTGTACTAGTATGGAAGACAGATGATGTTACTAATCTTCAACTAAGGTTTTGATGAGTAATACAATTCATCTCTAGTGGATTTTGGAATTTGGCACTATTAAGTTGAAGTCTAATATCTCATGGTTAGTTTCAAGAACCTTGAACTCATTTCTTTTCAAAGTACTAAGGTTTTGATGAGTAATACAATTCAACTCTAGTGGATTTTGGAAATTGGCACTATTAAGTTGAAATCTAATATCTCATGGTTAGTATCAAGAACCTTGAACTCATTTCTTTTCAAAGTACCAGCTCTCTCTACTTTGAGTATAATCACGATGAATAATCATGCAACTTGTTCATGGACATATCTAAATTCTATGTTAGCTTTTGATGGCTATAGCTTTACTTTCAACATAACATGAGGAAACATAAACCTAACCTTAGTTAGCCACATCGTAGAAACAACCCTGCCTGCATATCTAGTGACATAATTTCAATATCTTATGGTATCAAGGTTGCCACATAAATTTTTCAACACAAATGACACTTCAAAAGGTGGCAAAAGTGTCAAAGGACACTTTTAATGACGTCTGCGTTAACCTATATGCCGTGCATGCAAGAATGAATCGACGGTAGTTTGTTATTAAAAGACATCGAGTACAAATTAAATTCAGAATGCAAAACGAAACGGTTAAAGCATGCAATTAAACCTTAAGCCCGGACGCAGGAAAAGACCTTAAAATCGCGAGTTCATCCGTGAGAATACTCAGTTCGGTAACCGACTTGGAACTATGCAAAAATAAATTCCACCGAGAAGGCACCGACATTCCAGTTTGCCATAAATGTGGAACTACGATCTTTACTACGTCCAGGCTCAACTACGGGACACGCAGTCATTGAGACTGACGTAGTTATATCAGTACGGTGCAATCAATACAGTACGTTGCAGTCCCGGGCAGAGGAGTACTGTATTCGTCGAAGGAGACGGCGGAAGCATAATGACACGCCGAAGACTGAAGCTATTCTCTCGCCGGAGTCGGATTTCGGTAACTTGAATCAGAAACGCCTCCGTCCGTTTGTGTCCGAGGCTCGAATTGGTTTCGCTTCGTCGATCGCAGCTCTGTCCTTCATCTTTGCACCACGTTGTTGTTTGCCGCCAGAATTTGAGTTCCGAAATTGGCTCGATCCTTCTCGCGTTAGGGTCGTGTGTTGACAGATGACAGCCCGAGCAGAGCGGTCGATGTTGCTGCGATGCGTGTCGATTGCGGTTCAGTGAAATCATCGGTGGCAGCTACCCACCGGCCGAGACAGAGAGAGCGGGCTGCTCTCGCCGCATCCCAACAGTCGATTTCAGTTCCGGGCTCGTTTCAGAGCCTACCGTGGGCTTCAGTGTTCCTGAGAGTCTAGCGAAAGGGGTATTCATATCTGAAGGTGCAGAATTATATTTCTCAGGAGACTGCATTTTTGCTGAACTGCGTGCAGTGAGGAATTCCTCACCTTTTTCTGGCGAGCGGAAGGTGGACACGACGGATTAAGATGGAGACCGGAGGGAGGTCTCACCGTTCACACCACTGAGCCCCTGATCAGCGATAGGGGCTTGCAGCTGCAGAGAAGAGGGCTTCTGTGTCTCGAAATACTTCCGGTTCCATCTCGGTCTCCTTGATTGATTGAAAAGAGGGTGAGTCGTATAGCTTTGGTTATCTTTGGTTGGTGACCAACCCGAGGTAATGGACAATCCAAGTGAGAAGCTTTTGGAGGAGTCAGTGAAGAGAATATTAGAGCATGCTGATATGAATCTCCTGACTGAAAGTAAGGTCAGAAAACTGGCCGGGGAGGATACTGGACTAGATTTGAATATACCTGCGAATAGGAAAGTAGTGAAGCGAGTTATTGAAGACTTTTTTAGACAAAACGCAGAAGAAGAATCTGAGGGTACTTCCGGGAGCTATAGGGATGGAAAGGAGATCGAGGAGGCTAAAGGAAAACGTATCCAACATGTAGTTAAGGAGAAAAGGAAAGCTATTATTGAGGAAGATTCTGACTATTCCGAGGATAAGTGCTCGAACAAGAAGCAAATTGTGGCAATGCAAGTAGAGAGTGACGATGGAGACGATGATGCTAGCTCCCAGGAGGAAGTTCCCACCAGAAAACAGGGAAAGAGTAACTTCAGGAAGAATGATGATGGTGACGTAGTTGTATGTCAGGTAGTGAATTTTCTGCCCACTTTCTTTACATGTATGCTTTCGCATCAAGTCCTAGAGATCCCATACTAGCACAACTGTGAATTTGCTTGTTGTAAGCATCTCCGAAATACGCATACAAGTGATACAAGCGGAGTAGTCAGTTGTTGCCTTCCTTTGTGGAGGTAACATACAACCTGTTGTCGTAGGGAATGTTTATTATGTCCTAATCTTTTCGGGAGGTTTTGTATTGTCTGGTACCCTGCCACCGACTGTAAAGAAAGTTAGGCTGATGCAGCTTTAACTGTACTAAAACTGCTAAGCGTTTACGTGTTGGGAGATGTTGATATAGTTCGATACACAATTTTAGAGAAGGGTCCATCAATTGTAAATTGTCGAAAGCTACGGCAAAAGAAAGTAAGCTAAATTGATCTGTTGTGGGATCCACAAACACGGCATGGACCAAATGTGAGCTGAATTTAGAAAATATTCAACATTTTCTGTTTTGTGTTAGTGGCTTCATTTACATCAGTCTCTGTCCATCACAAATAGGTTCCCCTCTAGTTGAAAACGTTGCAGTGTTTTATATCTTGAATGTCACGAAAATTGGTAGCTGTTTTCATATCCATGACCATATTTACAAAAGTTTCAAGCATTTTTCAAGTGTTGTGATTGTCGTGTTCTATGCATGACCTGCATGGACTGTATAGATTCTCTTCCAGCCTATTATGTTTCTTAGTATCTTTAGGATTCAAGAGCAGTTGAAGCTCAAGACATCGAATCCAAGATGAATGCATGAATTGAGCAACTGTATTGAATACGGGGTTTGAATTCTGTGCAGCTCGGTCCAAAGCGGAATTTGACAGTTCAAGAGTTCAAGGGAAATCTGCTAGTGTCGATAAGGGAGTACTACGAGAAAGATGGAAAGCAGTTGCCAAGTGCTAAAGGTGAGTCTTTCAGAGCGTAAAATTATCACATCTCCGAGGTCCTATGAGTACAGATTCTGAGTATGAACTAAGAAATTTCTTACGTAATCAAAATGGAAATAATTATCTACAGAAGCAACTGTAAGTCAGGGGCATGACAAGTACTGATTGTTTCTTCTTTTTTGTCCTCTTGTTTTGGAAACTTTATGCAGGGGTGAGTCTCAGTATTGAACAGTGGAACGCTCTAAAAGAAGGAATCCCCGATATCCAAGCAGCGATTAAACGTATACAACGAAGTTGTTAAGAGATGGGTGTTCTCCCATCCTCGGGATAGGTGAAGGGTCTTAGATTGCCATGAGTAGAATTTCCATATCTTTACAATCCCTTCCTAGACTTTAGGCATCTCAAAGCTCTAGAAATTGGAGCTTTTTTTTCCACTTCACGCATTTTTTGTACAAAAAGGCAATCGGGCAAAATGAACAGTCTTGCTTTTACAGTGAGGTTAGTTATTCCAACATGTTGGATCAAGAAGGGCACAGGAAGTCCCATCGTATTTCCCAGTAGAGGGTTTGCACGTCAGCTTGTAACTACCGCAGACTGCCCCTCGTATTTTCTTTTAAATCTCAGGAGTTGATGAAATAGGCCTTTTTTCTGGCTCGAAGTTTAGTTTAATGGAGGAGTAGTATCATTGCCGACATGTCGAGGCAGCTATTAGAATATGAGTATTTCAATGCTCTAGGTGACATGACCGTGGCACCTGTTCATCATTGTCCTCAAATTGCCTTGACATTTTGTGTTCCAACTTCAAAACCTTCGTTTGAGCCTGCTGATATCTTGCAAGTATCTGAATCGTGTACTGAACTTGCTGTACTTTGAAGTACAAGTTTTTTTTTCCTGAATGTGGTCTCATCACTCAGTGTAGACCATTTTTTGTCCAAGGGCACGCAGTTTTTTTTTGTTTAGATACAGTACAGATAATGAATATAAGGTCTAAAAGACCACCCACTACCTCTTCTGTGAATATGACCCCGCTTGTATGACCAATTGGAAATCAGCAGAAAAAACCTAGACAGCATAAATGTTTACATCTTGATATTCGTCTGTGAAACCATGTGCCGTGTTTTGATTATCCACTCTCTTCTGCCGTGATCGTCATCTCAAGAGCTTGGTACATTTTGCATTGGTATTTTCTTTTACTCATGAGCCACATCGTATCATCAACGAGGAGCACGATTGTCTTTTGCAACCTTGAACTTGATCACATCTACAAAGCCAGTGTAGACCCTGCGTTTGCAAGTCCTCATGCACAAAATGCTCCATGGCCACCATAAGGACATTTCACAGGCTCTGCGGAAAGTTCATTCTAACTGATACGGATTCATCCGAATCTGATATGCACCTAATATTCACAAGAAGTTTAGGAATTGGTCCAACAGATTCGAATGGGAAATTTGACCTACTATACAGTTGCAACGGAAGTTCTGACACCTTACGGAGCCTCTCAGTATTGGAACAAGTGAAGCCGATGAAACAAATTAAAGAATCTCCAATCTACGTCAGCTTCCCAAAAGATACTAAGGTATACCTCTCACTCACAGGAAAGGGGTTGAAAAACGCCCTTTAACCCTAGCACCGAGCCCAGTAAGATTTTGGATACTCGGTCGTCTTCGAAACTTGACGAAGCAACATACAGTTTGTCCTCTGGACAAAGGTGTCAATAATCCTTGGGGCCGGGATAACGAGCAGCTCGGTTTGGGGTGCGGAAGTGGAAACCGAGTGCGTTGCTGACTCTTCCGCGCATTGCAAGTTGCAATGCGCGGAAGAGTCCGGGACTTCTTCAGTGTTGCAATTTGCAACACTGAAGAAGTCCCGGAAGTAAAGTTTTCTTCCATGTTACAGACACAGGTGAGGAATTCATTCTCCTCGTTTTTATTCATAGAGGCATGGTACACCTGACAGAAGCATAAGATATCTGACGCTTCGTACTTGAATTAAATTATGGTATACGGTCGTATTGACATTCATGACGTTTTTGACTTCACAAGGGTCGACCTATTGAACCAAGGGATTAAAACTGACGTAGATTTCTGGTATTGTCGATACACATCTGCCCTGGAGGGTTCTTGCACCATCTTCCTCTCGACCAACACTGTGGTGTATGCGAGACAAGCGGAATTGATGGCGGTGCCAACGACAGCCCAGGATTGCCCTAAATTAACTGAGAAGAGGCTCAAACCCCACCAAAACAGCTGCTCGCCGAAGTAGTTGGGGTGCCTGGAGTAGTGCCACAAACCTCGATTCAGCAAAGGTTCTGTGGGAGCCCCTAAATCTTTTAAAATATTGTTCCTCGCGACAAAACTGTGAAGCTGCGTATCGGCCACATGCGCGATGGTGATTCCCGACAAGCACACCAAGAACGCCAGTCCGTCCCACGCGTTCCAAAGGCGCGCATTGGTGAAAATCGAGTAAAACGGAAGAGTGATCCCTACGAGGAAAGTGTGCTGAGATACGAAACAAACGAAAAAAGACTTCCACCACCAATTCCTGGGATCCTTTCTACGAATGTCTGTGAAACGCCAGTCCTCTCGTTTGCCCCACTGCCACAGCTCCCTTCGAAAATAATTGTAAGTGAGACGAGCACTCCATATCCAGATAAGGAGCAATGCTGCCCGCGAGCGAAGAAGGTCGTACTGCGCAGCGGGATACGCTGAATAGAAATGCGCAATCAGGACCGGGATGATGGTCCAATATGGATCGATTAGCCACACATTCTGCTGTACGAGCCCTACAACCCAAAACAGGATGTCCACATTGAGAAAGAAGAGCACATTCACGAGGTACAAAGGATGCAATCGTCCCCAGTCACACACCCATGTCCAGTACTCGTTCTCCCAGCGATCCCCATCGCATTTCTGCACAAATGAAAGGTAGAAGAGCAAAGATGGCAGAGGCACGGTCACTGCCAGAACGAAATTCGACACGTTCGAGTGCCCCATGAAGAACCACAATGCCCGGTCAAGTCGACGTTCGTTCCTTCATTGCCAGCGTCCTCCCGGACTGCAGAGAGTGGAGCAAGGAAAGGCCACCGAGAGCTGGAAGTCCCTCCCGCCACTTAAAGAAATTCGATCGATTCGTTTTCTCCTGTACACTGCTGGCAGTGAAACAAGTCGACCACCTGCAGCTGCAGAGGAAATTCACATGCAGTAATGGGACACAGAGATACCCGAAGTACATCCTCGGTGCTGAACATTCTTCACATTCTTCTCTTTTGACATAAATTTTGATTCATGTTGGGTTACAAATGTGTCAGGAATGTTTTGCCTTTCCACCCTCAGGCGATGGACTCTCCACTTGTGTTTACGTGATAGGTGTCCATCGTTAGAAAGTTCATCATTAATATAGAAAAAAGTTTTCCTTCTTCCTTAGATAATGCGCATGATTTCACTCATTATCATTAGTATGTTTTGTAAGTTGCACGAGATCGACCTCATGAAACCACCATCAAGCCATATCGTATTCTTCTGCATATGAGCGGGGAAGATACAAAGAAGCGAAGGTCAGTAAAGTGAATGGCACAACAAGTAATAAAACATATTCCTCTAAAAGTGCAGTGCGTGCCTAAGGCTGAGCCATGTGTGGCCTCTATGTGGTTTTGAACATTTTTATAAAACTATGAATGTCATGACTAAATTCAAAAGAATCTGACATGCATGTGCTTTGATTTCAATATTTAATTTGACATTACATTTTACAACAACAAAAATGTTACATGAACATGTTCAATTATTTTCCATTTATAAATCCTAACTAATTTTACACTCCTCTTATGATTACTAACATTGAAAAAATACCGAACTCTTTTCCACAGTAATATGTGAAAATTTCGTTGCATTTTTAACCTCTTTGCATATGCATAGGTTGGTATGTATCCTTCTAAGGTTCTAGTAAACAAATATTTATCATTACATTTTATTGTTAAATTTTAATTATATTAATATTAGACTTTTAAAAAAATTTATATAGATACAGGAAAAAATAATTATGAATTTGGAGATATATATATATATTCTAAAATTCAACTGAATACAGTTTTTAATTTTTCAATCATTATAATGCAATAATTTCACTTCAAAATCGTTGAAACACTAATAATTTTGAACATTTGTAATACTGTTATATCCCTGATCTTACTAAGGTTATGTCTTTAGATTTTTGTTCAGATGAGACTACAACGATGAAAACATACTTCTGAAGTACAATACAATTTTCAAGTTTTCATACAGTAGTTTTGTGATGTTATGGCCGTGTGCGAGTTTTTGTAACTGTATCACACTTTTTTCTTATAACACATTCTGGCTTTTTGGAACTGACGTTCGGTTTGAAAACCCACCAACATACAAGTTAGTAATGGAGTTTCCTCCAATCCAATATCAGTTTATCACTATACTATCTATTATTATAATCAAATCTCATTGCTGAAAAGAACACGACAGAGTCATATCAAATGAATAGTTCGACAATGGCAGTACAGTGGATCGTATTGTTTTATATTGGTTCCCATCTTCCGTGGATACTTCAGACTGGAAACATTGATAAAGTTTAGAAACCACCACACGGATATTATTTGGTTTTGTGAGCTCCCAGCCGGTGGTGGGAGGGTGGTCTTGGTGTTATATATAATGTTATTTGGTTCCGACCAAGTTGGTACTGAGGTAAGATGCCTCATTCTTTCCCCGTAACTTTGATTCTTTTTCGCAATCTCAGATCACGAAAGGACATACAAAAGGCCAATCCAACGACTGTTTCTTTTATTATAGGACACGTGCTAACGTCAAGTGTATTAATAATACTGTAAAAGTGGAGAAGGTATGGGATGACCGGGCTCAAAAAGTTCTTCGAGCCTTTCGCTTTTGCCACTTTCGGCATTTTTACAAGAGGAGAAAGTAAAATAGGATAGGCAGATCACGTGAATTGTATATGGATGAAACGACGAGTACATGGTGTGCCCGGACCAGATACCATCACAAAGCGAAATATGTCCTATTCACTTGAATTATCTAAACTATACTGATCAACGATGATATGGTTTAGATCAACGTTAGTTTGATGTATGCATGCACAACTTAATATAACAAGCACAACCTATAGCGACGTTTGCAGCGAATACTCATGATTGACAAATCATATTGTTCAGGGATAGAATCTGATTAACAGCTTCTTCAAATGCAACAAAATTTATTCAAAGTTTTGAGAGTGTGTCTGTGATTTCCAGTAGCAATTGCAAATATGGAATGTTAAAGCTCAACTCAAATTTCAATTAATAATTCCTTAATTGCAATATGTTTGTGAGTATAATGTTCATTGGATCAATTGTATTATCATTTTTGTGACAACTGTATGAGTCGCGCATTCTTATGGATGTTTTGAGGATAAATAAACTGAAAAACAAAAAGGATGTAGAATCTTGAAATAATGAAGATGATTTGAAAACTTTTAAAATATGGCTTTAGTGATATTGATCAATCAAAAAAGCTATCATCTTATATAGTCACATTCCATTGTAAAAGTAAAAAATAAGTCATAAAATTGTCATGATGTCTTGTTGATGCCATCATCAAATTTGTGGACAAATTTATTTTGATATATTAGATTAATTATTAAAGATATTTTATATTGATATTTTTAGAAATAAAAATTTATTTTTCTTTTTCTTTTAATACTTTTTTTAAGGTTTATTTGTGCTAGTTATTTTTTATAATAAGAAATAAATATGGTTTTTGAAAATGAAAAAAAAACCATTTCTTCAAACACAATTTTTTTAAACAATACAACATTTTTAATCATGAAATATGTATTAGTTTTGGAATAATAGTACGCGACATGATGAGCTTGTTGTGACATCTACATTGAAAGATGCCTTAAATACCTCAAGTTCAAAATTATAGTTCAATTGAAATTCATCTTTTTCATGACTACAGATATAAATATTTTTAACTTTGAATTGATAAGTTAAAATGAAAATTTTATACATATTAGTAAGAAGATAATGATGAATTTTAATTTGCATGTTTATGTAGCAAAATGATGCATTGTTTTCTGTAAATAGATTTTTAACATACTTCAAATGTTGTTCAAAACTGAAAGATTTCAAACTTGATGAGTTTTGTTCACAAAATGATTTTGGTATTAAACAAAAACTATGATCTGTAAAATTTTATGCAACATATTTTGATTTTAATTGTACAATTGAGTTGAATTAAAACAAATGTAAGTTTACCTCATAATTCGATAAAACGTATAATAGTCCTTTATCAATCTATGATGAATCAAATCAGTAGTTAAGTTACATTTTAGTATATGATAGCTTTGACTTTTGGCATCAGTTAATCGTTAGATTGACTTATGAAGATCAACTTGATCTCTAATATTTATAAAATTTTTAAATATTTTGAATATTGATTGAAGTTGTGAGTTTTTAATATTTTATTGGAAATAATTTTCTAGCTTAATACATTGCATGAATTTAATAGAGTAAACGAAAGACTTTTTTTTAATACATACTTTGATGCTTTGGTTAAATTTAATTTGCCTCGAATGATAAACGTTAAATATGAAAATTTAAAAATATAAGAATGTTCAATACACCTCTTTTGATCTCAATAATATATTATTGGATTCGAATTGTACCAAGTCTGTAAAAAACGATTACAAAATAAAACACTATCTATGTGATGTGTGGAGAAAATAAAAAAAATAAAAGGTATGAAAATAAAAGTAGGTATTATCTCTGCGTACAATTCTTTATCGGTATCAATGAAATCAAAATAAAATTAAAATAGAGTTCTACATCGACTCTTGATGGCAGTTGTATTCAACCATGTAATAGTGTTTGAATGCAACAGGAAGTAAACAAACGCCTCTAAGTGTTGTATAGTTCTGGGGACTACAAAAGGATTAATGGATTACCTTCAAAGGGTTAAAACGTGAAGTTCTTATCCCAGAGAGCCGGGTCATTGTCAGCATTGACTTCTCGGCCGGGTAGTCAGACAGCGGCCGGATGGGTAGGTTTTCTGATGTTCGAAACTTGTGAACTCGAGCATTCACAAGTCGTACTTACTCGCGGAGAATCTCCAAACCCGTGCCTATCCGCAATCGAACGCGACTGCCTGCGAGCGAGACGACCGAAAGCAAATACGGAGGAAGTTAGATGTGAAATCGGAAAGATCCGGTCGATAAGAAGAGGCTTGTTTGTACTGGGGCTATAGGACACTGTAGACTAAAGCCACTCCGACCATATAGTTCTACAGTCTACTATCCGTCATATACACACTGTTCAGAGTTACCGTAGGTTAAGCTCGGGTTCAGGGTTCGGGAATGATACCGAATCATTGTAGTCGGATTCGAATGCAATGACCAGAGGCAGAAACCTTTACTCTCAAACTCTTTCACCCAAATGCTTCCAAATGCGGCCATGCATGATAGCACCTATCATGCATGATAGCATGCATGATGTGTCTTCGAGTGCGAAGAAGCCTTCGAAAGCCAGCAAGAGTGGAAAGACGGGGCTGGATGTTTTGCAACCGTGACGTAGTATGCATTGCTCGACGGAGCGATGATCATGTGTGTGTGATGTGGACTCCGATGGGTAGTAGAGAGACCCACGGCCAAATGCAAGATCACACACCGTTGTGTTAAAATTTACTCAATTTTGAACTAAACTCAGAAACTTTAATCCTAGATAGGGTGAGGTTTTGTTATTCACTATAATTGAGAGTTGTTCAACGCTCTTCTTGAACATTTTTAGGTTTATTCCTGTGGTACCCAACACTGGCAAACTACAAACTCTCGTGTGGGCATTTCACTTGTGTGTGATTGTGTAATCTTGACTTGGAATTGTGAATTTTAGCTAATCTATACAAATTTCAATTTATAAATGATTGTTGTACATGTGATGTCCAGCGCAAGAGTCTTATAATTAGAATAATGGATCATCAATCCCAACTGCCACTTGGATTGAAAAACAAATGTGAAATATTGAGATGATGAACCAAATATGTACGTTGATGTATAAAACACAAAGTGATGATGAGCTTTAAACCAAATCTACATAGATTATTCATCGTTTTAATTTAAATTTTTATGTTTCTTTGGCATTTTTGCTTTCATGTTATGCAAATCTTTTAACACAAACATGTGATACTTTGCTCCTTTGATGAAACAGAGAGGAACATAATTTTTGAAGGGACAATTCCGCCCTCTTGTTTAGATCTGTTGCTTAAATTACATATAAAAAACATGTGAAAAAATGAAATTTCAAATGAACAATGTCTATGTATTTTGTTTAACCTCATCTGTAATTCTTGTAACATATGCACACTTCAGATTCTAAAGTACAATCTCATATTTAACAATAGACATCTGTCACCTTTGTCATTACAATGATATTTGCAATGCATATGTATGAAATTAATCATTATTGATATACATATACACAAGAAAATAAATGCATAAATACAACGCATCCACCCAAAAACTAATTTTTTTCAAACGAAGTAAATTAATCTTTGTCTATAATGCATGGTTGCAACATAAGACTTAAATTTGTGAGTATGTTAGAACACTTGCTCCTTTTAGGTCATAATTGGAATCATTCTTTCTTGCCTAAGACATATTGTTTTTACTTTCATCAAGAGATGTATAGATGATTTTCCTAGTAATTTTTTTTGGAATCTGAGAAGGAAAGTTCTCAGTCCCAAAAGTACACCAGTAAATTATAGTTTTTATCTAAGCTATCTTAGATCTTGGGTTCTCATTCTTTCGCCTTTTACATAATGTTATTGCATAATCAATAGTTTTTTTAATTCTATTACCTTCTCATTTGGTTGCAGGCTATTTCACAAGAGAGGGACATATAGTCCACGTCCTTTGCAAGGCATTCGCGTTGAGTCACTTTTTAGCATGTATGTGAATAGGATTCTTATTCTTCATTGCACAAATTGCTCACGTTTATCATTTTTATACATCAGTGTAATCTTCTTGAGTGCAATACAAGCATTGTGTTTTTATTTTATTTTAAATACAAATACATCGCAAATCCTAGCTTTTTACTGGATTTCATCCACACTAGAGATGAAATCCAGCTCATTGCATATCATAGTGGGTGGCACATGAAGTCTTTTGATGAGCTTTAAACTATCATTCTTGTGATTGCAACAGTTAGAGTCAAGAAAATAATAGAAAAAATTCAACTGATTGCATGCTTAATTTTGTTGAAATGTTGAATATTCACTGAAGTAACTTAACTATTTTAACTGATAGTGATGTCTCAATGAAATGAGAGAACAAGAGAACCACTGCATTTAACCATGTATGAATTAAATCTGTGTGCTACGATATAGCACACAGATTTCAAAGGCGAAAAAACATATTTCTATAAAAGGAGGATAAATTAGCATTGAAAACATAAAATATTTTGCAAGAAAAAATAATGTTCAGTAATATCATCATTAGAATCACAATAAACGAGAAATGTAAAAGAGGCCGTTTCTCCAGCCCGCTTCAACCGCAACTAGCTTGGTTTTAGAATCACATCTACTGCAATATGCGAGTTGTCTTTTGAGAGTGATAAATTATTACTTTCTAGGTCCGCCAGTTTAACGCTATTAAATAGGTGTTTTGGTTGAAATGTTATCTACAATATTATTTAACTGCAATTTTGATCATTTGTTGCATTCTTGAACTCCTATGTTTTGCACTAAATATGCTGCAAAGCTAGAGCATGGAAGACGACGTTTCAGCCTAAACATCTCCTACAGTATGGTCTTTGCATTACATCTTCTGATTCTAATACTTTGAAGTTGTTGCTGTTTGTTATTGATTTTGTGTTTGTTTTGGACAAAAAGAATTTTCTTAAAAGCTATTAACATCTTGGACATTTGAGAGTACTCTGATTAAAATTGATAACTACACGCAATATCTCTGCATCAACTATCAAGAGAGATGGGCGATATCAAAAGCTGTCACCAAAAGAGAAGTCTAAGTATTTTGATGTTTCTATCTATCATGCCCAAACTATCAAAGCCACATGTGATAACGTAAACTAGGCAAGTTCCAACATTTTGACTCCTTGGTTACCTCAGGAACTAAATAACACATGCTGTTTTTCAAATACTTTTGAATTATGAAGATCTGCTGGAAATATCTTGGGAACAAATCGCCATTGATCAGATAGTGTAACGACACAAATAACCTTTGATCCCCGTGCGCAGTAACTACGACTTCGCAATGCCTAAATTGTCTGACAGAACAATCTGGCTTCAGTGAGACTTGGAGTATTCCAAGCATTAAGGACAGGTTTTGTCAACTTATCCAGCTTTTTGGAGAATTAAACTCTCCATTTACAAACACTGCCACTTTTGAAAGAAACTTTTTACTGCTGAAATTGGAAAAGTATCTTTATAGATAAAAATTAACCCAATATGCCTTTGAAGGAGTACTACACTACCGTCAAGTTTAGAAGTTATTGAAGAAAATAGAAGAGATTTATACCAAAATCCTTATATTTTGTATATTTCTTTGATTACAATGTTTATCTTGTTGTAATTAGGCACATACGGAAGGTTTACTATATAAAGAGGCATGTCAATAACCCACATTATCCTTTACCTTGAACAAAATACATAAGCAATTTTGTACGTAATTTTGCAACTCAGACTTCGTACTTGGCATAGACAGAGACATACTTGCAGTACGCCTATGAAACGCGTACGCTAACGTTGTGCGTATGAAGTGTAGTAGACAGTCACAACGAGTCATACGCATACGATATACGGTATATGGTATGAAAGTGAGGTAGAACGAGGCCAAGTGGATGCAAGCGATAAGTAACGGACGGAGACCCAGAGACCAGTTCGGTTTTCAGCATGAAAAGGCCGAGCAAGGAAATGGTTCGGGTCCACAGTGTCCTACGGACGGCAGTCTCCGAAAGCAGCTCCGCGCTACATGCGATGTTCTTCAAACGAGGACCGGCCAGGGGACCTTTTACTGTGTCGTCTAGCGCTTGTGCGCGATAGGGAGCCTTGAATTTTAGCTGGTTTCCATCCTGCTCCTAGGGATTCGCAACGCCTCGAACTCGGCCTCGCTCTACCTTTTGCTCCCCTTGCGCCCCCTTTCCTTCCCGAGCGCTGAATGTCGCCTGCTGCTGCTGCTGCTTTCCCCCATCCGTCTGGTCTATCCGTCTCCGCTTCCTCCTCCTCTATCCCTCGCACCTGAGCTCCGCGACAGAGACAGAGTGCGAGCGGATTTCTCTGGGTGTGGGCTCACTGATAATGGTAAGCATTGCTTGCGGATGGTCGATGTGGGTACCCGCATTTCTGTTGATGCGGTGCGATTGCCAGAGGCATTTTCGTCTGTGAGGGGCAGTTCTCTCCGTCGGTGTGGCTTCCAGGGACGGGCCGGGGAAGCTGTCTGCGTTCTTTTGTCGTGAGATTTTGAAGGAAGTAAGGCTTGATTCCTGCGGTGTGATCTCGTCCCGAGAGGTGATGGAGAATGTGAGATGGAAGTGAGAAATGGCATGCATGCACGACTAGGGCTAGTGGAGTGCAGATTGGATCCCGTGCCGTTTCTGTCATTGATTTGCCTCAGTGTAATTGCAGGTGGACGACGATGTTTTACTGGATAGTACACACATAGCTTCTGTTTCTACTGGGGTCAGAGGGTGGTGGAGGTTCATGGGCGTTCTGCGGCAGGTCGGGACGTATCATTCTTTGCTCTGGTCGATGTAGCTCAGCAGAACGGAGACCTATGGTCGGTTGCACACGTGGGGTTATAGTGGAACTTTGGCGTTGCGCCTTGGGAAGTCTTCTGGAGGTCAGCCTTGATTGATTATCGAGTTTGTGAGTAACGAAGTAAAATCTACGAAAAGTTTTACCTTGAACTCCACGCACCAGACATGTCTCCGGACCATTATGATTTTAGAATTTTTGAAATTGTGAAGTCCCTGGACGAATCTGAAACAGCTAGAAGTTGACTGAGCTAGAGATGGGACAAGCGACGCATTATTCTCACGAGCTTAAACTTTCACTGGTGAGGCACTGATGGAACGGGACATGAACGCCGCAAGCTGGTCCAATCCCGATTCGGTTCAAGTCGAAAATTACGACTGCTGTCCTGTGCCTGAACCGGAGGTATGTGACTATATGGGTTCCAGGGAGAGATATTCTTGAGTGTTACAGATCCGCAGAAGTGGACTGCTGTGTTATGTTCTGTAATTTTGGAGGTTGTGTCTTTGTTGGAGGAAAGAAACACTGTTCTTGGTTTTCTGCCTCTCTCCCCTCCCTCCTCCCTAAGCACACGTAAACGGCAGTATATAAGAAATAAGTTTTATAACGTTCTTCACGGTTGGTGAACTTGCATCTTCAAGCTTTTCTTCTCGTACTTTTTCTTGCTATATATATACCACTTCTTGTTCAAGATGAACTCGAAATAACACACACGGAGAATTTTTTTCCCGAATTTAGGAACTGGGAAAGTGATCACATTCGAGCATGAAATGCAAGTTCACCATCCGTGATGATTTTGAATATATCTCAAGATCACCAGCATTTATGTCTACAAACTTGAAGCGCTATTCCGTACTGTTCGTAGCAGGTCAAATTTTAAAAGTCGCCTCTGTATAGCTCTTGAAGAATATTTGTCTGTTCCTTAGCCGATTTTCTTTTACACTTGCACAAAGGAGATGTAGTGGATCAGAAACCTGGACTCGTGGCATATGTTCTTTGACAGTCTCCGCCTATGTGGAGTTGATTGAGGGAAGAAGTAAGGTCGTGATAAAGGTCGAAGAAGGAGAGTAGTGGGTTATGTTTGGTGGGATCGTATGGATATGAATGTAGTAATATATTACTATGTTTCACGCCGTTTCTACCGACGAAATCTAGACGTTATTTCATATTCCCTGTAAGTGTGAAAGGAAGTCGTACCAAGTTATCGTTATGCGTCGTTCAAGACTAGCTGTTAGTCCCTCAATCGTTAGTATCTTTTCTTCTAACTCTGATATTGTCTGTGGGGCCTGCCAACTACGGACCTCTCTTTGCTGGTCATTAAGGCTGCTCTTGCATGTGTTTTAGTGGATCTATCATGTAGTTTTATACCTTTGTTATGGTTCTGTCACTCCAATGTGGCCGACTCCATGATAGTGTTCCCCCTGGTCCGCATCAACACTAATTGTGGTTAGTTTTTCACCATTCTGTTTTTTCAGCCAACCATACGAGAAAGAACTCTCTCCTGATCGAGTCGTTTTCCCCTGCATTGTCTTTATTCTTCTGACGATTGACACTTGATGCTTTCATAAGAACTTGTAGAACGCCATATTTATAATCAACATCGTTGTTCATTCCAGGACTGAGGTGAAGAATTCATTAGACGTTTATATGCATTTACGGAGTATCTTGATGACACGCAGTTACTTGGTCACCCACTTGACACTCCCTGGAGTTGCCCTACTTTAATTATGGTGTCCATGGAACCATGGAGGTTGACCCTTTGAGTCCCGGGTATGGTTAAGGAGAGCCGGAGCTTGTGGAGTTTTTGCAGTAGTTTGTGAAGTATTTGTAGCTAACGGGGCAAAGTATCACATCTGTCACGGTTACTGAAGGGAAAAAACTTGTTGTTTTATATGATTTGCAGCCTTTCGATACATCGACTATCGATCCCAGCCACGTTATCTACCTTATAAGACAGCTGCTCCCGAGCAAACCTGTCGCTGTCAACGTACAGTCATTAACGAAGGCTGTAGATTGTGAGGCAGCAGAGAAGAATGGGACAGTACATTCCCCATGCAAGGTTGTTGAAGGAAGACCATCAGGAAAGAAAGGTGCTGTTCATGCGGAGCAGGCGGCAGGAGTTTCATCAACTCGACAGGACCGAGAGTCCGAAGAAATAATCAGTAGCACAGGATCTGTGCGGGAACAAGGAAAACCGGAACCTGAGTCAAGCTTGATCCCACACGAAGATTCACAAAGGGCTGAAATTGTTGTTATTGCTAACGGTAATCACGTCCACGATAATGGAGACCCTAGTAGGAAACGACTTCGGGAAGGTTGCAAGGTGGTGGAGCAAGAAGGAAGTAGTCCAGTTCATGTTGAGAACGGGATCTGGAAAAGTCCAGAGAAGTTACGAAAAGGTCTTTCACCCCATGAAGTGTTTACCAAGGCAGAAGACAATCTATTGTGTAGAGCTGAAGACGTTGAATTGGAAAGAGGTACAGATATCTTGCAGGACAACGATGTTCATCAGAAAGTTGCGAGCGAAGAGGATCCAATGGAAGAGGCTGGTTGTGTGCTGTGGGATCTTGCCGCAACCGAGTCGCATGCAAATTTTATGGTAAGTAAAATTTTTTTCGTTAAATGCAACTCGAAAAACTGATATCTTCGTCAGAGCGCCACGGATTTTCTCACGTCAATTCCAATTCGATTAGAGCACGGAGCTTGCGTTGTTCTTGAATACGTCTCGTTGTTTGGTAAGGTGGTGGTTCTTTTTGGCATTCCTCTTGACGAGGGTGACAAACTCTTAGTGAGTTATATCGCTTTTGCTTTTGAGTTCTCATGACGAAGAAGGGCACAAAAATTATACTTTGGGGTATTCACTTTGGTAGTAAAACACCTGAGAGTACATACTCTGAGCATTTCACACAAGCATTATTGTTGCTTGATTAAAGTATAGACGTTTATGAGCAACTTGAACCGGACTGCGAGCAGCTTCAGCCTTGCCTTCATGAGATATAAAGTAGGGAGAGTTTTAGACGCAAGAAGTAAATATCTTGAGGTCTGAAAATGAAACTGACTCCTTTCATTCCTCGGGTTATGTCTTTTATGGTTCAGACCTTTTGTTGGCCATGACCAGAGATTGGTAGTTCCTTTTTCTGAAATAGTTCTCGTGAGGTTGATATTTACAAGGCTTGAAGGTACTGAACACGAAACGTAAATACCCCGCATGATGTGTGTTGACGTTTCGAAGAGTTACTGGTTCAACAATGACGATTATTTGCTGCGTCGTTGATTTAACGTGTCGAATCAAACTGAGAACTTAGTTTTCTGCTCACTGCAGGTGGAGAATCACGTGTTGGATGTGCTTTCTGCTGTTTTATGTATGCCACATTCAGATCGAATGAGGGTAATTCTCGAGTAAAACCTACGCATTAACTACGTTAGAACTGCGTATTAGTGAATGCATTGTCTATATCGTGCAATACGAGGGCAATCAGTTTCGTGCAGGAAGACAGGGATGAGCACGATCCTTTTATTGGAGATATATGATTAGACCAACACAACGATTTTTCGAACTGCGTTTGTTACTTCAGCCTGAGTACTTTATCATCGAGTGAGTGATTGTAAGCAACTGGCGTTTAAGCCTGTTAGATTGCCTGATACATTGGTAGCAGACAAAGTATGAGAATAGACGGATAATGATCTGATATGATTTTGATTGCAGGAGATCTGCTTAGGCATATTTGGAAATCTAGCTTGCCATGCCGGACCTGTGAAGGCAATAGTGACTGTTGAGGGCTTGATTCCCACTCTTGTTGAGCAACTTTTTGTCGAAGATACACCTAGTCTTACAGAAGCCTGCAGGTAAAGTACTGATGAACGAGGTGATAGACTTTGGTCAGCTTTCCTTCCGAAGACCAGTAGGAGAGTACCATCATTCTCTGTGCTACCATATCAACTCGGGGGTCTCCTGGAGTTGTTCTTGCACTATAGTACAGCTACAAAAGCGGATGTGTCTGATCATGTTCTTGTGGGTTTTTAGCACTAACGTGCTCGTTCTCGCAAAGGAAATCTGTCTATATTATACTTGAGCACTAAAACCCTCGGTATTTGTAGATTGCTTAGTGCAGGTTTGCACAGTGACGTGGCGGTCGCATGGGTTGCAACCATTAAGTCACCGAAGGTATTAGAGCGTATTATGTGGATGGCAGCGAACACATTGAACTGCCAACTACTTGAAAAGGTATACATCATTGTTACTTGTCCTACTTTGTCATTAGATGAGCCTCGGTTCTTGTGCTTCTTGGAGTACTTAGGCGTTTGTTGCAATCGACAGTGGCGCATGTGCTTCAAAGTTGATTATGATGATAGGTTGCGATAGTTCGGTGGCTTAGTTGCAGTTTTTTATAATAAATTGTGAGTTCCTTCACTTGATCGACCGACTAAGATTTATAGGACGGATGGAGGTACTGATTACTGCGCAAGGTTGTGACATCAATGGATGTGGAAGTAATGTCTAGGATCTACAATAACTTAATCTTTGCTGATTTGTGGAACTTGTAAATACATATTTTGATATTTTCAAAGGGTGTACTTCTCATACGTGGATCCCATCTTTGACAGTGTACGGAGTTGATTCTAGCAATGGCAGACAGTAGAAGGGATGCGGCTTCTGTGCTCCTGCCGCCCTTGCTGGAGTTGGGACTTCCTGATTTAATCACAGATCTAATAGCCTTTGAACTAACGGCTATCACTGATGGTATATCTACTAGAGGGTAAGTACTTGGACATTTTGAGAAGCGCCGTTTTTTTCGTTCGTATTCAATGTCTGTGTAGTCCCGTACTTGTAGGTGTCCGCCGCGTATGCCACGTCGTTTTTGTCATCACATTTTGAGGATTTGAGTCACGAATTGTTCAAGTTTAACTTCTATTGAGATTGCGTGAGTCACTTTAGTTACGAGTTTTACGTACCAGCAATGTCCGGGATGCTCACTGAGTTTGGTCATGACGTAATGGTTTACAAATTCATCTAGTGTGCCCTTCATCGTTGTGTTACGTTTCAGTGTGATCATGCACTTTTTTCCACCCTGCAGTCGCTTTGTAGATGGTTCTCATTTACGTGGGATGTTTTCAGGGACGTCGTCTTGGATATTGTTCTACAAATTGCCGAGGCACTTTCAATATCAGATGAATTTGCCTCAAAATTAGCTGCAAGTAACAAACTCTTTTGCCTGAGCTGCCAGATCATTCTTCTGTCCGCTAGAGACGAGGTAACAATTTCTGTACTTTGATTTCATCCTTTTAATCACCTCGCAAACTCTGCGTTGAACTGGAGATAAGTTTTTCGGTGTGAAGGCTCTTAATCTTATTTAGAATTTGAGGACATACTGTTCGTCAATGTCATTTCGATGTACAAGTAAAAAACCTCATTTTTGGCGTGAGTGCGGCAGCTATCCCTGAATAGCCGACCGAGTTGGTCATCGTGTGCTTGGTGAAAATCCTGAAACGAGTTGATATATATATTATTGTATCTCTCTAAGTACGAGGCTGCGGATTTCGTCAAAAGGCTAACTGGTTGTACTAAGGAGGCCTGACTTCGAAGTAGAAAACTTTTTAATCCTTCAAGTTCAACAGAAGCGTCTTGGGATGGAAAGTATTATGTCTCCCTGCACTGAGATTTCAACCTTTAATGATGCACTTGCTTTTGCAGATCGGACCTTCCGGTATCACTGCGACTGTGTTGATTGCAAACCTTTTAACTGAGGAAGCAGGTCTCATACAACAAGTGTTACATGGTAACGCTTACACTCTCATTCTTATATTTTATGTCATCCTTCATCTCTGTCTCTTATGGAAGTTATGTAGTGGTTTATAGGTATCAGGCCTGTGTTAAACTGTATTGTACTCCAAAACTAGTTGCTATATTACTATATAGCAATGCATCACATACTTAACTATGCACAACTGCGGAGACTTAGTTTACAAAGTCTAGCGTTTTTCGGTTGCGGGTAGTTTTCTGATTGTACGGATGATCTGTTCCGTGTACAGATCCCGTACTACTTGGAAGGTTGTTGGCTCTCGTACCTTCTGCTGGTGATGATCCAGGGGCGCGAAATGCTTTATGGAGTATTTTAGGAAGAATATGCAGATGGCTGGTAGGCACTCAGCCTGAAGATCCACCCAGCGGGACGGTGGGGATGATTGCAGTTCTAGCAGATGGATGTAGCCTACTGTTGGACGACTTGGATGTACATCTAGAAGATGATGTCGAAGAAGATGAAGATCGAGCAATAGCAGGACATGATGCAGCTGCTAGCACCAGCAGAGGACTACAAGCTAAATTAGCAACTGTACAGTACCCACCCCAACCGGAGTCCGTCCTTTCTGAACTTCTCTTTTATTGAGGCTAGTTATTGAGCTGGTTCACTGCTTAGATTTCTTCGTGACTTCTTATTATCGCCAATTTTGAGATTCATTTAGTCAAATGCTTTGCAGGTATGCAATATGCTGCGTATAATGGAGAAATGGACACTTGTATATGATGGAAGACCAGCTCGAGATGTGCAAATGTTGCGAACCATAAGGGATGCTAGCAATTTGTTGAGGAAGCATGTAGCTGCCAATGAAATTAGGTCAGGACCTGCAGAAGGTAATCCACCATATGTACCACAAGATAATGGGCCACAAGAGAATGGGGCTTCTCATGTTATAAGTCCTCCAGCGAGTACAGTGTAATGTTGAGTTATGCTGGTAACGAGTTGGCAGGTATGCCAAGAACATTCTAACGCAAGATGGATGGATGAATCTGCGAGGAAACTTGTAATCAGTAGGCCTTCAAGTAGAGCTGCCTATGAAGACAGGAGCGGGTTTGAAGGCTGCCACAGAGAAAGCGCTCAAAGAGCCAAAGTTTTTGCTCTTCTTGAAACTAGAGCATGATATGTCGATCAATTACTTCTTGCACCAACATCTGGTTGTTGGCTGTACTTGTGGGGGTTGTCATATCTTTTATCAACTAGAAACTGATTTCTTAAGTCGGTTAGTATCCACACTTTCATTCTGCAGCTTTCTCGTACTAGTCGTGATAGTCATTTTCCGGTAACCTCTACTTTTCTGCTTTTTCTGCTGGTTGCACGCACGGAGTCAGTGGTTTTATTCCGTAGGTTTGTGGTGCTGCGTGCGAGCTGTTCATCAATTGCATCATCCAGGTTGGCTCTGCCCTTTGTTGCACTTGATTTAAGATGAACTAATGAGGGCAATGCTGCAGCGTTATGACTCAAGAAGATTGTCTGAAGGCAATCAAGAAGGCTCTAGCTTGTTGTGTTTCAAAAAGCATAGACCCAGAAAGGTTGACCCGGAGTGTTTCATAAATAGGCTGGTGGTAGGAAGTAATTTGAACTTGCCGCTTTCTGAAATTTTAATCTCTACTAACTGGTGGTCGGGATGTTTCTACGATGTATCAGATACCACTTGCCTGTCAAAATTTGTTAACATCGCTTTCAGAACAGTATGTTTGTCTGCAGTAAACACTTTTGTGAGTTATGTTTGGAACATAGAGATGCCTTCTCTGGGATGGGTATAGAACAAGAAATGGAACTATGATATAAAGGACGCCGAAAGACAAACTTTCTGTGTTACTCGTGTCCTGAGAACTTCTGCCCCGACCTGTTGTGGTGCGATTGTGATGACCTGATAAAGGCCTCGAAAGTCGTCAGTGACTAAAAAGCAGAATATTTGACGTAACGTCGCCACCTCTGGAGCACTATCGAATGGTTTTGTTTGAAGGCTGTTTTTAAGGGCCTTATGTCCTTAAAGAGAACACAAGGGTAATCTACGGTGCTTTGGCCTTCAGGCTTGTCTGCAGATTGAGCTAAAGGTTGGAAATTTTGAACTCTTATGACGAAAAGTTGGACGTTATCTTGAACATCACTGGACTTCGTTCTTCAGTTACACTATCAAGATTCAGTGGTATCGAGAGTTAATCAAGTTGAACTGAGATATATGAATCTCCTGTGGTCATCGTTGGATATTAGACGGGGAATTTTGTCGCTTCTCTTCTACCGGGTGATTTGAATGTTGTGGACTAAGCTGTACAATGCTTATAGTTGAGGAGGCAGACGCATGGTTCTTTTTGTGCTTCAGCTCTTGTCAGGCAAGGTATGCTGTGCGTAATTTTGTACAAAGTTTGAAACGTTCGTGATCTAAATTTTGCTGCAACGTTCTAGGGGATCGGGTAGTTTGCTTGTCTCAGGGAAAACCTGGTCATCTGTGGAACTTCACTTCGTCCGCGTTTGCAGGCGAGGTCGCGAAAATGAAACGAGCTGTCTATCAGACCATCTCTCACTACAAGCGTGTTCGGCATAGGTAGTTGGTATCTCTGTGTTTTAGCCTTTGGTTGGTCTGGCCATGAGATAATCCAATATCTATTGATGCCATGTGAGGAACGCTTCCTTAGGGCTTGAACAGACACATTAAAATATAAGGATGAGAGCTTTATAAAACTTCAGAGCTCTATCATTTATCGTTTGGAGATTCATCGAACATTATCTACTCTAGGAAAAACACGAATTTTCTCGGAAAATACAATATCGTGTCATGATGGTCGTCTCGTGGTGAGTCACATTTAATGACAGTATCTGAATCGCCCTTGTGTCTTTTGTCTATGAAAGATTTCACCGTGCGTGCATGAGCATCTACTTGCAGTCACTTTGGTGAATGACAACGAAGATGTGTGCACGGAAAGGAGATTGAAAACCGAGAATATCCAACCAAACCCGTCTTTTAACAAAGAGAGTTCAAGGTAGAGATATTACAAACTTTGGGAGCGGCTAGTCATCCTCACTCTACTGTACTCTAGAGGTATGTGGTCTGTGATAGGTCAGAGGTAACCGGTGCGTGAGGTAAGAAGGTGAGCAGGCCCAGAAAGGCAAGCTCGTTCGAATTTCTTGCAAGCAAATAGAAGAGTTCACACTTCTGTCTTCTCTCTCCCTTCGACTCGTTCTCGTCCTCATCTTTCATCGCTCGAAATAAAACAACCAGCTCGTTCACAACAAGAGGCATAACTTTAGACAGAAATTTCCCTTCTCATCAACGAAAGATACGAGTAATCTGACTAGAAGCTTTTATTTGTGCTCGTTTTAACCTAATTGCAGCAAATTCTCCTCCCACCACTGCCCTCAATTCGTCTCGATTTAATCCAAAAAGCAAATGTCTGCACTGCAGACCGGAACCTAATAAAACTCTAGCCAATGTTTTCTAGATTTCTTTCGTTCTTTCTTTCACTTAGCACCCTCGTGGCCAATTGCTCCCGAGTCCCTTCCATACATACATACCGTGGGAAAAGCCTGCAATGGCAAGTGCGCCATTATGGCCAAACTATGAACGCCAGGTTGAACCCTCGGGGAATTATCAAAGCCTTCCCTCTGCTCACCACAGTTTAGTATAGTAGGGCTAGTGATAATTAGTAATACATGTAGTCTACCTAAAATTTGCAACACATGCCCATGTTTTAACGGGTGATGACCATTTGGAAGTTTAGAAATAGAGAGGGTGTCATATCACGAAATAAGTAATGATTTCTTCCTCCCAATTCCAGGGTCTTAAATGTGGAAGATGTTTTAGGAGATACGACGCACGGGAGACAAATGTTGCGGCAGATTATCTAAGTTATCGAAGTTTTGGATACACTTCATTAAATACGAAGTATATTCGTATATATTATTCGTTATATTATTCGTTATTATATGTAACGAATAATATACAAATTCGTTATTAATAACGAATTTGTAATAACAAATTCGTTATTACAAATATAACGAATTTGTATATGTTAGTGACCGAAGGGAAGCACATCAAACTTGGCGACTGAATTACCAATTCGTTTAATACAGATTGTTCACTATTTTGGTCCAAGTGTTTCTACTTCTTTACATGGAGGATACTCCTAACGTCCTCCTCTCCTTTTCTAATGTAATTTAATCAGCGGGTTTGGCCATGGGCTTTTCTCCACGCAGTCGCCTGACTGCGTGCTGCTTCTTTCTCCCGGGGATGAAATGACATGGAATCGAGACGGTAAGACGGCGCAGTAGGACACGTGGCGTCGGAGGCGCGGACAGAATGCCCGAGGACGAGCAGGACGGGCCGGTGCTTGCGCGGGCGGGGCCGGGGCTGGGGCTGGTGTCCAGGGTTTGCTGCTGCCTCGTCCGGTTGCATCTCGCCTTGCTCGCTTCATCGCTCGCTCCATTCATTCGCTCAACACGGTCTCGACATTCGGCGTTTCAGCGGACCCGGTCTGGAAACACGATCCATCGCTCCGCGAAGTCAATCGGAGGCTGCCGAAGATGGTGTACAAGGAGCAGAAATTTGATGAAGGTGGGCCGGATGACTTCGATCCCGCGCGACCCTATGCCGATCCCGTGGCTATGTTGGAGCAGCGCGAGTACATAGTTCGGGAGAAGCTCATAGCCATCGAGATGGCCAAGGTGCTGCGCGAGAGGGTGCAGCAGTGTTACAGACGTGAGGGCGTCAATCATTACCAGAAGTGCAGACAGCATGTCAAGAATTACTTGTCTTCCATCAGGAATGTGGGTTGGGGCAAGGATGCGAAACCTGATTACGAGGTGTGAGTGAAAGAACTTTTTGGATGTGAGGTCATCATCATCATTATTGGGTTGGTTTGCGATGTGAATTTAGGTTTGCGCCAAATTCTCCGTCATAATAGAGATCTGCAGGGATTCCTTATTTGTGAATCAGCCATGACATTTTTGGTAGCACCGGCTGCCTGTAGAGTGGAGGGAAGTTTCTCCTTTCCTTCAGTCGTGAAAATTACCGAGAAAATGGCCGAAGAAGAATGCGGATCATTTCGGACAGAATTGACTGATATGCGATTCAAGCAGATTCCTCGCTTTGTTTGCTCAGCGAAGCAAACACAAATCAGAGGGAAATGACACTATAATATCTTTGCACGTTGCTCAAGCATATCTTTGTAATCGCCTTCTTCTTACCGAAATTGACGTTTATGGATGGGTGGTCATGTCTCCTGTGTTTAGTCCCACAAGCAGTCTCGTTACGGTTTTCTTGCTCCTTTTGTGTCATCTCTCAATTCGAAGGTTCGAGGAATTCAACTCAGCAATCATTTTTATCCTTTTTACTGGACCGCCAGACTCCTCGCCCGTAGTTGTGTTTGTTGTGAAATCTAAGACCACAAGCAGCTGAATCTGCTCACTTTCAGACAAAGCATTTTCCGACTTTTTGAGACTGAGCAGTTTTCTGTTGTACTCGTCATTTTGTATCAAATTTCCTGTTAATGATTCGAAGTCCGATCTTGGATTTGAAAATGATTCTAAATGAGGTATGGGACACAGCGGGTTTGAGGCTAAAGCTTTGATCGTACCTTTTTTTTTCCAGTTCTATGCATGCCTTGTACATAGATCATTCATAACATTTGTGGATGGTGTGGAGCGACTCAAGAGACTGCAGCATAACTTCTAGTTCGAAGTAGGGCTTGACGACTGTTTTGAGATCATCGTCAAGACACTTTTTATGTCTTCCTGTAGACGTTGCCAAAAGAGTTTCATTTTCCAGTACAACAAGAAGATGTGCTTTTGTTGCAGGAATACGCAGGTCTCAATCTAACAATGCTCGGCGTAAGTTTTAATTCAAAGTCGCTCCACTGCTATTTCTATCTAAAGTCGCTCTAAGCTTAATAACGATCTATGTCCCAAGTCGCAACTACGTGTCTTTGACCTTCTTCTTTGATTTATACTTACAAATTAGTGGATTGGTATGGAATGTGCGGCACTCGTCTTCTCTAACTAGGCGTTGTCAACCCTGTGATAAATACAACATTTCCTGCTTCAAGACGCCACTGGTTGTTCAACTGCTATCGGGAAGTAAATCTTTAATTTGGCGGAATTGGTTACTTTTACTTCTCGCGTACGAGGGAATTTGTCGCAGGGATCCTACCATTGGAATGTGATTTGGAACAATACTGCAAGCAGCTGGATGCAGATTCTAAATAAATTGTTTCCTCAGTTTCTCAACTTTATGGTTATGTCTAGAAAGAGGGCAGAAATGTAGGACACTTTTGAAAGCAGACTTGTGGAATTGACGCAGTCCTTTAATTGTTGGACTCAAGTCTATCAATATTTGAATTCCAAGAGGGTTCTTGCATTCACTTCTCTCTTGTTTCCTGCCTCGTGATTCCGTTTTCATACGTGGGGAAAGATTCAACGAAATGGTCAGCAAATAATCTTATGAATGTACCATAACATTGAGTATGCCAAAGTTCATGTGCGGTTCATCGTCAGCATGTGAGTTATTGTAACTGTCGAGACTCGTTTGTTATTATGGCGGATGATTCATGGGATTATCTGAGATGGGAGGTTGATGGGCGGAGATTGATTTGTCTGACCTGAAAGATGGCTGGATTGAGGTTTTAAAGCCAGTCATGCACTACATTTTGTTTCAAGTATGTATTGATGGGTGGATTAGGGTTCAGAATTATACTGCCCCTGTCTATAGAAGGAGGATCTGATGTTTAATTGTATGTAATAGAGGAAAACTAAGATGGATATGTAGTTATCAATTTTTCGAATGAGATTTAGTGAGCAAAAGCAGCCTGCAGAAAGAGTTTGTAAGTCAGGCGGTACGCCGTCCACTGTCATGGAGTCATGATCTGGTGAAATTTGATATACATGTCAATATATGAACACATAGTAAACAATGGAATTCGATTTTCTCCTAAGCTTAAGTTGTTTAAATGCTTTCTTAAATTCGATATAGATAATTACAAGCAATACGGTTTCGATTCGCGAACACCATATGAATACAGCAATATGTTTATTCACTTGAGAAATTTTCTACTTTTCGATCCAGTCACCAGATCTCGTTAACTATCATATGTTATTGTAAAGATTCTTGAGACATCTGGTAAAGTTTTATCATAAGTTTTGACATTAACATTAAATTTACTTAAACTGAAATCATTTTTGTCACATATTCAATTAGCTGATTCATGATTTTGTGAATTTGATCTATTTTCAATCAACATTTGATATTGTATTGGATAAAGAATATAAAGAAGACCATATCATCATATATTGAAAAGTGTCACTCAATAATTATAATTATGTTGTAAATAATTGATTGCATATCATAATCAAAAAATTGGTAATAAAATAGTTTAGGAATTAGAAATTTTAACTCTTGCAAATTTTAACAATTTGCAACTAGTGAAAATGAAACATATTACATATACACAAAGTATAGAGGACGCGAGTATACACGAGATTATGTGGTTCATTCTCAAGCTACGTCTAGGGGCAAAAGAAATAGCTTTGATAAAACATGCTGCGACAAGCAACAGAGTAATGACTGAGGGTATAAGTATCGTAGTCCCAATCGACTTCAGTGGACAGAAATAAAAAGTTATCTCAAAAAAAAAATTATTGCAACCATCTTCCCCTTATCTCATGTTGAGCCAATAGTAAATTCTATAACTTACATAATTACTCTACGAGAAGTTCTAGAAAAAAAACCTAACACAAGTTCACTCTTTATAACTAGAATTAACTGAAACTAAACCGTAACAATAACAATATAGAGTAATAATATATAAGTTACCTGAAGAGACTACTAGCAAACTCTACTTTTGCTCCCATGCAAAACCTGCATAGTAGCACAATGTTGTCAGAAAATCTCCAAAGTAATAATTTCGGTCAATGCATCAGATGTATTAGCTTCACTCTACTGTCCACTTCTTGATTTGCAACTAGATGTAAAACATTCTAACTATCACAATGAAGATTGATCACAAACTGTTTCAATCCTATCTCAATGATAAGTCTATCTAATCAAATAGCTTCCTTTGCCACTTCTACTACCGCCACATACTCAACTCCCGTTGTAGACTTAGCTACACACTTATGCAAGGTAGATTTCCAACTAATGCTTCCATCACCAAGAGTAAACACATATCAAGTTTTAGATTTCCTCTAGTCTAGATCTTGTCCGTAGTTAGCATCAATGTAGCAATACAAGTACTTGGCATTGTCCAATGAACCATCAAACAGTAAGCCATAATTCTCAGCACTCTTCAAATATCTGAGAATCCATTTCACTGCTTCTCAATGAATATTCGATGGATTCGACATGTACCTGCTCACCTTGCTCATCGCTAGAGCAATATCAGACCTCATGCACATCATAAAATACCTAAGGCTGTCCACAACTTGTTCATAAGTATCACATGACATTTTTTCTTTCTCAATGACATTGGTAGTACATTGAGTTACGGAAAGTCTGAAATGTGTTGCCAAAATAGTACATACTCCTTTATAATAAGTAATGTTGAACCTGCCAAGTATACATGGAATATACTTGCCATGAGTCAATATATTAGGCAAGTATATTCGACCTCACTCAACTATAACCTCTTCTTCAACAAATCCTTATGAATATACATTCCTAATATAATCTTGTAGCATACTTCGCTACATGTGAGAAAACTTTGTTATAGTCCACAACTTTTTCATTTGTAAAACCATTAGTCATTAACGTGGCTTTGAAGATTCTTGCCTCGTCAAATGCGCTTGACTATCCTTCAGCTTGTACATCCACTTGCAATCAATCAACGCTTGATACCTAGAAAGTTCTACAAGCTCTCAAGTCTTGTTGTCTATCAAGGATTACATGTCACGCTCCATAGTAGCATTCTACTCAAGCTTATTGACTGAAGCTTGAGATTTACTATATGAAGAAGGTTACTCTTCTCCAAGATCAACACACTACCATCACCATTTTTCTATATCAATGTCAACATCTTCAGCAATAGATGAATCAGCTCATTCATCATACATAGCAAGATCTCTACTAGCCCGATTCGATGATCTCATAGTAGAAGATTCTAGTCAAAGTCTATTGTCTGGTGCAGATATGTGGGGCTTATCAACGATTACTTGCTCCTCTATTTGTTGTTCCTCAAAAAATTGTTCCATTTGTATTGGTGCTCCTCCTCGTGTGAGATCATTAATCACATAATGATCAAATTCTCACTCAACAAGATCCGTGAGTAGAGAGCCCCTTAACAACATCCGTGAGAATAGATTTTACCTTGTCAGTATGAAAAGCATGAGATCACTCCCCTCTTTCAATGATCTAGTATCGTCAAAAGTAACTACTATACTGAAAATAACCTTACATGCTATCAGATTCCATAGCATGTAGCCCTTCACACCACTAGCATATCCAAGAAAATGACACTTCTTGAATGTAGGATCTAACTTAGTCATATTTTGCTTGGGTATGAAAGTATAAGTAGTACAACCAAGTAGTACATCCATGAGAGTAGATTTTCCCTTGTCAGTAAGGAAAGCATGAGATCCCTTCCCTCTTTCAATGATCCAGTCTCATCAGAAGTAAATACTCTATTGAAAATAACCTTACATGCAGTCAAATCCCATAGCATGTAACCCTTCACACCACTAGCATGTCCAAGAAAATGACACTTCTTGGATGTAGGATCTAACTTAGTCCTATTTTAATTGGGTATGAAAATATAAGTAGTACAACCAATACGACTCAAACAACCAGAATGAGCCATACGTTTGTGTCTCAATTCAAATGGTGTTAAGAAATTGATAACACTTGAAGGAGAAAGGTTTATCAAATAAACTACAATGTTGGCAACTTCGGCCCAAAATTCACATGGTAAACATGATCGGTTCAACATACTTCGTACTTTTTCCAACATTGTTCAATTGAAACTCTCAAAAACAACATTTTGTTGTGGAGTATAAACCATGATGAGATGACGAGAATTCCTCTCTTCTTTGCGGTAACTTTGAAATTCCTCAAAAGTATACTCCCCGTCATTATCCGTACGCAAATATCTCATCATGTGTCCAATTTGAGTCTCAACTTGAATCCGTCAAATTTTGAAAATTGCAAACACCTTAGACTTAAGTAAATAACAAATTCACATATACCTTAAGCAATGATCACTATATGATACATGGTACAACTTTCCAGAGAGTAAAACAATATGAAAGTG